AATTTATCGCGGGGAAATGTCCCATTTCTGAAAAAAATACAAAAACTGCAATGTAAGAGTATACTAATATGTATGTAAAACCTAAGAATTTGGTTAGTGGTAGTGGTGGTAACGCGGGCGGAGCCGCGGGCAAAGCTAGTAACTAATAATATGGTATGGTAGCTAGTGATTAATAATAAACTAAAGGTATCATAAGTCTTTAAAATATGTTAAAAAATGTTTGAAATTTGAATGGCAGAAACAAAAAAGTCTTAATAGGTATTAGCACGGTAATGTAATGCAAACAGTATTCCAACTCGGGCCTGTCCTTTAAATAATTACCTACAGCCGAGCGGCACGTCCCCACGCGACAGGGCTGCTATAAATTTGAGATTTGAAAATATTTGCGCCTCGACTGAGACGTACGAAAAGCTTTATTGTTAAATTTAATAGTATAAAGAATCCGCATTCGGATAAAAAGTTTAATTAAAAATACTTTAATTTTTATTTTTAATTTAATTAATTAATTTTTATTTTTAAAACATACGATGTCTCGATACTTTTTTGTTTGACATTAGCGAAGTTACGGAAGGAATAAAATGTTTATTTTTGTATCAAATTATAAAAGTTACATAACATAAACACCTTATACAATTTTCGTATTCAATTATACGATCTGGCAGCCCCGCACGGTTGTCTACCGAGTGTATACCGAACGCGGCGCGCGTAGGTATAACTCGATTTCCGACCATTTGTATGAAGATGGAATACTGTATGTAATATTACCGTGGTATTAGGGTGAACAGTAAGAGCATATACATATTTCTATAGCATTTAGAATTGTTGCTTTCATAACAGAGAAGGACAACACATCATTGTATATCAAATACAACACTTTTTTGCCATTATAATTTAAGTATAACGTATAAAAAAACAATTTAAAAAAGGTGACTATAATTAATTAGACGGGATTAAGCCGCATACAAAGATTTAAATCTATTTTTTTATTTTATTCTGAATTAAATAAAATGAATAATACACTCAAATTATAAAATTTAGATGGAGAGAGAAAATCATGAAACATTTTATTTGTTAATCAGTTTTATGTTGTGTAGATACCATGACCTCTCCAGTCAACTTTTAGGTCAAGCGCAGATAATTGGTAGGTGTAAAAGTATAACAAAAATCATATTTACTACATATTACATATACCTACCTGGGAAATATTTTTATAGTGTCACTTTTAAAATATAAAGCCACCCCCTTTCGTCTCTATAGAGCTGAATTTCAATAAATCTTTCTTAAATTGGCTACCTGGTGCCATTAAATGAATCGAATGTTTAAAATTTAGACATTTACATCCATAGCAAACATTTTAAATACCTTTTTTCCACAATCTTTGGTTAAGTTTAAAAATGATAGTCATTAGCCTTGGCTGGTGTGACGAACTGTGACGAGAATAATAACTTTATTACTGTCATGTTAAATAATGAGTCTGATAGATGTACTTACTCAATGTAATGCATTAAGTAGGTATTTACATTTTACGTATTTATCGTACACAATGTTGTACCCAAACGGATAGTCCGCTCGTAACGGAGCTTTGTTTACAAAGTTACTACATCATATTAAATTTAAATATTTACACTAGCGACCCACCCTCGCTTATTCGAACTGCAATACGAGCATCCTTCAAAAACTTCTAATATTATCTATAATATCTAAACTAATATTATAAAGAGGTAAAGTTTGTGAGTTTGTGACGTTGTAGGGGGTAATCTCTGGATCTACTGAACCGATTTTCAAAATTCTTTTACCAATAGAAAGCCACGTTCTTCCTGAGTGTCATAGGCTATATATTAACCTGAAAAATGAAAAGTCTTTTTCGTGGTAGTCGGATTTGCAAAGTAAGTCGGAGAAAAAACGGTCGAACGAAAACGTTTCTTACGAACGCTGCCTTAATGATGAGAGATATATGATTATGTTCTAGAGAAAAGTTGTAGAGCTTAATAATGCCTACAAAAAAGTCAGCGACAGCATATGTCTAACTATTATATTTAAGTCACAAAAAGTAGTTTTTTATATTAAAAAAATAATTTAAGTCGGTAGGTCATGTTTATTGGTCATATTATCAACAATTATGAATTCTTATCAAAATAAGTAAATTTATCGTCTAAAATGTTTAAAACAAAAGACTTTTCCCTTTTACTGCATATAATTTGGACAAATGGTTAAAGAGATAATACAACATATTCATAGGTATGTACGAACCCGAGCGAGCTGTTTGTCTGTTTTCCTGTTTGTACGGGCTAATCTCCGAATCGATTTAAATGAAATTTTGCATGGTAGTACCTTATATCCCCGGGCAACATCTTAGATACTTTTCATCCCGGAAAATTAAAAAGTTTCCCGTGGGATAGTTAAAAAACTATAACAACTTATACAGCTTAGTACACAAAAACTACTGATTGGATTTTAATGAAACTTTACAATAATATAGTTCATACATGACAAAAACAAATCAGCTAATTTTCATCCCGGAAAATTAAAGAGTTTCCGTGGGACAGTTAAAAACTATAGTAACTTATACAGTTTAGTACACAACAACTTATCCACCTAATTTAGTAAAATTTGGCATGTTGATACCATAAATTGCCGATTAAACAACAGGTTACTTTTCATTCCGGAAAAATGAACGGTTCCCGTGGGATAGATATGTTAGTGCTTTTCTAGAGGTGAATCCGAGCGAAGCGAGGGTGAGCCGCTAGTAATATAATAAAGAGGTAAAGTTTGTGAATTGTGAGTTTGTGACGTTGTAGGGGGTAATCTCTGGATCTACTGAACCGATTTAAATGAAATTTGGTAAGAAGATAGTTTGGGACCCTGGGAAGGACATAGGATACTATTTAACCCAGAATCATCCCTTAAGGGGATAAAAATGGGAATGAAATTTTGTATTGGGAAACAAGCGGACGGGACACAACAACAACAACGGACGAACCCGAGCGAAGCGAGGGTGAGTCGCTAGTACTTAAATATTCTCCATGAACCATTACTCTTCATTCTATTGCATTGAATAATGTAGATTAGGTACTTTAAGTGAAACAAATTTTAGAATCGTTTTAACCAAATTTTATTTGAGTTTAGTTTTACCTAAGTATTTATAATGCCTATTAGTGCAAATTATTAGAATTAAACAGTAATCCTCTATTGGCAGCACATTAAAGAAATAACCTACTTAAGCCCACGGGGAATAAGAACATCAAAACTAAAGTTAATTCGTTAATTAAACTCCAATAGCATGACTAGGTCAAATAAATATCTTCATTTAGGCATTATTTATACCACCATCAAGTATTCCCGGCGGATCCCCTGTATTTTTGGAAATTATTTTTCTATACTATGACACAGTGGTGGATTTACCAGCAGACTTAGTAGGCTGGAGTCTAGAGCAGCAACTGTTTTTGTCTTACAGAAATTAAAAAGATTCATAGTTACCTAAAGTTTCATACCTAAATGTTATTATATAGGTACACACAAACAATTCAACATGTAATATGGTTCACAACTAAGACACATTTTTCAACAATTTGCTTAATATTGGTTTAAGAAATTATGGCTGGCAAATATTTACGATTGAAATCGGGAAAGTAGTACATTATTGTGTAAGTAGGTAGTATTAAGGCTTAGCCTTAGATACTTTATCCCGCCTTATATACCGCCTTATTACAGAAGTATACTCAATCTTAACTAAGTCGTTGGATTGTAAAAAAAATCTAGAAACTGACACTTGTAGAGGTCGATTTGGCCACAAAATTTGTATAGCCTACTATATAATCTCCCGATTCAGCAGCTTAAGTTTATCGCTGTCATATATATCGACTAGCATTGCCCGCGGCTCCGCCCGCGTTCAGATGACCAAAAACCAAATTCTTCTCTTACATTGCAGTTTTTGTATTTTTTTTTCTCAGAAATGAGATATTTTCCAGTGGTAAGAAGTATCCTATATGTTGACCCGGATAACCAGCTATACTCGTACCAAATTTCATCAAAATCCCTCCAGTGGCTTTTCCGTGATGCGGTAAAAAAAAAATCTAAAAACTATAGATTCTCTGTATAGATAATAAATAATAATGTCTATAAATTTCAATAAGATTTTCCAAAAAATATTTAATGTAAAGAAGATATATTTACTTAATAATGTCTTATATAAAAATTATGTTTTTGAATGAAAAAGTGAAAAAATAGCTTAACAAAAACTATAAAATTTACATTGCAATAATCGGATATCTTTCTTAACGCTTTTAAGTTAATGGGTTATTATTTACGTTGATTGAAATGTAATTGAAATTATCAGACAACTTAGCAAAATAATTGAATTCAAATATATTTACCTATTTAATATTGTTTGAATAAAGTAAAGTTTTCTACTTTTTGACCGACTTCAAAGTAAAGAGCCTACTGACATTGCATGAAGTATAGCGTTTGGTATTTTCGCCAATTGTGAACCTTTTAATTATTGTTCTTCGATTTTCATAAACCCCCTTAAAAGTGGAATAATTGCTTTTTGGTGATTTTAAAGTCTTTTCCGTTAAATTCTTTTTTTTTTGATAGCGAATATTTTTCGACCTGAGAATTTGATATACGACGTAATATACTCGTATAGATAGTTATTCTTAGATATTTTATCGTTATAAGTCTGTTTGTTTGTTACGTCTCCACAATTCGTCAGATTTGAATGAAATTCGAAAGGGATAGCCTAAATTACCACAAAGACTTCTTATCAATGATTACTTATTTTTATCAACCATACGAGTGGGGCCGCGGGCGAAGATAAGTGAGCTTTAGAAAAAATAATAATTAAAGTGTAAATGGGATATTCCAAAAGGTTACTTATTTATTATGAAAACATGACATCAGTCTGATGAAGTCCAGAATACGGAAAATCGTATATATTTATAAATTTTATAAATAGGTATACATAATGTTACAGTATGGATGTAAGATAAACAACAGTTAAGATGACAATACTTCTTTATGACTATCGTGAGCTGGAAGAAAGAGCATCGAGACATCTCAATGCTTGGAAAGGTATAATTTATTTTTGATGTCCTAGTCTACCTAATTTACCAATTTTTATAACTGAAATTATATAAATACTTTGATCCAACTCTATTAATACCTTTAATCAAATGTATGATACGTAACGTAAGTTACTAAGTTCTTGTTTGTTCGTACATATAAACAGCTGGAGTAATAAGCATAACCCTGTAAAATGATTTTATAGGCCATAACCAAATTTATTTTGGCCGATGATAAAAGTTAAAAATATAATATCCCACATGATTTAGATAAATATTTAGGAAATTAGGTCGCTCGGCTGTGGTCACTGTTGAGTTGAGGCTGGAAGAGTGATGTTAAACATTAATAAAAATTAAACTCTATTATCAATTGTCATCCTAACATTTTAATACCATATTATATTAGAATTATTTATCCAATTTTTCCTCTTTACAGCATGGCATTTAATACTTTACGCTCTGGCTGGAATCTTTGGAATCCTAAATTATGTGTTCCTTCATAATACTATGCAACTGGTTGACAACAACTGTGTTTTATATCCTCGGGAATTGGAATTCCATTTCATAGACTTACCTGAACCCAGTTCCTTAAATGTGACACAAAATTATACAAGATCTGAAAATACTACAAAACAAAATGCTCAAAATTCTTCCGTCCGAGTAGAAAACATTAATGACGACAAAAATAAAGCAGTGAAGAGAGATGTAACGAATATCAATAGTACTGCTCAAAATGACACGGACACAGGAGTGATTGAAAATGATGTTAACATAATAACGAGTAAGTTCATAATTAATATATTATAATTTTGTAATACATATAAATTGTCTTGGCATTCGCCTACGTATTTATAGTCTATACTCCTACTTATTTATAAACAGTAGTAAATATGACGAGGTCTGTACACGTATGTTAGGTACATACATACATATTGGGATATGACTATCAACTCGTGAAAACAAGTGTCAGTCAATGTTTCAGATATAATTTTGTACAATTAGTAAGGCGGCCGGCTAAATATAAGCAAAACAAAAAATTGCGTAGCGTTGTCGGAATTTATGAATCATGAAAAATACTTCTAAAAACTACCTACTTATTAATAAAAATTAAAAAAGTTAAGGATAACAAAAGGGTTATTAAAAATATAAGTTACTTATTGCATTGTTGGTACATATTTTGATATTGAGGAAGACTATCAAATTAATTATGAATTACTTATTATTACAGGTAATGGAACTCATCGTCTAGTTTTAGACACATCTCGAACTCTATTCGGTTGGGATAACGATTGCCAATTTACCGAATACATGCCTATAATGTCGACGATCCTTGCAGCCGCGTGGGCCACATTCTTTACTATGTGTCCTGGTGGTGGCTATTCCAGATCTGGGTAAATACTAAATAAGATTCATAATACTTAAGTAAAATTGATAATGTTTAATTGAGAAAAATATCTTGTTGGATTCGCTTAAAGATGTCATTTTACATTATAATCGTAGACGCCACACCTGAAACTTGAACTCAATATTTTATCACACCTTCGAATTCACTTGCGATAAGACTCAACGTGTTGTTATACATATACAGAATGGTCGGAACGTTGACGTCCAAAAATAAAATTTAGGTCCCTCGTATCGTAGGGTATCCGAATCACTCCCATGTACGTTACACGACTTTTCATAGTTTATGAGCTATGATTTTTTTTCTGAATTTTTGAGAATTTTCGACCTGACCAACTTAAAAAATTTCTAAAGAAAAATAGGAGACTTTGTCGAGATTTGTTTTTTGCAATTGAATCTTCCTAAGTAGAACTTTTATGAATAAAATAATCAGCTTCGTAACTGTGATGAAAGTTATGAAAATGTTGGTCCTAACTCCTAAGTGAAAAATTTACGATCGGTCAATTATGACTTAAATTTTCAACTTTAGATTAAAAAAATCTAAACAGATGACGACGACAGCGAGGTGGAAAATTCTTAAAATTAGCCATTTGATTAACAATAAAATTTTTTGGTCATTTTATCTTATAATTTATAATATGATGTATTTTGTAATGTTTGTTTTTTTATTTCATTACAGACTCCAAGAACCTTGGCGAATTTTGACACCAGCTTTAATATTTGCTTTAGTAATGGTTGGTCTCACTGGGTATAGTTTTACAAGCACAAGTAAGGGTCTCTACGGATTCTGTTCAGCCTTTTATAATGTAACAAACGCTACAACGTAAGTACATAATTCTGATAAAATTATATACTACAATTTTCATACATATATGCAGACAAGGCTAAATAAACAAGGCTCTATGCTAATTTCAATTTCCAGTTGTTCAGCGGTGAATTCTTATCTGGACCGCTCGTGGAATATAACATGGGGTTTTGGTGGGCGAGCGGCAGCGACGCGCGCGGCCAGTGCGGGCGTGTGGGCCAGCTGGGCCTGCGCCGCCACCTTGTTCATTGCTCGGTGCCTCACTGCGCCAGACTTCCAAGTTAGAAGGACTGGCGCTTATCTCAAGGATCCACAGCAGGTAATAGGTTTTTTTTATTAAAATAACTTTTTCTTAATAATTTTTTATACCTACACAATAATATTTGTACTTATTTTGATTTTTACTTAAAATTAATTATTTAGCCTTGAGTAGTGTTAGTATTTAGTAAGAATTGAGCGATGCTTTCAACGGTTGCAAGTAGTAATGCATGTTGGTAATAAATATTTTGTCCCATTCAATGTTGATAATGCGTATCAAATCAAGACCGTTAATTAAAACAAGATTTAGGTATGTCTTTTGTTTTTGAATTTTGAATATTGTGTAAATAATAGATACGATAAAATTTTCAATTTCACAGAAAATCACTCCCTACCTCAAAAAATCTTCACGTCGGCGTATTTCGAATAATTCACCCACCAAACGTGACAACATGTCCATTAAATCTGAACCAACTGCCACCACGGAACTGGTCACTGCTTCTATAGAACAAGGTCAAGACACTGCGCCAACATCTCCGCAAATGACTCCTATTAAGCGGGCCAATGGTGAAAATATTGAAATGACCGTAACGAATACGCCAATTATATCGCCTTAAAGACTATTTGCCCAATTATATTTGGCCAATTTTGTATTAAAACCAATGCGTGTGTAATGTGCATAAAACAAAAAATGTATATTGTGATTAATTATGTAACATGTTGATATTATTTATAAGTTTTACTTAAAAGGGTATGGAACAGAACAACGCATTTAATTTATATATTAATAGATTATAGTATTGATTTTGTATTGCTATATTAATATTAAAGTAAATCTGTGTGCTTTTATTTAAATAAATGTTTTAAATTAAAAATAAGAAGATTATTTTTGTTTTAAAATTAGCAAGGAAAACCTAATATAATGGAGTAGTGATCCTGCGAAAAATATCTGTTCTAATGGATGTTGTTCGTATTTTTATACTATAAACTACATTTAGGAATTACGGAATAATTAAGATCAGTATTTTTTCATAAACGGTTACAAAAAAGAAAGAAATACGGCAGTGCAGATTTTATATCTTTTCGGATTATTTCGCGGATTTATTTTGATTTTTGGTTCCCGACGTTTCGAATGCTTTACAGCATCCATGGTCATGGGAGAGACTGAGGTGTTACATGTCTTGAAGGTATAGTTGTCACAGACAGCCTACCCACAGTTAACAAAATGAAAATTGCACTAATTACTTTACAATATTTTTTAACTTTAAACAAAAAATATTAAAAAATATTGTAAAAATGAAAGTGTGCACCAGCTGACGGCACTAGGTTCAGTGCTGAAAGAAAAAAATATAACTATCTAATATGTATATCCATACTTATCTATACATATAATAAAATTGTAACTAAGCCGAATCTGTACATTAAATATTTTTTGGAAAATCTTATTGAAATACACATTATTATCGATATAGAGGCCGAATCTATAGTTTTTAGAATTTTTGTGTCTGTCTGTCTGTTACCGCATCACGGAAAAACCACTGGAGGGATTTTGACGAAATTTGGTATGATTGTAGCTGGTTATCCGGGTCAACATATATGATACTTTTTACCGCGGGAAAATGTCTCATTTCTGAGAAAAAATACTAAAACTGAAATGTAGGAGTATACTGATATGTAAACCTAAGAATTTGGTTTTTGGTCATCTGAATGCGGGCGGAGCCGCGGGCAATGCTAGTAATATTATAAATGTGAAAGTGTGTTTGTTTGTTTTATTTGTCCTTCTTTTACGTCGAAACGGAATGACGGAATTGACGGTTATAATAATACAACCCAAAAAATATTTGTGATCAGAATTATTTGAAATTCATCCCTATATTATAATAAAGTAAAATATAATAATACATATCGTCGATATTATAAATTATATAATAATATATAACTAATTAATTTATAATTATATAAATAAAATATAAACAAATGTTACTAACGACAATGTAAATAAAATTTTGATCAATGCCATCTTGAAGAAAAAATACTTCTCATATTTTCTGCTATTGACTATTGAGTTGGTATCATTGAGCATTGACATTATTGACTTCCCCTGTTACAGGACTAAAGCGCATTATGCGCCATAGTGCTAACTTCGAACGTTTCAACTACAGCAACGTTCCGCTCAATCGAGCATTTTGAAAAGTACTGCTTTGTAGTGTTGCCCATCGATAGTCGATTATCGATAGCATATCAATAATATCGTTGTTATCGATAATATCGATAGTATCGATAGCTTGAATTGCGACAATACTTTAATAGTATTCCGTTAATCGGAGAGCAATGATATCGATACCATCGATAGTATTGCTGCTAATGAATTATAAATTATCAATAGTATCGATACTATCAAATTTTAGGGCTGGGCCGTTTTAGATGAAAACTATCGATAGTGAAACTATTAATACTTCGTCAACACTACTGCTATGGCGTGATGCGCGCGAGGATACCAACTCAATAGCAGAAAATATGAGAAGTGGTTTCTTCAAGGTGGTATTGATCAAAATTTTATTTACATTAACATTAGTAATATTTGTTTTATTTATATAATTATATATTAATTAGTTATATATTATTATATATTTATTATATACTTGATAATATCGTAGATATGTATTATTATATATAATATACATAGTTATATATTTTTTTCAACTAAAAACCTAGTGCCCTCTGCTGGAGTACTTGAAAACTAATTCACGTTCCAGTTAAGCATTAGCATACTTCGGCATTGTGCGCCAAAGTACGGCACTATGCTCTGGAATTGGAAAACAGGGTTATTTGACAGAGACTTAAAAATTGCTGTGAGCTGTTTTGCTTGATAATATGTCAACGCCAACCTGACAGTTCTAATTGTCAAAAAAGGAAATTACCAAATAAAAGTTTAAAGAATAGTGAAGTTGTGAAATGAAATAAACATTTGCCGAACTAAAGTTATTGTTTTGGAATATAATGCTCTCTTGTCAGGTAAATAGACTTTTATGCAAACGTTATGTAATAAACCAACTTCTACGTAATAAACATGATGTATCGCCGGCTAAAGTACTATATCCTTTAAAAAGTCGCACATTAATAAAAATAAAGGGTCATGATGCTGCAGCTTTTCTCCAAGGACTTATTACAAACGACATGAAACATTTTGAAGACGGTGCCAAATCCATTTATGCCATGTTTCTTAATAATAAAGGTAGAGTTCTTTATGATACTCTCATTTATAGATGGAATAATGAAGATACATTTTTAATAGAATGTGATAAAAATGTTACAAGCTTATTACAAAAACATCTTAAGATATTTAAATTGAAAAGAAAAGTTGAAATAGAAGATTTAAGCAATGAGTTTAATTTATGGGCATTTACATCTTCTACTGGTCTGAATGAAATATCAAATTTAAATCACAGTTCAATTTTTAAAGATCCTCGCCTTAGTGAATTAGGATTTCGTATAATTTCTCCAGCTTATATAAAAGATAGTCATATGACTGAAAATTTAGGGAAGGATGTTACTGAAAATGACGAGAACGATTATAAATACTTACGTTATAAATTAGGGGTTAGTGAAGGATCTGATGATCTACCTCCAGGAACTAGTTTTCCATTAGAAGCTAATTGTGACTACTTACATGGTGTCAGCTTTCACAAAGGTTGTTACATTGGTCAAGAATTGACAGCTAGAGTTCATCACACTGGAGTTGTAAGAAAACGAATAATGCCAATAAAATTCACTCAAACTGTATCTAAAGATATTGAAAAAGATTCTGTAATATCTTCTAGTAAAGACCCAAAAAGTAAATTAGGAAAATTGAAAGGTGTAATAAACGACTATGGATTAGGACTTATTAGAATTAAAGAGGCTCTAGATGCAAAGAGCCTAAATGTTGGAAATTATTCAGCTGAACCATTGAAGCCTTCATGGTGGCCCTTTGAAGCTCCAAAAGAAGTATCAAAGATTGAATAGATTAATAAAAATAACAGACATATATTTTCAAATATTCAATAGAATTTTATATGTATGTATCTAAGTTATAATGCAAGAATAATTGTAATAATTCTTTACGAATGATTAACTATTTAATGAGATGTCTAGATTTATTAATATATTATTCTAGATATTAAATATACATGACATGCTTCTTTTGTTTCAGTTAAATGGATAAAAAACCTAAGGATGAATGTGCACAAGTTGTTTATGACTTTAAGTGCTCTCAATGTGGATTGTTTGAAGAAGCCCACTACAAAGGCACATATCCACCTTTTTCACGCAAGATTGAACTGAAGTATCCTAGTTATATAATGAAAGACCCATTCAGTCCTCCTGGAAAGGGAGAAATCTTAATTTTGGGTGCAGACTGTGTGATGTGTAATAAGACTGTATGTATTAGTAAACAATGCAGCATCTTTTATCTTAAAACATATTGTGTTGAATGTGTACAAAATATGATAGATAAATTTCCTAATGAAATTACAAAAAAATTAAAAAAGAATTAGCAAAAATAATGCTCTTTAAACTTATTGAATTAACAGTTTAAAGAAAATATGCAAAATAGGTACCTATCCAATATCCACACCAGGCTTAATTTTGTTATCTGACTGGATTCTGTATAGTAATGCAATATCTAGTTGGATACAGGATATTTAAAAACTGTGATTATTTATTAATGAACTGCAAGAAAATAAATATTTGTGGAGCAAATAATTCTAAGTTGACCTGAAAATAAAAAATTTCATTAATATGTGAAAAAAAAATCAATTTTCTTCACTCTCACTTATATCATAAGAAGAACAAGGGTACCTGATGAATTACGTTAATCTAAATCACAATGACACTCAAATATGCCTGAATGCTCCCAGAGATAAACTTGTAACATGCAATGTGACAATAGGCAGAATGTCCGGATGCCGGATATCTGGTCAAACAACTATCTATTTCATCCCTAATTAACATTACTCTATGGAAATAAAACACATAATTTATAAAATACTGTTTACTTTGGCTTTCGAGTCCGATTTACAGTATTTTTTATTTAATTTTCACAAATGAATTCAATAACACAGTTATATTCGATCGAAACTCTAGTTTCAATCACTTTAGGTAAGTAATTATAATACATACATTCAAATAACCATTACAAGCCAGTAGTTGATGCAGATACAACCACAACACTATAAAAAAGCAGCCAGCTTATGTCGCACTTCATTGGAAACAAAATGATCTTAAAGTTATTAAAAAGATAATTACAGCATAGTTTATATTAAATGTAATATATTAATAAGCTCTAAAGTGACAAAATTAAATACCTATATTCTGTCTCCATCACCAGTCACTCGATTCAGATTGTTAGCACCACAATACATCAGAACCCTTCTAGAACAGTGACTGTTTCCAAACAACAATGATCCTTACTATACCAACACAATCAAAACTGTTTTAACAATATATGCTAAGAGCAATTGTTATATAACATATAAATTACAGAGAAATATTATTGCTTTCTGTTCCCTAGTTAGCTATTGTTGTATGTAAAATATTCGAGACAGAAATTTCCATGTGTAATAAAGTCATAAGCACTAGAGGTGTGTAAAAATAAGCTAATAATGTTTTAATTTGTCTTCTGTGTATTAGAAATGAACTATTAGAAAAAAGAAATGACTTACTAAATTATACTAGTTTTATCAGAAAAAAATTTGGTTGATTGTTGTACTTCTATGTCACACACCTTTAGTAACAACATTTTGTATAATAAAAAAAAAAATGCTGTAGGATCAATAAATGTTACCATTTTAGTTAAAAAATAGACATATATTAGAAAAAATTTGCATGCTATACATTTTACCTACTTATGACAAAAGACTATGTAAAACCTTATATAATATTTTATTATTTGTGTAAACAACTGGGCAGTGTGCTATTACTTCCTATTTTCAATTAAAGAATACATTTTCTAGCGATTATATGAAAATAAGATCATTGTTTATTTCTAAAAGGTTCATGACAGAATCTTTATTACTGAAAAATAATGTAGTTTTTTTATCTTTTACTAATTCAGTCTAAAAATAATGCACTCATTCAAAACTAAATATGTAGGCTGCAATTGAATCGGCTGTCTCGAATTAATATATTAATATAATTCTTTCATACTTAACCCCAATTTTTAACTTGCTTGTACATGCATCTGTATTTCATTTTTGGGTTATTTAATATCTAGTTATGTGGCCATACAACCATATTTTGTAATACTAATAAAGTTTTTTGTTGAATTAAACATATATTTTTTTTCTTCAATGTGCAATTCAAATTTCAAAAATAAAGTGAGGATATTGTGAAATTCTTGTTTCACAAAAATTACAATTATGTCAATACATATACAAAAAATGACATATATTAAAGATAAGATATATAGATCCAACTATAATATAAATAAGTGGTACTGGCCTCGATTTACAATTTAGCAAATGAAATAATTGGACGTTGGACGGGTATTTTCTTACAGTAGGTATAAAATTGTGATCTAAGTTTTGATTGAACTGGGATACTCTAATTGGATGAGTGAAAAATTTCACGCAGCTCTTTCATATTCCTATACTAACAAAATTTTCACAGCCGAAACATAATTATAATTTTGATAAAAACTTATTTTCCAAGGTTACTGACCTCGAATTTAAAATAGGCATCCATAAATTCTTTTTTCCTGACACTTATATATATAAAGGATGCTATTAAAAATGGTCACCGACGCTTGAAAGTTATCGTTATTTTAAAATGTAGACACATTAAAAAACATATTTTTGGTCACTAGATATATTAATTGACCACTAATAATAAATCATTCCTAACCTAAACATCTTAAAACTAAAGTATAATGTTTGTCTAATAATAATGACCGCGTCCGGGAATGAATTGAATTTATTCCAAGAGATTCTGTCAAGCGATACCACTAACACATCTAACATACAGTATTAGTTACACTCGTTATTTTAATTTACCTAAAATGGTCACATAAATTATATACTATATGGTGGAAAAGTTAAATATTCATGTTTATTCGAAAATATGTGGGAATATATATTTTTTTTAAATTGGTGGAGTTGAGAAAAAGTTGTTGTCGTATATATAAGTATATATTTTTTTCTATTTATATAAATAAAACAATATTAAACTTAAATGAAGATATTATAATAAAAATAAATTCACCTGATGACAGAAGATTATATTTCTCAATCCCCCTGTTCTGAGATATGTAACTTATGTGACCACTAACATTAATTAATTTGAAATGTCATCATTTCAAGTTATAGTAAACAGAGACTATACATATTTACTTTAAGCATCGTTTGTTATAAACAAACATCTTACTGCTATAATACATTGAACAAAAACGTTACATCTAAAAAGGTTTTTAAGATTACAACTTGAGCCACTTATGCGCCTCGAAGAACAAACCAAAGGTTTCGATTATCTGGTTTGTTATTCGAGGTCTCATATGAAAAAATTGATACATCACAAATAATAAATAATATTTTTCATATCCTAATTATATTAAAGTCACACCTAATAGTTTAAAAGAAATTGCGTGCCTTTCAATCTTTCAGAAGTGACTTTAATTGAAGCGATGAACGATTTTTTCATAAAAGTTTTAAATCTATGTTAGTCTGTGCCTTACCACCTGTAAAGCAGAGTATCAAAGACCAAATTTTGTGATGATTGACGTTTGGAATGTTTCAAAGAGTGGTGTGTACAAAAATAACGCATAACAAGCTAGCTGCACAATTTTGAAATAAATTTGAAAGTACGAAGTTATTTCTTGCGAAACGAAAGTTTATAATTTCCATTATATATTTGTTTCAGATAAAATGATATTTTTTAACATTCATATAATTAAATGTTGTGGATTTTCTTCAATACATTTTGACATAGCAGTTAGCTGAAATTATCAAATAATTTTAACATGTAGAAAAGCTTAGTTCTCTGTACTAATATGTATTTATCAGTTCGGTATGAACGTAAAATTACATTTTATAAACTCCGAGTATTTATTACGTGAAAATGATTAAGTACATGTTAGTGTAGTTAACAAATAATTTTATCTTTTGTTTAAAACGACCATATTAACACGATAGGGACACGACTAAAACATTTAAAATTGTATTATAATTTAATTTCAATAAAAACAATAAGTTTATTAAATTATAACTCAGACAACATCATTAAACTTATTTATTAAATAGAAACCGTAATGGTATTAAAGGATATTTTAAAAAATTATTTTATATTATTACTTTTTAATATATATGTATAACAATTAAAAATAAATGTGTTAGTTCTGTACCTTTGGCTTGTAGGTCGCTATCTTGTTTCTATACATTATATTTTTATTACCAATGACTATAAAGTTGAAAATTCAAACATACATATATAATTCAATAAAATACCTGAGCATAGAAATATGTAGGGTTTGCATAATAAAAGTTGAGAGGTACGTGTGCTCCATATTAAATAATTTAGTTCCACTACGGGCACGAGACGTGAGCACAAAAGCTTGACCGTAGCTTATTCTTTAGCGACAAAAAATGTAGCGATTGCCTTTTAAACAAAAATCTATTAGCGCCACAGTATACCATATTATAGAAAAGAAATATGATATGTGTGCCAAGTTACAAGTACATAAGTTTATATTAATATAAATTTGACACATAAATGTCTATTTATATTGTAAATATATATGAATTTAAAGAGACAAAATACGTAAATGGTATATGGCAGTGAATAAGTAATATTATGAACAATTTATAAAACATATAAAATCGAAATATCGATATCGAAACGTCGTATAGTATTTAATACCTAAAAAAATTTCAATATGGTCGAACTCACCGGCAACACTGTCGCTAGTGAGCGGCGGACGTCTCGTGCCGGTACTTATATATATAGCGCGTGTGTGTGAAAGTCTCAGTCATCGGGCGGCTGCTGCAACTGGTGGAGGCGGCGCAGCGCGTGCGACAGCAGCGGCAGCAGATCCGGCAGCGCGGGCGCCGCTTCCTCAGACTCGTCCGATTCCTCGAGCGGCTCGTCCGCGTCGCTGCCGTCGACGGACGGGCAGCGAACCTCGCTAGCTGCGCCACTCGCTTCCGTCTCACCGTTTTCCTCTTCTGTGTATATTGTTATATTTATTATTTACGATCATTTATAATATAGTTATATAGATAAAAAATAAAAATGTATGAGTGATGCATATGTTATAAATAGCATAGAAAGTAATCGTGACCATTAGATTCGTTTAGGGGCTGTATTCAGAACTATCGACAGCAATAGGGAATATGCGTTATTTTTTATACAATAGCTTAAATCGTTATATAATTGTAAAAAAAGAAATATCCAGCCACAAAAACTAAAATTTAGTATGAAATTAAAAAAATATACATTATTATATCGATACGGATATTTTAAACGCCCGCAATTTCGCGCGCTTGGCATGACGTTACAGTATATCATATGAAGAAAAATCACGACGCAATTTGTAGCGATAAAATCGCTAATCACTCTGATAAGATATACTCTAACGTCATATTCGGTCTGACCAATGGCGTTCGTCTCAACTACTTTGAATTTCCCACCTATTTTTACTATTTTCTTCATCAAAAAGAAATGATATTAAAAATATGTAGTATGTGCGTAGTTTACATTTTGTTGCTGATAGATGGAGTTATGGGTATGTTGAATCACGCTATCGTTTGGTTCTTTCGAATTAGCTAAAAGGATAATTGAGAAACATATTAAATGACGGTCCAAATCACTGGTTGTTTTATTGTGACATCAGAAGGAGACGAAGTGTCTCCTGAAGCAAAAGTGGATCGTACAGTGACTAACTTAAGCTAAACAATGAGTTTGTCCATAAATATTAATTTTGTGACTAGCAAGTAAGAAATCCATTCACCGTCAATTGTACATGGTTGCGTATTTTATTATTTTTTGATAAGTCTGCAGTAGCATAGTAGGAAAAATCACATAGTAAAGATGCATAAAGTAAGAAATGCTGTTTAAAGCTAGGGTTGTAAAAAGTACCAATTTCCATAGTAGTTTCGAAGTTAATGCTATCTCGTGGCAAGTGCCAGTAATACCCGGCAACCCTAAAACCGTTTCTCAACTGTCATAGAAAAAATAAATAAAATAGTCGTGTGCACCTCACCCGCGCACGATTCCCCTGTTTAGACAACAGTATGAATTAGTAGAGGTGGGGTAGTGAGCATATATAATATGAGTATACCGACCGGTGGGTCTGATGAGTCGCTGGTGCAGCGCGGCGGCGGCGCGGTGCAGCGCGGCGGGCGGCGGGCGCGCGCGCTCAGCCAGCAGCAGCAGCGCGCGCGCGCCGCCCAGCAGCGCGGCCAGCGGCGCGCGCGCGGCGCTGCCCGCCAGCTCGTCCGCCAGCGCCTCGGCCGCGCGCGCCGCGCCGCCCGCCATCGCCACGCCACCGCCGCCGCCGCCCGCCGTGCTCGCGCTCGACGCGCTCGGACTCGTTGCGGCGCCCAGCTGCGTACATTAGAGCGAGATATCATCATGAACCACATTGAATATGTCTATTTCATATTTTTATTAATATGCACATCCCACAACATGTAATTTTGTCGTAAGTAATACATATACCGGTAATGTCTGTCGTAATAATACACCACATCCAATGCATTACATATATATAACTTTGTCATACTCACTATCCCAAATCATATTGTAGTTTTTAACTACAATAATATTAAATATTAAACATCAACATACGTTACATCTTTTGTACTTTCACATAACATTTAATTTATGCGTAAACATATTATCGTTTTTAAATTAAAAAATCTCTTTATTAATTTCAGCCAATTTAAAAATTAACCAGAAGAAACACATAACGTAGAAGTACTAAATATTGTAGAAATGTAATTACTTTAGGATAGTAATGTTGCATGAAGTCATATATGGCGGGGTCCGCGAGCGACTCTCGCTCGTCGAGCAACACCGCGTCCACGTACTCCGCTACTACGCTGCACTCTAACAGCATTTCTTCTAATTTCGCATCGGCCTGGAAATATATTTAATACAATTACTATAAGCGTGTATTTAGAAAACTGAGTGTTATTTGTACAATTTATTATGTTTAAATTCGTATAACAATTAATTAGCATAAACAGTATTTTACTTATTACCACAATAATTATATAATAACACTCAGAAGACGAATATGGCGTATTTTCTATCGATGATAACAGTAATTCAATTATGTATCCTCCGTAAGCACGTCGTATTAAATTAATGTTTATGTAAACTTCCAAACGCGATCCAAGTTGGACTAGCGCTACATAAATTTCTTTATTTAATGCAATATGTTAAACAATCAGGGGATTAGGCAGTAATCCACCACATTGGCTGACTTCACATGTCTTTCGAAAGCTTGCTAGATTCTCTCAGACATGCTGGTTTAATCGCGATATTTTCCTTCACCGTAAGAAAAATGGTAATCATGTTGAGAACGATTAGCACATGACAATATCATACGTGCGAGACTTGGTATTTGAACCCTCTTCACTTGGCGCCAAAGCAAATGCGTCACCATTAAGCTGTGACTGCTTCATAATACATGTTACAGTAAAATGAGACAAACCGGCGACGCAGCAACGTCTCTCCAGAAGGCGGCGAAGTAATTGAAGCGCAGCGGCACGGCCTCGAGCGCGCACAGCGCCGACAGCAGCACGAGCTGCTCCGACATGCAGCGCTGGCTGCGCGCCACGCGGCAGCACGTGTCTGCGGATTGTTTTGCTATGTTACACACTAGCGACTCACGCTTGCTTCGCTCGGGTTCGTTCCTAGTTACATTTTAATTTTTTTGATCGGAACCCCAATTCTTTTACTGAAATAAAAGTAGCCTAAGTTACTCCTTATAACATCAACTACCTGCCAGTGAAAGTCCCGTCAAAATCGGCCCAGCTGTTTCGGAGATTAGCCGGAACAGACAGACAAAATTTTTAAAAATCGAGTTTTTATATTAATACCGTATATAATTCCATATGCATTTCGTAAAAAGCAGTTATTGTGACATTACAAACAGACACTACCTCTTTATAATATTAGTATAGATTTTGAAAAGACTTTTGAAATCAAAATATTAAACTCTTTTAGATTTGTTTTAAATGTTTTATGTTAATTTCAAGGCTAACACATTTTTATACATAATACTCTATGAGAATAATGATTACTACATATAACAAATTAAAGTTTTCCCCGCCGCGACCAGTTTGTGATTATTCGGGCTAGAATCTCAGAAACTATGTATTTTCATATGGTTTCACCAAAAGAAAGAACGCTTCATGTAATCTAGAAATCTTATGAGCTAAAATGTCCATAATTTTGCGAAAATAAGTACAGGTTTGATGATATTTGTAAATTAAGTTGGAAAACATCGTCAGAGGTGTGGTAATATTATAAATGCAAAAGCCATCTAGTGTCACTAGATACAAATAAAATATTTATAAATTTATTGTAAATATTGAGCATATGCAACACGAAAAAAGTACGAAACTGTAATAACTTTAATTAAAAAAATAAGAATTCCTACACTTTTAATCCAACTGGGGGTAAATTAAATAAACTAAATGCATTATATATATATATATATATATATATATATATATATATATATATATATATTGACATCGATTGATAACTCATTCAAGATGGAAAGAAAGATACATAATATATAGAATGCTAATAACATAACTGTTTTGGCTTTGCCGTAGTGGAGTAAAATATGTACTAACCCAGTGCCGGATTCAACCTGAGCGCCGCCCCTGGGCAATGTAAGAAATGCCGCCCCATTATAGAAATTATGTATAAAATGGATAAAGCTTTGATATATAATTTTTTTATTCAGAAATGTTTGACCAAAGCAAGAAAATAGTTTTGAATAGTTTTCAATTTTTCAAAAAATTTCCTTGTTATTTTTTTTATATTCATTATTTGGAAAATAACAAAAAAATAAAACATTTTCGATAACTTGATCTTCTTTTATCCTTCGAATTTTGGCGCGCCTAAAAATTTGCAGCCCTGGGCACTAGACCCGAGTGTCCCTGGCGTAAATCCAGCGCTGTACTAACCGATAAATTTGTGATAGGGCCTGTAGAGGGCGGGGCGCGGCGGCGAGTGCGGGTGCGGGTGCGAGTGCGAGCGCACGCGCGGGCGCGAGGCGGCGCGCGCGGCGGCGTGCGCGCCTGCCGCCAGCGGCACCAGCGCGCCCAGCGCCGCGCCGCCGCCGATCAGCACCAGCTCGCGGAGCACACCTATGGCACACTTATTGCTCACTTTTGTGTCTGCTATTGTCGATAAACTTTGGCTCCGTTTCATTTAAGATAGTCATATATTTGATGACTCATTTCACATGAGACCACATGCTTAGTTATTGATCATGAGTTGAGAGATCATTAAAATTATGTTAAATTTTAACTTTTAAAAAATATTTTTAATGATGACAAAACAAAAATTTTAATATTTTGTTCAAAAGAATTCTACATTTGTGATAAGTTTTATATCTCAGTGACCAGCATGTATAGCTAAAACGCCGAAGGTTATGCCCGATCTAGAACTCGGACGAGTTCTAGATCGGGCCAAATATAGTTCTTAAGTTTTCTGTTAAGAAAATCTCAGTAGTAAGCCCTGATTTGGGAAACTGGCGGTATCAAATGTTCGTTTCTCTAATCAGCCGTGTCGAAGTATCGTTACATCCTTTTGAAAACGAAAGGAGAAGACAGTACATATGTTTTTGCTCATATCCTTCTGCCACTATATACAAATATAATATGTTCTATGTCACCGTGAAGAATTCGGACTTGAGGCCATTTCATTGCATCAAACACTGTAATGTCGTACTGACCGAGAGCAGCATGCGGCAGACGGGGCGTGCGCTGGTGCAAGTTGAGCAGTGTGAGCAGTCGGCGCGCGCACTCCGGCCAGTCCTTGCAGGCGAGGAGCAGCGCGCGCGCCTCCTTGGCGTCGCGGCGCGTGCGCAGCGTGCGGCACAGCGCGCGCGCCCAGCGCAGCGCCGCGCCCAGCTCGGCGCGCACCGCCCCGCTCGCGTTCACGCCCACGCCCACGCCGCCCACGCCCGCGCCGCCCTCTACGTACACCGCGTGGAGACTGTGTAGAGCCTGCGTATACGTGTACAGGATAATAATTATTCTTTTTTTATTTTTGTTATGTATTTTATAGCTTAATGTCAGACTCTCATTACCTCTTAAAGCAAAAGTATTATATATATAAAGTATAAAACAACAACAATTGTGACATGATTTTTTTTTAATTCTCGATCAAATTATAATTGAAAGTACAATTTCTTCACAATATTATAGAACTTTCTGTTTACACTTACTTCAAAAGTCATCTGCAGTCCTCCATTATAAACTACATAAAGTCTATCGTCCTCGTTCTCGACGAGCGTGCAGAATGCTGATATCAAAGTCGTCCAACACGTTCGTCCGTTTAAACCTGAGATAAATTGAATAAAAATGTAACAAGAACTGTAGAAATATAGAATTAATATCAAACTGACAATATGTAATTTAATAATGTCTAAATGGTGAGCAGACATTTAATATTAATGAGACTTATTAATTATTTTATTATATAACTGAAAATTCTTAATACATGTAGAAACAAGATGACAAATAAACGAATTAAATGTGTGAGTATTATTAAAGTTTACCCTGTAAATATGCAGAGAGCGTGCTCCGCCTGAAGGCAGCGGCCTCGCGCGCGTCCACGCCCTCGCCGCCGCCCGCACCGCCGGTGCCGCCGCGCGCCGCCAGGATACGCGCTAACCTAGATTATAAATTGAACGTAGTTATTATGTTGATATAAATATTACATAAACGCTTTTTATTAAATATATTCTTATAAAAATAGTCTTTTAGTAAGTCAAATTTATATAACCACAAAAATGGGAATTATAAAGAAGATAAGGAAATCTCTATAACCGTATTAGGAGATCTGTGGAATGGCATAAATCGTCAATCCCTCAAAGCATTGACAACGGTAATGTACCAAATTAAAGTAATATAATTTTTTTATCAAAAGATAAATGTATGAGACAGGAAGTATATGATTGAAATATATATATTTTGGTTGACAACATATTATGTAATGTAATGTTCTCCTGACCGATTTCGGCTATGGCGGGCAATCTCACTGAGACTAGCCAAATGTGGAGGAGATGGACCGACCCGGGGCTCGAACCCAGGACCTCCGGATCTGCAGCCGTACATGGTAGTCACTAAATCACCGAGGCAGTTAATAATGTAGAGTAGTAGTATATAAAAGTAAATCACCTCAGAAGTTCGTCCGCGGCGCCGGGGTAGAGATGCGCGTGGGGCGCGATATTGCGGAACGCCCAGTGTATGTTCTGGTGCTGCGCGAGCGCGCGTGCGAAGGCGGCCGAGCGCCGGCAGCACAGGCGCAGCAGCGCGTAGTACGGCGGCAGCATCGCGCGGTTGTATGTCACTACTTCGCCATCCTCGTGGTCCGCTCTGCGATTAAGTTTTTGTGATTTATTTAAATACTAGCGGCTCACCCTCGCTTCGCTCGGGTTCACCTCTAGAAAAGCACAAACAGATTTATCCCACGGGAACCGTTGATTTTTCCGGAATGATGAATTTTCCGGATGAAAAGTAACCTGTTGTTTGATCAGCAATATAAGGTATCAGCATGCCAAATTTTACTAAATTAGGAGGATAAGTTGTTGTGTACTAAGCTGTATAAGTTACTATAGTTTTTTTAACTATCCCACGGAAACTCTGGAATGAAAAGTATCTTAGATGTTGACCGGGGACATAAGGTACTATCATGCAAAATTTCATTTAAATCGTTTCGATAGTTTCGGAGATTAGCCCGTACAAAGAGACAAACAGACAGAGAAACAAAAAAATTGAAAAAACTGGATTGGTTCTATTTCTTTTCTTTCGGGGTGTAAGAAGAGAACTGACTCGGTTTTTAGCAATTTTTTTCTGACCTCTACAGTTTTATTATATGTATAGATAGACTAAATAACGTATAATAAAACAGTAATATATAATAATGAAAATAGTTATAGCAAGTGTACCCTAGGAGATAGACATATATTATGTAGAACTTTTCTATAGACCTTTTTAAGACTTTTCTTGCACAATGTTTTGATCTCTTAAGGTTGAGCCAACGTTAACCATATAAATTTCTAAGGACGATTCGATAGAACCAGTTATTGTGTTTTCCCGAATGAATAATTTGCCTGTCGTAAAAGGTATCCTAAATATTGACCCGAGTACTAAATTTTATCACGATACAAAATTTAGTTAAAATCGGTTGAGTACTTTTTGTGTGAAACGCGCATATCGATTTGCCTAAGTTAGTTTTATTATACGTATAAATAAGAATAAATATTGCGAGTGTAACTTAGGAGATAGACAATTCGGAACTTTTCTGTAGGACTTTTCAAGACTAACAATTTTTTAGTATATTGTTTCAATGTATGTATGTCTTAAGGCTTAGCCAGCGGAAGGTTTCTAAGGAGGACTCGATAAAACCAGTTATTGTATTTTCCCGTGGGAAAGAAAGATTTTCTTGAAGTAAAAGGTATCTAGGCAGTGGTATCCCAGTGGTAACGTGCTCGCTTGGGAAACCGAGTGAAGCAAGTTCAAATCCCAGGTCTCGCACCTCTGATATTTTCATGTGCGATTTATTTCTAACACAATTACCACTTGTCTTCACTATGAAGTAAAACATTGTGAGGAAACCTGCATGTCTGAGAGAAACTACCAAGTTTTCAAAAGACATGTAAAGTCTGCCAACCCGCACTTGGCCAGCGTGGTGGACTATGGCCTGATCCCCCTCGTATTGAAGGGAGCCCGTGCCCAGCAGTGGGACATTAAAAAGGGCTGAATACATACATACATAAATACATACATACAATCAAAAGGTACCCTTAATGTTGACTCGAATTTGGTGAAGTTATCACTTCACCAAATTTCGTTGAAATCGGTACATTACTTTTCGCGTGAAACGCTCACGCAAAAACAGACAAACAGACATACAGGCAAACAGACAAACAGACAATTTTTTTAATAACGATTGTTTTGGGGTCTATGTTGTGAACATAATACGTTACAAATAAACAAAAACATCTATCCCACGGGAACAGTACATTTTTCCAGGATAAAAAGTAACCTATTTGTTATTCTGATTGTGGGGGTTGTTGATAGATGTAAATTGATAGAGTATGTAAATTGATAAAAGTCTACTGAGAATGTTTTAAATGCTTGATTTATTAGAAATAAACTGCTATATTAAAATGATTAAAATGATATATGATGTGAGCACGCCCGGGCTTCTTGCTTGCCGAATGCGAACTAGCCTAACTTTTAGAATAATAATTAATATATAATGAAATAAATGACGCGTCATGAGAAAAAATGATGAATTACAATATGTACGGTTGCACCGTACATGCTCCCAGGGGAGAGAAAAATAATGAATGATAAATGATTATGATAATGAGACAAGGTGAAGCCATTAGGTCCTTATACTAGATATTTAGAGCCCCTAAATGAACTTTGTCTTTCTAGGGATTGGTGAAAGACACTTGTCCACTTTACGTTTAGGAATTTCACTATATATTTTGTGTTCACTTTGATTTTCAGTAACGCACTCGATCTTACACTCATTATTACGCGCACTGACACTATATACACAATTGATCGGCTGAAACTTTGAGCTGCCGGTCGGCAGGGGTTGCTCGACGTTGGTGGTGGGTTGAGTAGTCGCTTGTTCGACCCTCACCACCGCCGGCTGTAGAGGCCGCTTGCTACGAACTCGTCGTATCACGAAGATGACTCCAACGAATAACGTAATTCCCAAAATCACATATATTACAGTGTAATGATGAATGTCGTGATAAGAAATTTGATTTGGTATGTTTTCATTACTTTTAAGATTCTCTATTTGTTTCTTGAGGTCATCTAATTGCTTATCGTGAGATAAATTATAATTTTTATGAAAAAATTTTGGGAAGCTAATATTTATGAGATGGTTGATTGGTTCTATTTCCGACGCATAAAACTTAGTCTTTATGTGTAATTCACTTAAGCCTTCATTATGTGAGTAGATGGTATAATTTTCGGTCTTTAATAGGCACCCTTGTTCAATACCGAGTATTCCGGACTTCTCCATTCGTCCTGTAACCGCGTGGTCGTCACATAACACACGAATATAGCATACATCACAACAAAAATATAAGTATTTGTTTATTTTATTAATTTTTATCCACTCATTCGTGCATGTACTTATGGTTATCTTGCATTTTCCTGTATTTTGATCGATTTCACATAAGTTCTCGTCATTTTTTAAGTGATAAATAGGTCTCTGTACATAACACAGGTATAATTCACTTCCGTCGTATTCACATGAATTGATGTCAATAGTGTTCATGATTAAGTAGGATTCCCTTTGTAGGTTTATAGCTACGTACTCCGCAACGGGTATTATTTTCGCCATGTTCGAGTTACTAATAGCTCGAGGAATTGATAAAATGTTCATGATTTCGAATGAGTCCCGAGTAATTAGAGGAACTTTTAATTCAAATATTAGATATTCTCTGCACATCCTTGCTTTGACCTTTAATAGATGATAAATTCTTGTAAAATCTGTTTGGAGGTTGTTAATAGGTAATGAAACGTCCTTAGTGAGATGACTTGATATTGTACTTAGTGTATTTCTTAGCTGGTCTGGGTTTATCAAATGAAAATTGAACCTGCCATGATAGACGTCTATTACGGTATTTAATAATGTAGTCTGCATTGTTTCTAATTGCCTTAACATGTTACTCACTGCTATTGCACCCAAACTAAATTCATTAATTAAAGCATTTTTTGCGGATTCACTCTTTAGAAAATTTTCTAAGTTTTCAAGGTTCATGGAAAGCTGATTGAGCATTTTGTGTTGTTTATTGAGAGATTCTTCATTCCTCTTCAAAATATTATACTCAACCTCTAAGACAGACGTTTGATTTTTTAGAAGTAAAGCCAAATGATTCTCATTGTTTATATTGTTCGGCGAAAAGATCGTCGAGTACACCGAACAGGCTGTTAGCAATATATCCGACACCATTGAGAAGGCCGCGGCGTCGGCGCTTGTCTTAGCGCGTGCCGGAATGTTGACTAAGCAACAGGTGGTTATTGTATTCCAATCCCGAGTACTCAAGTTGTAGTTGGATTGATATGACGTCACAATGGGAATCTCCTTTTATTTTTATACAAAGGCGATCTAAGTATTTTATGTAATCGTTGCATGCTGTTGTTCCTTGCCAATATGGATTCATGTCATAATAAGAAATTATCTTCCATTCGTCTCTTATTAATTTCATATCGGCGAGTTTGTCGAAATATATGCTATTATTTTGTATAGGAGTTATTTTGAATGAGGCACTCGACGTAGGTATTATTGTAATAAAGAAATATAATAAGGATAAACATAGAGTTGAAAATTTAATTTGTTTAGTTTTAATTTTATTAGTTTTAGGGCTGTCTTTGTTTGTTTTTAAGTTTATTTCAGATTGTTTTGTATTTGATATAGATGAATCTTCCTTTGTTTCATGAACTGGCAGTACAGAGAGTTTGATAATTGGGCGCTGGATAATCCCATTTTTAGTTTTTAGCGTGACGACTCGCACTCGGCCATCCGAGCCGGGATGTAGCTCCACCACTCGGCCGAGGCTCCATTTTCCTGGCGGTAAGTTAGTATCCTTAATGATAACGACATCATCGATTTCTAAATTTTTTTGCGGGCGAGTCCACTTGCTTCTCGCATTTAACTGAGTTAAATATTCATTTTGCCATCGATTCCAAACATTGTTAAATATCTGTTGTGTTAAGTGCCACCGTGTTCTTAGGTCATGTTCTGTTTCGTAAATTGTCAGCATAGGGCCGCTTGACAGAAAGTGAGATGGAGTCAAAAAGTTTAAATCGCTTGGATCTTCAGTAAGTAAGCATAAAGGCGGCGAATTTAAGCATGCTTCCAGCTGAGACAACAGTGTTGCGTATTCTTCAAAGGTAAGTCTTTGCTCACCTATCACCCTTTTTAAATGGTTTTTCAAGCTTTTTACCGCCGCCTCCCATAACCCACCTGCGGATGGCCACGAGGGGGCGTTGAAATGCCAATGAATCCCCATTTCCGAGACTTCTTTCATAAAATCTTGATTAAATATTTTTTGTAGTTCTTTGTATTCCTGTTGTAAAATTTTACTAGCTCCTTGAAAGTTAGTACCTTGATCACTATATAAAGGTCTGCTAATCGAGTATTGCTTGGTAAGATAATGGGATGCTTCATTTCGGGATCAATATCTGCATGCCGTAGTCTTCCTCCCACGCGCAGCAAACCGTTTTCATCTAACATTGCGTTGAGACATGATATTTTGCTTTTATTGTAAATTAGTTTGCCTTGTTGCAAACATTTAATTTCTTCATAAAATTCTTCTTGCTGAACTTGCTTTATAATTTGTTCTCTTGATTCTTTCAACTCTTTAACTGATAAAAATTCCGTGTTTTCTCTTTCTTTTCTGATAAATCTTCGCACCCATGCTAAAACTCTGATAACCTTGGTAAGTGAACTATATTTTCTCAGTAGAACATTAATGATTTTATTTTCAGTCGATAATTGCGTAATGTTTACTTGTTTGCTGTTCTTTTTTCTTCATTCGTGGTGTAGGTATGGTTTTGGTTTTGTTCTTGATATTCATGCGTCTTTAACCATCCTGGGCCTTGCCACCACAGCGAATGTTCTTTTAATTCTGATGCTGTGATACCGCGGCTAGCGCAGTCCGCCGGGTTCTCTTTTGATTTGACGTATCTCCAGCATTCAGATGGTACTGAGTTTGTAATAGTTTTAACTCGATTGACAACGAATGGCTTCCATTTTTCTGCTTCTCCATTGAGCCACCCTAACACAACTTGAGAGTCAACCCAACAATAAGTTTTTATTTCATAATAGTTTAGGCATTCTTTTAATTTTAAAATTAATTTAGACAGTAACAGTGCCCCACTTAATTCAAGTCGAGGTAAAGTAAGTTTTTTGCTGATGGGCGCTAATTTTGTTTTCACGGCGACTAACACGATTGTAGGTGATTGACCCGTTGTTTTGCAATACACAACGCAAGCGTAGGCTTTCGTACTTGCGTCACAAAATCCATGCAATTCTATTTCTTGATTTTCTTTTGTATGGAGCCACCTTGGCACACGACATTGATTTATATCTTGAATACAGTTTTTAGCCAAATTCCACTCTCTGAAAATAGTATCTGTAATAGGGTCATCCCATCGCAACTTTGTTTCCCAAACCATTTGAAAAATAATTTTAAACTTTGTAGTAACTGATGACAACCAACCCAAAGGGTCGAATATTTGAGAAATTTCCGAGAGTAAATTTCTTTTAGTAGGCCGTGTTGAAGAAAAAGTTGTTTGTATTTGAAAAGTAAAATCATCATTTTCGGGGTCCCACCGAAGTCCCAAAGTTTTAGTTGATTCTGTATGTTTAAATTCGAATTTTTCTTGATTATTGTCATTGCTCTCTGTGGCGCTCTCCACCAAGTGTGGCAAGTTTGATTTCCATTTACGCAGATTAAAACCTCCGGAATGCAATAAACGGATTAAATCCTCTTTCAATTGTTTCGCAGTTGTTTCCGAGTGGGCGCCGTGAAGTAAATCATCCATATAAAATGACTGCTCTATGACTTCTGGTGCGCAACTATTTTTATAATTATTTTTTTCGTCATAAGCTAGCTGTCGCAATGTCATCATCGCGAGGAATGGAGCCGCCTTTGTACCGTATGTGACGGTGGTTAACTGATATTCCTGCAAGGGCTCGGAGGGACTTTTTCGCCAAATGATTTTTTGCAGAACTTGATCATCTGGGTGTATCCAGATTTGCCGGAACATTTTCTCAATGTCGGCTGTGAACGCGAATTCAAACTGTCTCCACTTGATAAGAAGGTTTTGCAGGTCCTTTTGTAAAGTAGGCCCTTTACACATAACGTCATTCAAACTGTGACCGCTTGATGTTTTATTCGAAGCATTGAAAACTGTTCTTAGTTTCGTTGTAGTAGAGTCGTTTCGAATCACACAGTGGTGAGGTAGATAACAATGGGGTTTCGAGTTACCGTTTGTAAATATCATATGATTGAGTGACTTATATTCCTCCATAAATGCTATATACATGTTCGCCATATCTGCTTGTCTACATAATTTCTTTTCCAAATTATAAAACTGCGCTATACATTTGTTTTTTGACTCTCCTAATTTTTCTTGATAATTTGATTTCATCGGCAGCCTCACTTCGTATCGTCCGTCGCTTCGTCGTATTGTTGTAGATTTATAAAAATTGACGCATTCCTGATCTTCTAATGATAAATTTGGTGTTTCTGATATATCCTCGATCTCCCAAAATGTTTGTATTTCTTGTAAATTATTAATAACAACGTTACACTGTAGAGTTTTCACGTTACCGCTCAATATCCATCCAATTTCCGTCTGTTGTGCTGTAGGTAGGTTTTTGCCTGATTTGCATATTCCATCTAATAATATATGTGAGTAAACGTCTGCTCCTAATAAAATATCGACAGGACGACTTATATAGAATTCAGGATCCGCTAAAGAAATATGATCTAAATATGGCCAATCGGGTTTCGTGAATGCTGAACTTGGTAAATTTTTAATTACATTTTTGATAATATATGCATCTATTTTAAATTCAAAGTCAGTTTTTAATGATTTGCATTCAATAGTAATTATCCCTTTGCAGTTGTTTTCCTTGGCACCTACGCCTGTGATCACACCTTTACACCGCTGGCGAGGGAGTCTAAGCAATTGTGCGGCATTCTCTGTTATAAGGGATGTTTGCGACCCTTGGTCTAAGAGGGCCCGCATGACGTGATATTCACCATCAATTCCTTTTATTTGAATGAGGGCAGTGGGTAAAAGAATTTCTGATATGTCATCATGAAGTGCATGGCTGCTGCTTTGTACTTGCTGATTGTGCGGTATGACGGCGGCGGACGAGCCGGGCGTTGAACTTGATGACGATCGCACCGACACGTGCGGGCCAGGTGACGTAAATGCCTCGTGTAACAGCGAGTTATGATCATTATGGCAAATACGACATTTTTTGTTTGAAATGCAGGGTTTACCGTGATGATTGTAAAGGCAATTGGGGCATAATTTTAAGTTGTTAACTACTTTGCGTTTTGTATTATGAGGCATATGTATGAATTTTTTGCAGTGGTAAATCCCGTGATTTTCTTCACTACAAAAAGGACATGTAATTTTCTTTGATGTTTGTAAAGTTAATAATTTTGTGTTTGTTGCATAATTAGTTGAATTTGAGTTTGATTGATTTTTATAATGATTGTTATGATTTTTTAAGAAATACGTATTAATTTTTTGCTGTTGGTTGGTGCTTGGCAATTTAGGCTTTTGATAATTAGTTGTGTCGCCTCTTCTGCGTGAAGACTCTAAGGTGGTAAATTTCGTTTCCAAGAAATTATAAAATTCTTCAAGGGCTGGCAATTCTCTAGGGTTGCTCAAGGACTCCATATAATCATTATATGTCTCCGTATCCAACTTTTGCAACAGCAGATGAACGAGTAACGGGTCCCAGGTGCTGATATCTACTCCCAGGTTCTTGATCGCGTTGAGACACTCCTTGGCGGTGTCGTGAACTCGCTTGATATGGTTTAATGATTGGTGTTGCGCAATAGGTATATTTAAAAGAGTATTAATATGCGACGTGAAAATCATTTTTTTGTTATTATACCTATGATTTAAAATTTCCCAGCAAATTAAATAATTGTCTGAGCTGATAGGTAAATGTTGAATCAGCCTCTCTGCTTCACCCTTTACCTTTCCCTTTAAAAATTGCATCTTTTGTGCATTCGAAAGCGACGGATTTTCGTGAACTATTTCAGTAAACAAGTCTTTAAATGATACCCACTGATTATAATTCCCGTTGAACGTTGATAATTCCATCACAGGAGTGGATTTTTCCCTGTGAGCTACATACCACATTTTCTTGTTTATGGCTTTTTTGATGTTATTGTAATATTCCTCAAACGTAGTAAACTCTTTTTCGTACTCTTGATTCGAACTATCGAGTTCGCAGTCTAACTCCCAATGTAATACATCAATTGCTGACCAACGAGACTGGATAGTTTGTAAAACGTCTTCGAATTCCCATTTTTCGGTAATTAAATCTAAATTTATGCTTGATGTAGTTCTAGAGAAAGCTTTAAAGTTTGTCATTTGCCTTTTCAACATATCTTCCGTTTTGCTGTTAATTGATTTATCGCTTAGAGCCCGAGAGGTACTGGGAGTGGGAGCTATTATGGGGTTGAGGGTTGGTGGCTTAATTACCGGTGACTTTGGCCTCTCCGGTGCTACTGATGGATAGTTTTGTATAAAGTCCCGAATTTTAGTATATTTTTGCTTTACTTCCTCGTATTGATTACTTCTAAAATAATAGTGAGACGCATCTCCGAATGATTTTAAGCTGATATGATTACTGTGGAACTCATTCCAGTAAGAGTCTAGAGTATCCAATCTACGTTTTATGTAGTCTGAATTTTTTCTTACGGAACTATCTTTTTTAAAATTCGTAAATAACTGATCTATGGCATTCACAATTTGCTCTTGAGTCATAAGAATTTCTTCCATGGTAGACATGATGATGACAGTACTAAGTTGACTGATATATAAAACAAATAGGAAAGATCTTACTTGATAGCTGCTACTTGATACACAATATGATGATTTCCCAGCACAACTTGATGGTACAGGGAAGGGGTTGTGGACGATGTTCTTCCACGTGCCGCTAACCAGAACCGCCGACACTAATACAGGTTATTGCACTCGCGACGTGGTCCCGCCTAACGACGGCTCGAAGGACCAATGTGGGGGTTGTTGATAGATGTAAATTGATAGAGTATGTAAATTGATAAAAGTCTACTGAGAATGTTTTAAATGCTTGATTTATTAGAAATAAACTGCTATATTAAAATGATTAAAATGATATGATATGATGTGAGCACGCCCGGGCTTCTTGCTTGCCGAATGCGAACTAGCCTAACTTTTAGAATAATAATTAATATATAATGGAATAAATGCCGCGTCATGAGAAAAAATGATGAATTACAATATGTACGGTTGCACCGTACACTGATGTATGAACTATATATATTATTGTAAAGTTTCATCAAAATCCAATCAGTAGTTTTTGTGTACTAAGCTGTATAAGTTACTATAGTTGTTTGACTATCGCACGGAAACTCTTTAATTTTCCGGGATGAAAAGTAGCTGATTTGTTTTTGTTATGTATGAGCTATATTATAGTAAAGTTTCATTAAAATCCAATCAGTAGTTTTTGTGTACTAAGCTGTATAAGTTGCTATAGTTTTTTTAACTATCCCACGGGAACTCTTTAATTTTCCGTGATGAAAAGTATCTAAGATGTTGCCCGGGAATATAAGGTACCACCATGCAAAATTTCATTTAAATCGGTCCAATAGATTCGGAGATTAGCCCGTACAAACAGAAAAACAGACAAACAGCTCGCTCGGGTTCGTCCATACCTACGAATATGTTGTATTATCTCTTTAACCATTTGTCCAAATTATATGCAGTAAAAGGGAAAAGTCTTTTGTTTTAAACATTTTAGACGATAAATTTACTTATTTTGATAAGAATTCATAATTGTTGATAATATGACCAAGAAGCATGACCTACCGATTTAAATTATTTTTTTAATATAAAAAACTACTTTTTGTGACTTAAATATAAAAGTTAGACATATGCTGTCGCTGACTTTTTTGTAGGCATTATTAAGCTCTACAACTTTTCTCTAGAACATAATCATATATCTCTCATCGTTAAGGCAGCGTTCGTAAGAAACTTTTTCGTTCGACCGTTTTTTCTCCGGCTTACTTTGCAAATTCGACTACCACGAAAAAGCCTTTTCATATTTCCAGTTAATATATAGCCTATGACACTCAGAAAGAACGTGGCTTTCTATTGGTAAAAGAATTTTGAAAATCGGTTCAGTAGATCCAGAGATTACCCCCTACAACGTCACAAACTCACAAACTCACAAGATCACAAACTTTACCTCTTTATAATATTAGTATAGATTAGATTTTTTGCGGCTACGTTATTATACAGGGTGGATTTTTGAGACGGGTCAGTAAGGGCAGGTACCTTAACTGCTATAGTTACAGGCAAACATGAACGTTTGCCTGTAAGGAGACCATCCATAACTTTTTGAGATATTTTGAACTGCATTTACAGATTTTGGAAAAAATGTACAGTTAGTGAAAAAATGCCGAAATACGAAAAAAAATTTTTATGTCAATCGATCCTATTTCATGTAGGGATCAAGACTCTATGGGACCATTTAAGGTATAAGTACTAGAAATGACAGAAATCGCCAAAAACTTTTCCCATACATTTTGTACAGAAAAACGATTAATCAGCTAGAAATATTTTTTGTTGCCAAACGGTCCTATTTCTTACTGTGATCAAAAGACTCTGAGGCCAACTGAAGTTTGAGTACAAAAACTATGGTAAGTCACATCTGTGTGCATTAAGCCGTTTACCGCATATATCCAGGTGGTTATTCTCACTGGTTAAAAAATCCAGTACTAACTACTAAAATTTAACAGAATTTTACCTGTCTTAATGGGGCATAGCAGGCACACTTACACATTCAACTACAACGCCCCGACGGCAAGCCGAGACACACCACAACAACCAAGGGGTTGCTCCAATGGTCCACTTTGTTATCAGAGAATTGCGAGGAGCAACCCGTATGGTACACTTGCGCTTTCTGAGGGTCCATCGTGGTGAGCTACCACCCGGTGCATCTCTTCGCTTTACATCCACATAGATACACCTACAATAGCCTATATTTTCCTCCAAGGAGCTTTCGCTTCGAACCACTAGCGAACCTTATTAAAAAAAGTAGGCAACATAACATACAAAACGAATTTATCAAATCTGATTGGTCTCAAAGTTTAGCAAACACAACAAAAACTCTCTTTAGCTTAATAATATTAGTAATGGAGGAAGACATACAATATGTAGTTAAAAGCGATGTGCTTGGTGAGGCGCTGGTTGGCGAGCATAAGCTGCACGTTCTCGGGGCAGTCCACGGACACGGCGTGCCAGAACGTGAGCAGCGCCTGCTTGTTGGGGTGCACCGCCACCGACGGCTCCGATATCGCTGGATGGTATAACTCCCATAGGTCGTTGAAGTACTGTCCGAACTGGGAATAAATGTTGCTAGTTCATTTAATCTGCTCTTAATTTATTGAATAATATTTTATTACAAAATAATATTTTAAATGAAATTTGTACCATCAATTTTTCCACTCTGCTGACGACACAATACGACATAACCCCAAAATAAGCTGTGAGCTTCATCGTTCCATGTACTGCAATGTCTGTGTATTTTCGCGCTGCTTTTAATTTGCCTAATAGCATCGTGTATACCTTAAAATAGCAAAATAAACATTATTTAATAAATACCTACTAAATTAAAATAAAAAAAAACTTAAGACGGACGAATTAGTCTTGCGTCGTACAAGTTCATCCCTAAAAGAGATGTTTTTTTCCAATTTAATTCACAAATATCGTCATTGCGTAGTAACCTATAACATGTTTAAATAATCACTTTTCTTGTTAGTGAGAAACGTATTTAAATTCGTACAGCAGTTGTTGAGATCAACCCGAACAAACACACACTCGACTTTAATTTATAATATGTTGTGATTATATACAGGTAAGTGGCAACGCAGCCCATTGGCAAATTAAAATATCCACTTCAGGTCACAACTAATGTGTGTAATAAATGTCGTCGTTAATAGCCGATCCAGAGATACCTTTTCTGCTCCCTCTCGTAGACCTAAATATGCCAAAAATTGTTTTATAACTAGAGCCGCTATACTCAACTTGCGGCCCGCGGGCCGCATGCGGCAGCATCAAAAATCGCATTATAACATATCTTTGTTAAAAAATTAACTACATCGTTAATTTGGAATTACGTTTTCAGTAAGACCTAAATAATTTTTGCTTGCGGCCCTCTACACCATGACTAAAACGTGTTTGTGGCTCCTATAAAAAAAAGGTTGAGTATGGCTTAACTAGAATCTATAATAATTATTACAAGCATCTTGACATATTTGAATATAATATAATTTATTACCAAACTTAAAAAAAACTTTTAATTATTACTTTTATATTTTTTTATTTATTTTGTAGCAACACATTTTACTGATATCTATCTGTTCTTGTTTAATTGTTAGTAAGTTTACTCTGCTATGTTCATTTATGAATAGAAATTTTATCGGATAAGTGTATTAATTCCGATGTATTTTGCACTTGATATATGTAATTGTATGTATATGCTGTCTGTTTTCCAATTTACAAAATAAATAAATTCATCCGTTACAGCGTGAGTAGTATTAGCCACATGCACACACGCGCGTACCTGGTGCAGCGTGTGGTGTGCGGTGTCGGGCAGCTTGGCGAGGTGCAGCGCGGGCGCGGGCGGCGGACGCGCGCGCGCGTACCCTGCGCGGAAGTGTTGCGAGGGCACCAGCGCCACCAGCAGCAGCGCGGCGGCCGCGCGCACGCGCGCCGCGCCTGCCGCCAGCAGCTGCGCCTCCAGCCAGCGCTCGGCCGTGCGCAGCGCCCACGCGTGCGCCGCCTTGTTGCGAGGCACCTGCATGGCGAGCCACTCCAGCGCCGCGTGCGGGCACGCCTCGCCCGCGTCCCACAGCCGCGCCAGCACTAGCGCCGTGAAGCACGGCAACCCGCCCGCCGCGCCCGCGCCGCCGCCACTGCCCTCCACTAGCAGCGTTAGCAGCTTAAAAAATGGTCCGCAACTCTGCAAATTGTACAATAATTTTTATTACTCAACTCAACTCAACAATATTTTTCTGTTGTAGGGTAAAAAAATAATATTAAGAATCAAGCCTTGTTATATATTTATAGTTAATACTTAACTTCTACTCATATGCATGTGATGTACTTAACTTCTACTCATATGCATCTTAAAAGATTATTTGAAATTCTCAGAATAAATATAATTAAGATTCTTTATTTCATTTGTATGTAAGTTTAATAAACTTATGAGAAATAAAATATATATACAACCGTATTTAGATAATATCTAACAAAGTTACTCACATCAGCATGTTTCGCTATCGCTTGGAAGATCATGTTCACGATTTTCTGTGCTAGAGGTTCGTTCCAACGACACAGTGCAAATATTAGAGATCTCGTCTGTTGAAGGTTCAAACAGTCTCTTGTTTGCTGATAAATAAATGGAAACCCCTAAAACAAAATAAATACATTTGAATAATCGCATTTCCTAAAACAAAGTAAAATGAATAAAAGGCTCGAATACGTAATAAACGCGTCAGTTTGTGAAGATGTATGGATTTTGAATATTCATTACTTTTTACTAATTCGATTTGAAAAATTATTTATGCATTAGATAGCCCGTTTATTGAGAAAGGCTATAAGCTATATATCATATAATATAGTTTACCTATTCCATACTAACCGTTAAAACTCGCTAGTCTATATATATAAAAGAAAGTCGTGTTAGTTACACTATTTATAACTCAAGAACGGCTGAACCGATTTGGCTGAAAATTGGTGGGGAGGTAGCTTAAAACCAGGAGACGGACATAGGATACTTTTTATCCCATTCGACCGCGTTCCCGTCTGACGTGACATAAAACTCAAGAATGGGTGGAACAATTTTTATGATATTTGATTTTTTGGATTTCTCTTAGTCTGGAATAGGTTAATAAGTATTAAAACACCAGAAAAATCACGAAAAAAAATTAAGATTTATATGATTAACGCTGGCTAATAACTATTTATATCTATTTAAATATTAGCGACGAACCCGAGCGAAGCGAGGGTGAGCCGCTAGTTATTAATAAAATCTTTAAACCATAAATATACTCGATAAAATTAGGTAAACGAAGAATAATTGAATTAGATAAAATAATTAATTTGGAATGAAGGTTAAAAATCTGTGTGTCATTTTAGTTTTACCACGTATTTCTTACTGTGACCAAAGTTTATAAATACGCAAAAGTTTGAAAATCAAGACTTTAATAAAAGAACCAATATGAAACTTACATAAATAGCATATACTTACATATATGTACATATATGAAAGTTATAATTAATGTTATTTTAATATTTCTAGCACATTATAATATATATACATGATGAAGAGATATATACCTTGGCATGCAGCAGCGCGCGCGCGTCAGGCTCGGCGAGCGCGAGGTGTCCGGCGGCGTCGCGCGAGCGCTCCACGAGCCCGCTGACGAGCGCCACCATCTTGTCGAGCGCGCCGGGCCGCAGCTTGTCGCAGCTGTCCGTGGCGCCGCTGCCGCTACCGCTGCCACTCGCCTCCTCGCTGGGGGACTCCACCTATAAGTTTGATTTTATATAGTCAAAGTCACACACAAAACTTAAACATAGATGTCCTCTAATCATAGATGAAACAAAACTTAATCATAGATGAACCTCAGTAATGTCAGAAAAAATGCGGGGTCGGCACTGGGTTCAATATTCGGAAGTCACTAAGTTATTACGAAAATTAGTTAAATACCAGACGGTTAACTTCATTAAAATGACCCTTTGCATTCAGACCAATACGTACCTACAAAAGTTTATTAGTTCAATAAAATTTTAAATGTTTACCGTATTAGAGTTCTGTCCGAGATAGAAGTTGACCATAGAGGAGATCGCGTTGACACGCAACATGAACTTGCCCTCCTCCTCACCCATCTTGCTGAACTCATATAACAAGCTGAAGTATTCCGTCAAATGACGAAGATGTGAACGGGCTCCACTCTCCATCTAGACATTAATAACAAAATATTAAAATAAACACTACAAAATAAAATAAAATTTAAAATTCTATGTCAAACCAAAAACAAATATTTCATCCTTTCTTCTTAATAAAATTGTCGTGGTGATGGAATTAGAAATATTATGAAATCGCCAACAGAAATTATAATGTACTTACCAAAGACAACAACATCCTTATAAACCTAGTAACACAGCTTGCCTCGCCTAATTTACTATTATCCTCATCTTCTTCCACACCTTGCAGGTATAAGGCACAATGACTAGATCTAAAATACATAAAAAATATGATGACGAAATGTGTCATATTTGAATATTTGTGTATGTATTAACTTTAATAATAGGGAATATGCGTGATTTTTTTTATTTTAAAATACAATAGCTTACATCCTTATATTAATGGAAAAAAAATATCAAGCTCCAAAAAACAAAAATTTTTAAAAAAAAAGAAATAAAAATATCATACCGGTACAGATACTTTAAGCGCCCGCCATATCGCGCGCTGGCGTGACGTCACAGTATAATATAACAGAGCCAGTGGTGTCAATTTAGCACAAAAAATGATTATTTTTAGCGATAAATTGGCAGTACTAGCTCTATTATTTCATACTTTGACGTCACATTCGGTCTGACCAATGGCGTTGCGATTCAACTACTTTTGAATTTCCCAACTATATTTGAACTATTTAATAATTATTTTCTTAAACAAAAAGAAATTACATTAAAAATGTTAACATAGGCTTAATTCAAAAGCAATAATATAAATATTTTCACCTTCATTTAAATCAAACGCATATTCCATATTTTATTATTAAGTAATATATTTACCTCAACCTCTGTATAACATGCATGCATAGCCTCTGGAACATTTGGCGGACCATTTGATTTGGACATTTTATTAGCACCTGAAACAAAATTATATGGAAGAATAGTAGTTTTTCAAAGCAACAATATAATAAACTAATTCTCTGCAAGTTTTGTACTTTACCTGCATGGGCCACCACGTGTCATCGGCCATGTGACCAAGAAACCATTCGGATGCCGCGGCGGACGCGTTGAATTGCTTCGTCACTAACTCCACCCACGAAACCATTGTAGGCTATAAAGGAAACGAAACTATAATCTTATGGAATTAGTTCTTACTTTTACTACATTTAATTAAACCTTTATCATGTACGTATTTTTATTACATTTATTAATGTTTTACTATATTATATTTAATTAATAATTAAAACTTAATACATCAGATTAAAGATGTAAAATAATATAAGAAAATCTGATATGATTAATCAAAAGGAGTTTCTTAGAAGAAATTTTCTAACATACCTTCTCCTTAGCATGTATGAAGGTTTCTATGAAAAATGACGTGGATAGTCTCGCAGCAACCTCAGTAATCTCTGGCCGCAGCGTGAGTAGAGACTGCGGGACAGAGCTGCACATCTGTCCCATAAACCTGAGAGTGCAATATGTTTACCATAAAAACCTTATAATCAAAGGTTTAAAAATCTAATGCAAGATTTTTACATAAATAGAGATACGATAAATCAAAGTAAGAAATGAACAATTTAAATTATATATTATAATTTATAATACTAGCGACTCACCCTCGATCCGGTCGGGTTCGTTCCTACGTTTTAACGTTTAGTATATCTATACTCTCAGAGATGACATATTTTCTCGCAGTAAAAAGTATCCTGTATGTTGACACTGATAACCAGCTATCATCATAATAAATTTCATCGAAATCTGTCCAGTGGTTTTCTAGTGATGAGTGACAGACAGACAAAAATTCTAAAAACTATACTTTCAGCCTCTGTATCGATAATAATCACTATTTTAATAAGATTTTACAAAAAATATTTAATTTACAGATTAGACTCAGCATTTTATTATGTATATGTATTGATTTATTAATTGAAAATGCACTGTTTATATGTACTGTATAACGCAAATTAATTTTTAATAAACTGAAATAATGCAAATTGTAGTGTCCTCTTGACTCTTGTACATTGTAAAAAAGGATAGAAAAATATTATAACCAATTATAGCGGAACTTTACTGGCTTGTAAACGATTTTAGTCCGAGTAGTATCAGTCATATTTTTTCATCGTAGGAGGCAAGCGGAGTTACGGATAAAGCTAGCTTAAAATAAAAGTACTAACGTGAAATACGCATGTTGGAATATATTCTTGTCATGAAGGAACTGCATATTATCATCCCAGATCCATCGTAATAGCTGCGGTGGCAGTTCTACTATGGGCGGAGTCTCGCCGCGACGCTCCACAACTGCACTAGGATTCTCTTCAGCTCGGGACGACTGTAAAATTTAAAAGTATATACACGAGAATAAAAGACAAGCAGTTTATTAGCTCATTAATAACAGAAACAGCCCTTTTGTAACGTCCCGCTAATATGCGATGGCCTTCCTTTAATGCGAGAGGGATTTAAAAAGAAAGAGAAATTGCTGACCAAATGACTTCACGTTTTTCAAGAACTAGTTAAATTTTCTTAGACATGAATGAAGCAGTAGTAGCCCATTGGTAACATGCTTGCTTGAAAAACCAAGTGATGCGAGATCAAACCTGATCTTGCACATCTGTGCATTTCGTATGCGAATCATTTCCAATATGATTACCATTTGCTAATACTATGAAGGAAAATATTGTAAATAAGCAGTTTATGCTGCCATATTATACAATATGTAAATAGTTTATTATAATATTAAATATAACGTATCTATACTCAACCTTTGCTTCTTCTTGCTGGCCGTTATCAGAGCCACGCTGATTGGGAGGCGGGCTGAGTTCATAGAACAACATGTATGCACTGTTGGTCTTTTCAAATGAGAAGTCCATGAACTTGTCTGTCACCGAGTCATAAGTTTTGCTCTGGAAATAAAATGTATACCTAATTGAGAATATGATGAATGGGATTAATCGTTTTTGAGTGAAACACAGGAGTATCTAAATATAAATTTAAGCGAAATATCTTTTGTGTATAGAAATTTGTTTATTGTTTAACAATTCCTTAGTAAACAACATAACGTATACAATAGTAATAATAACATGACATAATTAATGTAACGCCTTGCTTTATTTATGCAGTATCAATTATTCTTTTTTCGCTTTACTTAAAATAATTTAATTTTTTGTAAACTTATCTAATCTAGCTAAAAAGTTTATTTATATTTTTGTTTGTTTTTTTTTTTAATATTATTTTTGATCACTTTTTTAATGTATGTACATAATTTCTACCTTTTAACATTTTCTATAATTTTGCGTGTGGAGGGCGTTAATAATTGTGATACAGTTTCTAACTTATACGTTATTACTATATACATATTAACATATGTACTGAAATTTCAATAAATAAATAAATAACACAAAGTTAGTCAATAAATCAATCAAAATATACTTTATTCAAATAGACTGAAGTCTATTTTACATTTAAAATTTAAATTAATTGTCAGTGTCGTTAGTTCGTGAGGAATCTACCACATACAATATGTAGATGAGACTCACGGTCATCTCGCCGCCGAAGCACTCTGCGGCGAGGTGCGCGGGGTCGAAGGTCTTGACCTCCGCGTCGTTGAAGAGCAGCCAGCGGTCGTGCAGCTCGTGGTCGCGGTCGCGGATGAACGAGTAGTAGTGGCCGCCGTCCGCCGTGCCCGTGTGCACCGTCACGCCGATCAGCTCGTATCTGTCAAGCGAGTTCATATGTTATTCTCAAGTATATGTATTGTATTTAGACCTTTTTAAAATCCCACTACTGTGCACAGACCTCCCTTCAGTACGAGAGGGATCAAGCCATAGTCCATCACGCTGGCCAAATGCGGGTAGGCGGACTTCATATGTCTTTCGAAAACTTGCTAAGTTCTCTCAGACATGCAGGATTCCTCACGATGTTTTCCTTTACCGTAAGGCAAGTGGTAATCATGTTGGAAATGATTCGCACATGAAAATATCAGAGGTGCGAGACCCGGGATTTGAATCCGCTTTACTCGGTTTCCCAAGCGAGCGCGTTACCACTGGGCTACCACTGCCTGCCATATTTATTGAGAATAACAGTATGAGAGTACAAGAAATTAAATTAAAAATTTTAAGAACACCCAACACAATAACCTTTAATTGAAGCTATTTTAATGAGCCTAAGCACGATACCTCTTCGGTATTTTAATAAAAGGTTGCAGGTTCCAAGTGACGCTGCAGCATCAGGCAAAGGTTACCTTGTCATTACAATGTCATTGAAGTAACGGAATACCAAGTTTTGAACTCCCCTCTTTTTGCGTCGGGGAACAAAAAATAAAATATTTTTGAAAATGCAGAAACGTATTAGTATGTCTTTATATTACTGTTCATCTTTATTTATTGTATATATATGATATACTGTACATAAAATATATCGGACTATTAGCAGTTCGATATATTATATTATGTAAGTTTAATGTATAATTGAGAAAGTTAGTATGTATTAATATGTATGTTTGTAACTCCCTTCACGCTAAAACAGCATCAAAACAGACTTTAGTAAACATTATGCATATAGGCAAACTGTTAGGCATCTAGAGAAAAACCAAGCCAAGCGAGGTTTTTTTATAAAGATAAAGAGATACTAATATATATTTTTTAAAGATATTAATGAAACAACAATTTAATGTAACTTTCGCAGGGAGACATTTAGATAAGCAATAATATGTCAAAATTATAATGTCACACACGTCAAACGCGCAAAATATTGTTCTATAATTTAATCATTTATATAATAAATAATATATAAAATAATTAATTATGTACATATACATTAAAAATATACTTACTCATAATGCTCCTCTGTGTCAGAATCTTCACCATCATTCTGCGAACTACTATCACCTTCTTTTTTTGAATCTGCCGACTTTTTCTTTTCTTCTACAGAGAAATAAATATCATTTTATAAGTAATTCACAATTGTAACAGTTAAATATTGTTTAAAATATAAAACATAATGATAACGCGTACCTTGATATTGTGCTGGCATTAAATGCTTTTCAACATATCCGGACATGTCGAGACGCATGGGGAAGGAGAAATGAGTATTGACCTTCTCCTTGAGCATTGTTAACATGTTGAAAGTGTACCGCATTGTGTTAAAACATAAGATGCGAGGTAGTTTCTTAAAACAGGCCCTAAAATAAAATAAATATATTTCATATTTACATTACAATAGAAAAGATATCTATCTATGTATTTATTTTATACTTTATAACAAAAGATTAGTACAAATTATCTTATAAATAAAGATAAAGTGGTGTTATATTATTTTAAATATTACAATCACAGTTATTTAAATTATAATCCGCTAATATGTATTTATATAAATTTAAAACCAATAAATCTCACAAGTTGTACTATGCATGGTAAATTGTGCAACTTTGAAATGAATGCACAGATGCCTTATAAAGTATATTTTTATTGCACATAAAATGTTTTACTCAAGAATAAACGTGTAACGCGTTTAATTTGCATATCTATACTAATATTATAAGGAAGCAGAGTTTGTTTGTTTGTTTGTTTGAGCTAATTTTAGGAACTACTAACTTGGTTTGAAAAATTCTATTTGCAGTAAGTTTTTGCCTTGGGACAAACCCGAAGGGAAGTGGGGGTGAGTCGCTAGTATTCAACAAAGCAACAAACAATACAAACAGAGTAGATACCGTTTCTCTGCGCGCACTTTGCTGGCGCACTGCGAGCAGGTGTAGCAGTTGTCGCCCTCCAGCGTGTCCTTGACGGTGACCTCGTCCAGGCTCTGGTGCAGGTTGCGCATGTCCGCCACCTGGCAGCGCACCGTGTAGAACTCCTCCAGCGTGCGCGACACGTGCGGGCAGTCCTATTTACACATCATCATCATACAGCTCATAATCATACATGCTACAAGTGACTAACTATTAACTAATCTTAATGTACTGGTACTTTGCTTCTCTAGCCCTTAAACTATTGCTATATAAAAATACATAAAATTCTATGTTGTGTTCGACTATGGAACCTACAACGACTGGAGCGATTTTGATGAAATTTTCTGGCAATTTTCAGATCAGCCAGTGAGTAATCCTGTTCTAGCGATCAGAAATTTGAACGCGGGCGAAGCCGAGGGCACTACTAGTAAAAACCAAAGTCTGTTTTACGGAATCACATTGCACTGTTGATTATTGGTACATAAAATAAAACAAGTCAATAAAGAATTTTACATTCGATTTGTAGAAATTTAAATAAATAATGTATGTATTTAAAGTCGTAGCTTTACATTATATCCATTACAATAATACTAATAAATTATAATGTATAGTGACTTATCTCTACCCGCCGTGAATTTAGAATTTACTTGCGGTGTAGTTTGTTGCCAAGCACTCGTTTATCCTAAGTTAAAACCGAACTCGTGGCCTTTGACATAATCTTACGTTAACAGTCCACTTTAAAGTTTTGTATTTTCATAATGAAAGGTAAATGTGAATTCAATTAAACAAATATCGTTAAAATATTCTCACCAAAGATACAACGTTGTTACTAAGAACACCACAGAATAGCGTTTTTACTAGCTTTTTTAATTCAGGGGTCATCTCCTCGAGCTTAGAAACGAGATCTATGAAGAACTCAGCCATGTCCTTCTGCTCGCCCGTATTCAACGGCTGATGGTCCATTTGATATACTTTACAAAAGCTTCGTGGATTGTATGCTTTACGTTCACTTTCCTAAAAACGATTTAAAAAGCAATTGTTTGCACATTAATTAATACAAACAAATTTATCTTCATTATTTAATAAAGTGGTGGATACAACTCTGCCATAAGTACACTAATATATTTTCGTTTAACTTTCAATCAATGAAAAACCTGTAGAGCCAGGTTCATATCAAACTCAGGCTCTATTTAATAAATAAAAATCAAGACAGTCAAAAAATCTATTACTTTGATATCCACTGTATCCAAAATATGTATATACCCAGCATAATTTAATATAAATATTCAAAAACCTTGACCCCACAGCATTGACTATGTTATTATTATACATTAAGAAGATATAAATAATGGATAATCTGCCTTAATTATTATATGTTTATTCTCCATCAATCCATTTTTTAATTTTGAGGCTAATTTCCAACAGGGATTTGATTCTTAAAATGTATGTATAGAAATAAATCTCGCTCGTTAGATCTCGTTATAGTTAATATGTTCAAAAATGTGTCAATATGTTACAGAGAAGTAATAAAAAGTGTTATATACCATAAGGTAAGCGAACATGCGCTGCATCTCGTGCAGCGTGGGCGCGTGGCGGCTGGCGGCGGGGTCGGCGCGCAGCACGGCGGCGCGCGCGGCCGGCATCATGTACAGGTGCTGCATGCACGACGCCATGTAGCACGTGGCGCCCAGGTTGGTGAGCCCCGCGTACCCGCACTCCGACCGCGACTCCTCCGCCGGCCAGTAGTCCCACGGGTACGACACCGACGGACCTGCGCCCGACACCGACACAATTAATAATGTCCGGAGGACCGATTTCGGCCACACTGGCCAATCTCACTGAGATGCACAGACACAATAGGGAATATGCGTTAACAGTAGCTATACATCGTTATATAGTTGTAAAAAACATAACCAGCTCCTAAAACTAAAATTTAGTATATATATTTTTTAAATATCATACCGATACGGATAAAATGACGATATTATACATTATTATATATTTATACACAGAAAAATGACGACTCAATTTGTCAGCGACAAAATCACTAATCGCTCTGTTATGATATACTCTGACGTCACAATCGGTCTGACGAATGGCGTTCGTTTCAATCATTTTGAATTTCCCATCTATATTTGCACTTTGTAATAATTATTTTCCTAATCAAAAAGAAATTCCCTTATAATCATCAGTTATCTCAACTTCTATCTTTCTTTTGAATCTTCATTTTTTTTAATCTTGTCGACCCCAATAGACACATGAAAATTAAATTGCATAAAAAAATCAACATAACGTTTACCAGGTTTATGGTGTTCCATGAGTTTATGATGCAACACCATGTAGTTGTCGGGCGCGCCGCGCACCAACTCCACCAGTAAGTCGTACGCGGCGGCGCGGGACTTCTGCGATTTGCACTTCGGCAAGTTACGTTGTGACGGGTTCGGTACGTCGAACAGAAAACCGAATACCTAAAATAAACATGTAAATGTACATAATGTAAAGTAAATAAATATAATAATGTTAGTAGTGCATTAGTACTTTTTACTAAAAAAGGTACAACGACTATAACAGCAGTTCAAATAAACGATTCCACTAGGGTAATTTCAAAATATATTAAAAGTGCTTGTAAAAATCTAGTAGAATAAAGCTAATTTTGATTGATTTAGCATTTGATTGATGACTCGCATGTAAAGGCGTTAAACATCATAAATTTACGGAGCAATCTCCTTCACGTTTTCTCTATTCTACGTGACATTGGCGAAATAATCTGTGCTCAATTGGAACGTTTTGAAATTGAATTGAATCGTGACAAAACTTGTAAGTGTTACTCAATGTAAAACTAAATAGAAGTTTTGCTCACCATTTCCAATGTCCTAGTGCCCATTTCAGAGTTCTTAAATCTCAAGGGATGTTTCAACAAATGTGTAAGTAGACTGAGCTGCCCGTACAGGCCATCGTCGGGCGTGCAGGGCTCTGAGCGCTTCTCGATGATCTCGCGCTTATCCAACGAACACCTGATTTGCTCACACAGTTCATTAAGGTCTGGAGCACCGCTATCTTCTGACACTGCACCTTCTGGCAAAATATTTATTGTTTATAATATGTATTTTAAAAGGAAATAAAATAAATAATTTTCATTGCATTTAAAAGAAAAAATAAAAACGCATAAAATCTTCAAAATCTTAGCCAATGTAAAATAAATACAATAATGGTAAATACCTTTGAAGAAGTCCTCGGGTAACCCATCTATTAACCTGCATACAAGCCAAAAATAATCTCTACAAGCAGGTCCATAAGGTTCTTTCCCTTCTTCGGCATGGTGATGAACAACCTGCAAAAAATATAATTTAGTAAATTTACATTTATAACATATTTTAGACATAACTATAAATGTTATATATTTTTTAATTACATATATTACATCACATATCACAGAAAAGAAACTTATTTTTAAAAATATTTTTTTAAGATCTCTTTAAGTAGTCGTAAATGACTAAACCATTTTAAAAAAATATTTAATAATCAGATACAATACCATTTCATCCAACTAACCTCATGGTGGTGGTGGTGGTTGTGCGGGCGCATGTCCGCGGCGCGCGGCAGGTGTTGCAGCAACAGCTGCAGCAGCGGCGCCAGCACGCCCGGTTCGCCGCCCGCGCACAGCCGGTACAGCGCACTGCCTGCCTCGCGGCGGACCTGACGGGTTCAACAAATGGATTATTTTGTATGAAATACAGCCCTTTTAAACGTTCTACTGCTGGTCACAGGCCTCCCTTCAATATTAGGGGATAAGACTACAGAACACCACGCTGCCCAAGTGCGAGTTAGGGGACTTCACATGTCTTTCGAAAACTTGCTAGGGGGTTTTCTGAGACATGTAGTCTCACAATGTTTTCCTTCACCATAAGGCAATTTTATATCTTAAATTATGAAAAAAATAAATAAGGATACATTTATTACTAATTTCTCTCTGTTTCTGTTTCTGTTCTCTCTGTTTGACTCTCTAAAGTCAGTCAAAAAAATCCATCCAAATTTGGTAGTTTTTGAGTTCATTGCCTTCATAATTTTACACAGACTCTTATTTATAATATGTAGTGATAAACATAATATATGATAAATAAATATAATAATAACTAGTTACCGCCGGGTCCGCGTCGTCGAGGAGCAGGCGCGGCGCGGCGCGGCGCAGCGACCACGCCAGCGACACGGCGTCGCCGCCGCCGCGCGCCCACACCACGCACATGCGCATGGCGTGCTGCACCACCTGACACACAACATTACTTTGTGAATACGAACATTTTTATTGCGTATTAATACCTTGTATTAATACCTTGTTAAGGTTTGCGTTGGTTTGTGCGACGTACGATACGGCCAGAGAAAGGTTCCTTTAACCATAAAGGAGTAAAGTGATTTGATTTAATTCATAAAAAATTACTCAACACATAACAACTTATAAAATAATTGTCTTTCTTAATAGTTAGTTACTATTTTACTGTTAAAATGTTCACTAAATTAAATTAGTATATAAGTCTATATAAACTGTCTAATCCAAAAAGTACTCACTCTTACGCATGTTTTACCTCGAACAAACCTTTAAAAATCTTTTATAAATAATTTATATTTATTGTATATGTATGATAAGCAGAACAAAATTAATTGCCAAAGGTTTTACAAATTATATGTTAATAATGATTTTTTGTTTATTTTCACTTTTTTAATAATACAGCGTAATTATTTGAATTTATTCATAACAAATTAAGTTACCTGTGCTCTTCCCCAAAATCCAGTTTTATATGTAGTGGGTTCCTTCATGGTAGCCGCCTCGCATAGTATTGATATTAGCCTCTCAGTAGTTTCCTCCACATTCATCAAAGATAATAAAGCCTGAAACATTTTAAGTAATAGATAAGTCTTGGCCTATTTCGATTAAATCTCATTGAATACTCACAAAATTGAATGGGACGAAAGTTCAAGACTAGTGGTCAAATATTAGGCGCAGACGTAACCCCGTGAACGTCTCAGTTCCAGGCTGTAACTGAGAATTTCTGAACAGAAAAATCCAATTACTATACTTGTCCGACCTGGGGCTCGAACCCAGAAGCTGCGGTTCTACACCCTTACTACACCAAAAGGGCGATGCTGAAATAGACGTTAAACAAAAGGAAATTAATTATATTAACATGAAAGCTAAAACTCACAGGATGTAGTTTAGGGGTCTGTCCAGCTTCCGACGTAGGTAGTGTGCCAATGCGACAAAGCAATTGCAGCAATAACGCGAGGCAGTCCTGGCGCCACTCGCTGTCATCGCTTCTTTGTAACACACCTACCATATAAAATAATAATGATTCTTTCTGAAGTGATTTATTTCAGTGATATTTTTCTGTGTTAGCATAAATTTGGATTCCTATGCTATTTCTAAAAGCATAGATGACGTGATTGTAAGAGAATCATGAGTGTTTTAAATAATAATGTCGTCTTGACCAGACGTCAGTCATAGCGTCCAAGTATGTGTGGTTTTACAGGTACATTCTCCATTCTTTCAGTCTCCATAGTACGATAAGACTGATGCGGCACTTGCCAGAGACCAGCCAGTTACGAGACCTTAAGCTGTTCTCCAAGGCATGGGGATGTGATATCACCAATATTCATCTCCTATTCTTCTGTGACAAAACCCTATTAAACTCTGATGATTTAATCCGGGACTCAAACCCAGACTTCATGATTTATTATATATGACTTAGTCACTAGAACAATAAGGTGCTTAAATGAAGATAATATACAATACACATACACTTACCCGACATCATTATGTCATAGAGCAATCGTAAACCACCTTTCTTAATGAACAATTCGTTCCAATTTTCCACATTCACTTTCTCTTCAGTCTTCTCTAAATTCGTAGTTTCTTTCACATTGGAGCTGTTGTTATTTGAACTTAATTTATCTATTATATGCAGAGAGTACATAAGTTTCTGAGGACTAGTCGGATCCAACAGTTCAGGAAGTTTGCTTTCGGTAGGATTTTGAAATGCTTCTAGCAAAGTTGGATTTAGAGGTACAGCTTGAAGGATGTCCCATACTCGTCGGGATAGAAGTTGGGCTTTCGTGTGGGCTACTGGCTCCTATAATTAATTATTTAACAATAATTAAACTATATTTCTGTCATGGCTATGAAAAAAATATGAATATGTCTTAATATATTAAATTAATATTAGATCAATAAAATTAAAGTAAATATAATATATAAACAAATAACATTCATTTTAAAGATTAATTCTCTTCCTTCCATCTTAATTCTTCATTTTGAGGCTTACTGTGTAGTATTATACACAATTCACAATATTAAACTCTAAAAAAAATCTCCTACAAAACCCACCCCGGTGCCAGGCTCCTTCATCTGCCCCAGAGCCTGCATCAGCGTGAAGAGGTGGTGAAAGTACGTGGGGTCGAGAAGAAGGTGCGTGGGGAGGCGTGCGCGCGCCGGCGCCGGCTGCGCGGACGGCCACTCCGCCCACGCGCCGCGCCCGCCCACGCCCACCGACACGAACACTAGCTGAATTTGGACAAGGAAATGAATGGTGCTTAAATAGTGATTATATGTATTGTTAACTGTACCTCAAAAGCAGAGGGAGCTACGAGTGACAAGACAGTGAACACCAACGCAACGCCCCCTTCTCTTGGCACGTGCGCTCGTAGACTCGTGAACATCAATTTATCTGATTTTATTAGTATTCATATTTTCTTTTGTATACATTTATTTCATTGTTTTGTTGATAATCAATTAAATTTACTTTTACATTATAAAAGTATGTTATTAATATTATTGTTTTATTGCTAAATCATACAAAATCCACTTGATGATAAGAGATATTCTATCCAAGAATCCATTTAGATGACTCTTAGAGCACGTGAAGCATGTATCTTAGTAGAATGGCGTGTAGTGAAACAAGTTGTATCCATATATTTGTATACAGTATACACCAAACCAAACAATCTTTTGGAAAACTTCTAAACCATCTCTTAAGGAGCGTCATACAGTAGTAAAATTTTGATAGTTATTTTTTTAAATAATTCTTTGTGATTAAGTATTTTGTTAAAAGAAACAGGATAATTCACGTTATAGTAAATATACATTTAAATGCAAACAGACATCCATCTGCATTTACTTATTATGTGTGGACGTTTTTGGTCACTTACCTGATTATCTTTAAAACCCATGTCATAGAGCGTTCTCTCGTCATAATCGATTGTTAACTCTTGACCTTGAGTTATCATTCTTAGAGGACCATCAGTTGATAATGCTGTAACTCCTTCTTCACCTTGAATCTGAAATTAAAGAATTTGATATTTCTTTTATAATTGGAAATTTTAGTTGGGATATTTTGCGATCTTGCACTGTCGTACGAAATTGAAATATTGCATACTATGAGTTATAAATAATACTATCCTTGCATAATTCATTCATATCTATTTACATACAAATATGACAATACATAATGCACTGACATGCCAATTTGTACAAAACAAAATATTTATTTTTATTTACTTTATTCAAGCACAAGTGCAGTATATATGAAAATATAGACACAATTGTTATAACAAAAGGCAATGAGCGCCAAAAACTCAATAACAATGAATTCATAATGTCCTTTGGCATGGAACGAAACAAAAGTAAACATAGAACGAGTAGCAAGCTGAGAAGGTTCAAATTACATAATAAATGAGAAACCTCTAAACATAGTAATTATATACTTTAATTGAAAGTCTTTCACTTCTTAAACATTAATTGTCATCGACCCACATCTCAAACGATTCCATCTCGCCTCCGTGCCTACGTACCTGCCGCTCCCACCAGACGTGTACGTGCGCGCGCAGATGCGCCACGAGGTCGGAGTGGTGCAGCGCGAGCGCGGCGCGCGGGCCGGCGCCGGCCGGCTGAAGCGTCACGCGCACGCTGCCCGCGCCGCTCGCGCCGCCCTCCCACGCGCCCGACTCCGCCAGCGCCCAGCGCCGCAAGTGGTACGCGTATCTAATGCACACAAAATTACGGACAAGTGCGAGTCGGACTCGCCCACCGAGGGTTCCGTACAAATTTGTAGAAAATCTGTTAAACTTTAATTTTTAAAGTTTTTTTATTTTTTTGAATGTTTCCTTTATTTGTGCTGTACTGTATGGGAACTACCATATAGGTTTTCGACCCAAAACCTATAGGGTACTTCCGGTTAACCTAGGATTATCAATTTTGGTCAAAAGCAAGGTCTTTCAGCACAAGTAAAGGGAAAATCCCGAAAAATAAAAAAGTTGAAAATTAAGGTAAACTTTGGAACTTACAAATTTTGGCGAAAATCTAAATTTGCCCATATCTTGTTATCGTGTTAATTGAGGACCTTGATTTTTATACACCTAATAGGGACTATAAACCTCAGTATCTTTATATATATAATTCTTCTGTGAGTGTGTATGTCACTGAACTTCTCTCAAACGACTGGACCGATTTTAATGAAATTTTTTGTGTGTGTTCAAGGGGATCTGGGAATGGTTTAGATTCACAATTGTACACGGTAGGTGGCGCTGCTGTCGGTGTGACAAAGGGTTTTTTTTAGTAGTTTGATCGCGGGCGAAGCCGCGGGTACAGCTAGTCTGGTATAAATTTCAACTTGCTAAGTCCACCCGTTCCTGAGAAAATCGGTGGAGACACACGGACAGACAGACAGACAGACAGACAGACTGATAGACGAACAGACAGACAGACAAAAGAGTGATCTTATAAGGGTTCCACACGACTTTAATAGACCATTTTGCATTACATAGACATCCCACTTACTGGCTAAAATTAAAAAGGCCAAGTAAGCCGGCAAAGTTTTTAATTATTACTAAAATATAATAACTATAGCTTTACCTTCTTTTAAAGGTGTCCAAATGGGTTTTCAATAACAAAAGAGCCCTTTGTATGCATTGCAATGCCGCTTCTTCGGTCATATGCTCATAGATGTTTTGCTTATCTGTAGTCTTCTCTGTTTCTTTAGTTTCTTCTATCGTCACACTTGATGTTAGTGATGTGCCTGAATCGTCTTCGTTTTTAGATATAAGTCTTTCTGCAGCTGATGAGAGATGGAACATACACTTAGATACAAAGTCATCTTCTTGTTGCAACTGCTGACCCATATAGTAACTATTTAAATACTGGATGGCACCCATAGATACATCTGGAAAGTAAAATATTGTAAAAAATAATTCCACTAAGGCTTTACATAAAACTAATTATTATAAGGTAAAGTAGATTACCTGTGCTATTGGCTCTTAAAGCAATTTTCCATAAGTGATCCATAGCGAGAGTGTGAGGATGGGCCACGTCCCTAGAATCTCCCGCACCCAAAACCATACGCGCTAGGTTACACAATTGTTGGTAAAGGCTCAATCCCATTATACTGATTGTCTGTAAGGACATAAAATATTTATTGCTTTTGTATTTTACTAATGTAGTGTTATATTTAAAAATTAACTTAAAAGAGAAATATTTCATTGAACAATACTTACTTATTTCTACAAAAATATCTAAATACTTAATGATTTTAATAAAATGTACTCTTTACTCATACCATAATTTAAAAAAAAACAAATTTACTACCTATACTATTAATATTGCAGTAACTAATTAATCAATACATTGTACAATCAACAAATACCTACAAATTAAAAGCCACACAGTAATCACAAAGATCTATATTTTTTTGATACAAAATTAAACTTAAAAAAAAAAGATAACGAATTAATATTAGTCCCACTGAGTTTCTTTCGCTAGTTCTTCTCAGGTCTGAAGCTTCTTCTTTCCGAACTGGTAATAGACTCATGACGTTCGGTAAAAAATTGTTGCTGAATAAAATATTTTAAATTTGAATCCATATAAGTTCATATACCTCCGGATCAAGCGTGGGCATCTTCTCCACGTAGAGGAAGCGCAGGGCGTCGAGGCCGAGCGCGTGCTGGTCGGGCGACTTGGTGTGCGACAGCAGCCACGAGTACAGGCAGTCCGCGCACTCGCTCGACCCGCGCGCCACCAGGCACTGCCACAGCTCCTCCACCTGCTCCACTGTTAGCCTGCACGCATTCAGTAAATTGGATGAGTATTATTGTTAATTTAAAGATAATGTTTGTATGTGTGAGTGCGTGTGCGCGTGTGTGTTTGTTATTCCTTCACCCTAAAACAGTAAATTCACATAGTACACATATAAACTCTGCACTGTCATAGTTTATCTTTATACTGAATATCATCCACACTGTAACACAAATGCTACTCAGATACATAGGGACGTGATTTTAGCGAATTTAGGCCATGACGTTCTTTTTCACTAAGACTGTTGTATTAGTTTATTTTATATTTTTATAAGACATATACAAACTTTGTGTTGTTACTGTAAACTAGAGGAAACATAAAATGATGACATTATAAGATGAATTCTTAAGCTATCATGTAGTTTCATTTTAATTAATATATTATCAATATAATATAACATGGCGCAGTCGGTAATGAATTTTATTCAATATAAATAATAAAATAAAGTAGGTTTACAATATTTAATATAAAGAATAGAAAATATAATATATTGATAGAGACGAATGATGAATGGTCAGATGAATATGTCGGCAGTCCGAATACCTACAGAAATGTGCTGGATGGGGTCAATGGCAGAAAACTGGAAGTTATTTAAACAAAAATATGAAATATATATTGTAGCGTCTGGTAATGTAGAGAAAGATTCTGCAACTAAAATAGCGCTACTTCTGAATGCGATTGGTGACCGTGGATTAAAGGTATTCAATAGTTTTGTATTTGATAAACCTGATGACAAGAATAATTTTCATAAAGTTATAGCAAAATTTGAAGAACATTTTAATCCGGAAAAAATGTTACATATGAAAGATACAAATTTTTTACTAGAAGTCAAAAACAAGGGGAATCGAATGAAGATTACATAATTGAGTTAAGAGACCTGAGTGCTTCATGTGAGTTTGGAGCTCTTACAGAAAGTCTCATCAAAGATAAGCTGGTTTGTGGAATTTTAGACATTTCTGTTGTAGATCGTCTTTTACGAATTAAGGATTTGACACTTAATAAAGCAATAGATGTATGTAGAACTTCACAAGAAACTAAAAAACAGCTTGAAGAAATACATTCCGGTAATCCTAGCACATCAGAGAATTCCTATAATTATGAAAATGTTAAAAATGTTATTAGTAAATTAAATAAAAATTCGTATGATATAAAAACAGCGAAAAACTCAAATATTAATAAAGATCATGACAAAAATAAAGAAAAATATAAAATAAATTGTAAGAGATGTAGTTACCAACACTCAAGAAATAAATGTCCAGCATTTGGGAAGAAATGCGTCCGCTGTAATAAATATAATCATTTTGCAAGCCAATGTAATAATCATTATTTACGTGAAGTAGAAGATATAGATAATGAAGAGGAGCAAGTAAATATTTTGCATTTTGAAAAGATTTTTGTAAGTTCAGTTGATAGAAGTTCAAGAGACTGGACTGTTGTAGTTGGAGTTAATAATATACCTCTTACACTTAAAGTAGATACAGGAGCTCAAGCAAATATCTTATTAGCTAGTAATTTATCTGTTTTAGGTTTAGATCCTAATAATCTTATTGAGTCAAAAGCCAGACTTGCAACATATACAGGTCAGCCAATCAAATGCATAGGCAAGTGCTCCCTGCGTATAAAATTCGAAGGTAAAAATTACTCACTTGACTTTTTTGTCGTGAATGCGAATAAAGCATGCAATATTTTAGGATTAGAATCTGCTACTAAAATGGGATTAGTTAATCCTGTATACAAAATTAATGAATCTAATTTCGCTTTAAAGTATGACGATTTATTTCATGGCTTAGGTTGTATGAAAGGTGAATATGATATAAAATTGAAACCTAATGCCTCACCTGTTGTACATGCGAGTAGAAGAGTTCCACTTGCAATAAAGCCTCTTTTAAAAAATAAATTAGATGAATTAGAGAATTTAGATGTCATACGTAAAGTGACGCATCCAACTGATTGGGTAAACTCCTTGGTCATTGTTTACAAACCTAATGGTGATTTAAGGCTTTGTCTAGATCCTAAAGATCTGAATAATGCAATACAAAGACAACATTTTGAATTACCAACGTTAGACGAAATTACTAGCAAACTGTCAGGTGCGTCATTTTTTAGTACTTTAGATGTTAAAAATGGCTTTTGGAATATAAAATTAACGTCAGAAAGTTCTGATTTATGTTGTTTTAATACACCATTTGGTCGATATAAATTTTTGAGAATGCCCTTTGGACTATGTAGTGCTTCAGAAGTTTATCAGCATAGAATGCGTCAAATATTGGAAGATTTAGAAGGCGTAGAAGTATATATTGATGACATACTTATTTGGGGTAAGACAAAAGAAGAACATGATATTAGATTAAGAAAGGTATTTGATAGACTTAGAAGGAAAAATGTAAAACTCAATAAAGAAAAATGTAAAATTAATGTCCCTGAGTTAAAATATTTAGGTCATATAATAAATAAAAATGGTATAACTTTAGACAATAGGAGAATTACTTCGATTATATCAATGAAGCGGCCCAAGGATAGGAAAGAACTAGAACGATTTTTAGGAGTAGTAAATTATGTCTCTAAATTTATTAAAAATTTCGCAGCTATAACTTCACCTTTAAGAAATTTACTTAAAAAAGATGTTGAATTTGAGTGGCTACACGAACATGACAAAATTTTTAATGAGTTGAAAACTAAATTAATTAGTAAACCAGTATTGCAATTTTTTTATGAAAAGCTCCCGGTTGTGTTGTCCGTGGATGCTTCAAAAGATGGTCTTGGCGCTGTTTTAATGCAAAATGGCTTACCGGTAGCTTATGCTTCAAAAGCATTAAACGAATGCCAAAAGCGTTATGCACAAATAGAAAAAGAATTGCTTGCAATTTTATTTGGTTGTGAAAAGTTTAACCAGTTTATTTTTGGCAGGAAAATAACTATTGAAACGGATCACAATCCTTTAATAGGCATTGTTAAAAAGCCATTAAATTCTTGCTCACCGCGAATTCAACGTATGTTAATAAAATTACTTAAATATGAATTTGATTTAGTGTATAAGCGTGGTAAAGAGTTATATATAGCAGATACTTTATCAAGGTAATTTAACGAAAATGAAATGTTAGAAATTGATTTAGATGAAAAGAATATTGAGGCTAATATTAATATGATGATTTCTACTTTAAATATTAGTCAGAGTCAATTAGGTGACTTTCAGAATTTGACTGAAAGTAATAATGAAATGAGATTACTTAAAAATATGATTGTTAATGGATGGCCTGAACATAAAAATTCTTTACCTGAAGATATCAGACAATATTGGCATGTTAGAGATAGTTTAACATATAAATCCAACCTTATATTTAAAGGTGATTGTATAGTAGTACCTTATGAATTAAGAAAAGAAATGTTAAGAAGTTTACACTATCCTCATTTAGGGATTACAAAAACTCTATTAAGGGCAAATGATGCTATGTATTGGCCTGGTATGATTCATGAAATAACAGACTTGATATCTCGATGTGAAACATGTAAACTTTTTAGTAACAATAATAAAAGGGAAACACTAATACCGCATCCGGTGCCAGAATTATGTTGGGAAAAGGTTGGAATTGATCTGTTTGAATTGAACGGTCATACTTATATACTAGTAATAGATTATTTATCCAAATTTCCAGAAGTTGCCCTCTTGAAATCCACTACAAGTGATGAAATCATTTATAAATTGAAGCAAATTTTTAGTCGGTTCGGTATACCCAAACAAGTAATGAGTGACGGGGGCCCACAGTTTACCAGTGACATTTTTAATAAATTTTCTCAAGATTATCATTTTGAACATATTCGATCTAGTCCAGGGTACCCACAGTCAAACGGTTTGGTTGAACGAGAAATCCAAACTATAAAAAAACTTCTTAAGAAAGCATTACATGATGGTAGAGATCCGTATTTAGTTTTGTTAGAGTTTCGTAATACTCCAATTTCGAATATCATTCCTTCACCAGCCGAAAATTTATTTCATAGGAAACTTAGAGGTATTATTCCTATGAACAAAAACATGTTCTTCCCGAAAGTGAATAAAAACTTAAGAAAAAATTTACAGACACGACAAGAAAACGACAAATATTACTATAATAGAAACAAAACTCAATTAAGAAAATTAGCTTATGGAGAGATAGTTTTATTTAAGGTAGGGAGATTCTGGAGGAAAGGAGTGATAAAGGATATATTAAACAGTAGAACGTATAGGATAAAGAGTAACGATAAGTTTTTTATAAGAAATAGGTTTTATATTAAACCTTGTAATTATGGTTCTGAAGATAGTTCGGAATCTGAATACAGTACTTGTCCTACGAATGATGTAGATTTGAGTGCCCCAACAACTAATAATAGAGAAGAGGGTTTCTATACAATGTCTTATGGCCGTACTGTTCGTCCGCCAGTAAGATATCCTAATTAATTAATTATGTTTCCTGAATAATATCTTAAAGTTTTAAGTTACTTATTTAATTTTATTTTTTGTTTTTAATACACTGTTTAATTTAGTTTAAAAAAGGGAGATGTTGTATTAGTTTATTTTATATTTTTATAAGACATATACAAACTTTGTGTTGTTACTGTAAACTAGAGGAAACATAAAATGGTGACATTATAAGATGAATTCTTAATATCATGTAGTTTCATTTTAATTAATATATTATCAATATAATATAACAAAGACTAGCCACTTTTCTAAGTTAGACATTATAGTGAAAAAGTATGTGCATGAACGCAAATTTACTCTCTATTCCTTTCATTATCTTAATTAAGTGGGAGACAATTTGAATTCACGGTGAGAGATTAAAACCAGGAGGAGGAGCTTGGCTTAGTTTCTAACTTTCCAAATATGGGCTGATGCTGGGATTTATTTACGGTGACAAAAATTAGAACGACCCAGATATTAAGTCCTACGACAGAAAATATCATGTAGCCTTATTTATCCCCTTAGCACATTCACAGATTGATATATTTAAATTTAGGTTTTTTTCTGTTTCTTATCTCGGAAGAATCTGTTACAAACTACAAACAGTTGACAAATGAATCTGACATTATACTTGTTCTCTTTAAAATTCCCAAATGAAAACAAAAACAAAGCCTACCTAAAATGGTGAGGCGATCCGACCGGCGAGAATATAGCTGTGAGAAAGTGCAGACGCACGGTGAGCTCGGTGATGTGCGCGTAGTGCTGCGCGTCGCTGGCGGCGGCCGCGCGCTGCGACACGTAGTGCCGCAGGTCCTCCAGGAACAGCCGCATCATGCCGCGCTCGCGCTCCGCCCACATCACCACCTGACAATATTCGATACATTGATGTTCTCCTGACAGAAGACACGATGACCAATTACACTAATGCCCGATTTCACCAACAACCCCTTAGCTACCACCTACGTATGGGATCCCTAGCTTAAAAGTCCCTAAATTAAATTTCGTTTTACCATCTTCAGAGCCCGTATTTCTAGTACCTACATTTATGTGGCATTATATTTTTTTAACTTTTAAGTGACCCCTAACGGTCGGTGAAACAGAAACTGTCCCCTAACAGCCCCCTAACTATGCTTAGGGGATCCCTTAAACTTAAGTGACGTTGGTGAAATCGGCCTTTAGACTTCTAAATTACACAGGGGATATTATAGTGTACAAGTTTGTAACGATACCTCAATACGACCAATGAGAGTTTTACATGATCTCAGAGGCATGGGAGGTCTAAAACCGCAAACTTCTCAACCTCCGGGCTGCTACTGCCTACTGAGAATATTTTAACAGAAAAATTCGGTAATTAAATCTGGCCCAAACTAGGTCTCAAGCCCAGGACCTCCCACATAAATTTAATTGATAAATAACTATAAAAACAGTGAGTTTAAAAAAACTAGTGAACCTGGTGCATATCCATTCCACGTAGTTGTTGAAACGATGAGAACAACTTCGGAAGAAGACGAAGGGATACAGCAACCGATCTGTGAAGTGAAAATTATACATTTTATATTAAAAAAATAAAAATATGTAAATAGAAATAATATATATGATTTATGTATGTACCTATGATTAGCAAGATTATCAAGGCATCCTTCAATAAATTTAATTCTGATGAATTTGTCAGTGCTAAAACACAATAAAGCACAAAGAGCTTTTTCAGCTTCTAACGCGAGACCTTCACCAAGTTGCTCCTGTAATTAAAAACATTTATTGTGAAATACAAACCATCATTAATTTAATTTCTAATTATTTATTAGGTTGAAAATTTTTTACGGCTGGATTGTCTTTCTAATGAGTACATTGAATCTAATATAATTGTGAAAGTTCGTGTGTATGTTTATTTATGTTTGTTACTTACTCATCCTGAAACGACTGGACGAATTTGGATGAAATTTTGTATACAAATAGGCTATGACGTGGAATAACATATTATATATAATAAAAAAAAATATTTATAATATGTATGTGTTTAAAGTTATATACATATATGTAGTGTATCAACTATCTGGTATCCATAACACAAGCCTCGTAACTTACCATGGAACTAGATGGCGCTGTGTGTTAATGTCCCAACATATTTATTTATATTTATAACACAGCCTACTGTTTGGTACTTTAGCACTCGAGCGAAGCGAGAATAAGTCGCTAAACTTGATAATAAAATAAACAGAAGCAAACTAGAACTTGAAGTACGTGTTGTTCATACGACTCACAATGGCGCCGTCCTGCAGCAGGTCCCACAGCAGCGTGTTGCCGGGGCGGCACACGTCGTCCACGTTGAAGGGCAGCGCGGGCGCCGGCGACGGCGGGCGCGCCTCCAGCGCCGCGCCCACGCCCACGCCGCCGTACTCCGTTAGGCATTGCGCCTGGACGGGCGAAAGTTTTAATGAACATTGCTTGCAATTAATTGTCAATGTTTTAATTATCATTTGTTTTTTTTTATATAGACTAATATTGATTATGCATTCAGTAATTGTAATAGGGAATGTGCGTGTGATTTAAATAAAGGTGATATATATATATATTATAATCTTTAATGCTTTTGAATAAACATAATTATTAATCCCTCCACCGACCACAGACACGCTGGCATATCAGTTAACAATAGACTGCTTAGATAATTAATTTATTAGAAATTTACCTAGAGGTGTTAAAAAATGAAAATATAGGAGGCAAATTCAAAGTTGTTGAAACACACGTCATTGGTCAGACCCAATATGACGTCAAATTATTATCATAACTAAGCGATTACCGGTTTTGTCGCTAGAAACTAAAGTCATTTTTCTATGTATGATGCTTTGAAGTTACGCCGAGCGCTCGAAATGGCGGGCGTTTAAAGTATCCTTATTGGTATGATATTTTTAATTTTTTTATACCAAAAATAGTAGTATTTAGGAGCTGGATATTTTTTTTATAACAATATAACGATGTTAGCTATTGTATATAAAATGAAATAAAAATCACGCATATTCCCTATTGTATAATGTGAATCAATAAAAAAAGATCTTCTTTAATCTTTTATGTTTTTTTTGTAAGTAGATGTAATGTTTTCCTAATTTAAACAATCTTCAAATCTTTAGAAATTGGTGGTAAGTAAAATTCACGCCATATAAGTTGATTAGTACATTATGATAAATGACTTTGTTTTTCATCTATAACTTAAAATACCTGTGCAGCAAGTCGCGCCAATTCCTCCTCACAGGCGGAGTCGTCCTCGTCCAGGTCGGGCAGGTGGCGGTGCGAGTGCGAGTGCGCGGACAGCGCTGATGAAGCACTGCCTTCTTCCTCCTCGCGTCGTTTGTAGCTCTCCATCAGGCGAAGTTCCATCAACCGTCTTTAACATGAATTCAATGATGAGTGATGATTTTATGATTGATTCCCCATACAAACTTTTACCCCCATTTTCACCCCCTTAGGGGATGATTTCCGGGATAAAAAGTATCCTTTGTCCCTCCCAGGGTCTCAAAATATCTTCTTACCAAATTTCATCTAAATCGGTTCAGTAGATCAAGAGATTACCCCCTACAACGTCACAAACTCACAAATTTTACCTCTTTATAATATTAATTATAGATAGATACATATTTCGGACAAAACTGAATATAAAAAATTTTCCTATATGTATCCACAAAAGTTGTTTTACGTTTTGGATGAAAATGACTTTTAGGCACTTGAGCAAGGCTAGTCGTCGTTCCCACCAATGTGCGTTCACCTTGTCGTGGTGGGGGGGGGCTCAGTAGTGCCCGGCAACCCAACCGCGCGCGAAGCCAAGAAACGCACAGGGAGGTGGCCCACTTCGGTGGGCGGTGTGAGGTGGCCCTCTTCGGAGGGCGGTGTACCATGCGGGTTGCTCCTGGTACTTCTCTGATAGCAGAGTGGAGTTTGGAGCAACCCCGTAGTCGTTGTGGTCTGCCTCGGCAGACCTGCCGTCGGGGCGTCGTAGTTGAATGCGATCCTGCGACACCCCATTAAGACGGGGGCAGGTTTTGTTGGGTTTTAGTGGGTAGTACTGGCTTTGCCGGTGAGTCCCACACCTCGTGCGTAAATGCATTTCCCAACGTTAAAAAAAAAGAGACTAGTCGTCGTTGAGCAAGGCTAGTCATAAGTCGCTAGTTAAGATATATTTTTATAATTATCTACATTACTATTATCAACTCTTTTAAAACCAAATTATTCTAGAATAAAGATATGATCAGACCTAGCATCCACATTATCGCATAGAAGCTGACAGTGCGCCGTGTCGCTGCCGGACGACTCCTCCTCCACCTCCGACACGGACTCCGCCAGGTCCGCCGTCTTCAGTTGTGTCGCTACTGACCAAAATATATATTTATACATATTACATTCACATTTGGTATCTAATAGCTGGTAATAAGATATTTATGTATCAATATTAGTTAATATAAATTTTTCTCCTCGTGTAATACGCCTCATGCTTCGATACAAATAATCATTTTAGTATAAAATGGGCATTACATCTCAAATCCCGGAATATGCATATTTTTGAAGAACTCGAGAAGCATATCATATTTTTGAAGTGAAAACTTCTATAGGCAGGTTTGGATGGGGAGTAAATTCTTGTAAGTCGTCATCGACATAGTCACGTGACGTGTTAACGCTAACACTCAGAATTGACGATAGATGTCAAAACCAGATAAATGTAAACAGTTTTAATTTAAATTTAAGATCAAACAATTTGAATATGCAAAAATAATAACTGTTTTTTTATAGTTTTTAGTTTTCACTTCTGTCGGCAGCCCTCATGACTGCTTATTTTTAATATGAAATACTAGCCTACATAAAATATAGAGCAAACATTTCTACAACAAAATATGTATAATTATAGAAACAATGATACAATAACTTGTATGTGAATCCAAGCAAATGTATGGACCATGCACTCACGGAAATGCCTGGTCTTGCCGGGCTTGTGGCGCTTCTTGTACAGCTTCTTCTTGCGCGGACGCAACAGCTCCTCCGCACCGCTGCTGGCGCTACCGCTGCTGCCGGCGCGCTTGTTGCGTCTGCAATACCATTAAGTATTTACACTTCCTTACACTTACATACACTTTATAAAGCTATTTATTTTTTAATATATATAATAACATCATATATACATGTATGTATACAAGCGCTTGATATTTCTTACAGCCTTGAAGAAATCACTGTTTTAGTGATAAAGTCGCCTCTGGTACATTTTCCTAGTAATGTAGTGTTTTTGTATCCTTTTTGTGTGTACAATAAAGTGTTTTATTACTATTATTATTATTATTATTATTATTATACATTCCTATTTAATTTTATACAAATAAAACATTCACATGAAACAATGATTTAGATATGCAAATTATATTCACATATATATCTGATGAATTTGTGATTGTGAGTTATATTTTTAATAGTTGTTGGCTTCAATTGTACTACTATAATAAATACGAAAGTTTGTGTTAATGTATATGTTTGTTACTATTTTATACTTCACACATTCGGTTAGACTATATAGCAGTCAGTTAAAGTAGTAATAAAAACCATTTAGATTACTTCATTTCAACTTACTTTTGGCAAGATTTGAGGGAAGAACATTCTTTTTTTGTAAGTTCTTCTCCTTCACGAATCCAATCCTGTTCAGCTGTAAATTAAACAAAAATGTATATAAAAATGAAATATAAAACACATAACATGAAAAAATACACACAAATAATAAGAAACCCCATGTATACCCGTTAATTCACGCTGATGCTTGCTTTGCTTACGTGGTGTAGGTCCAGCTTCTTCTCCAGACGTGCTTAGCTCCTCACACTGAAATAAAATATAAACATAAATAATTACATACTATAAATTTACAATATATAGAATAAATTCAACATAGCTAACAAAATTGTAAACAATATATTTTTCATTAATCACCAATACTAAAGTCAATAAAAAAATAAATCTATACAAAGCAAAAAATGTATACATACGGGGTCATCATCCGAGTTAGTCTGATCCATACTAACACTTGCTTCGGAAGATGAGCGATGGTGTGGCTTGCAAGCTGGCGGTGCGAGCCGCGGGGGCTCCGGCGCGGGGGACGTGGCCCCGCCTCCGCAGCCACCTCGGGCCCACATCGCCCGCATCAAAGCCGATGCCAAGTACAGACTCTATATAATAATAGTAACATGCACAAAAACATCAACATTTTTATAATTTTTATATATATTTTGTAAGTTTGCTTAGTAAAATAAAACATTTTAACTATTTGTTAATCTACGAAGTCTATTATCTATTCAAGCAAACAAAAATAGCCCGAATTAGCACTGTGTACTAGTATAGTATAATTTGATCTAGTATGCCTATACCATCTACTGATACTATTACCATTTTTGATTGCACTGAGGTTAATTATTTCAACTATAAAATTGTTATTTGTTTTAAAAAATAAAACTCATATAAACAATAAAATAACAAATGTATTATAAAATATATAACTTTTATTTAAAAACAAAACTATTTGTTCAGATTATTTAGAAGATTTATTAAGATTTTTGGTTCTCGACGTTTCGAATGCTTTACAGCAATCATCTGTATCATCAAAGTACCTTACAATATTTGTTTATTTTAAATCGAAGCATTTTTATTTTTTTTAAAAGTATTATAACTAAATATAGCATATTATTTATTTAATTTTAGCTGTTTTTATTATAAATACTACATTTTTTTTTAAACTATTAATTAATATTATTAAGTGTTGCTATTATTATCATATGTATGTATAGCCATTCAAAATGTTGGAAACCAAAAATCATAATAAATCTGTGAATAATTGAATAATCCGAAAAGATAGTTTTATTTAAAATGTCAAATATTTGCATAAATCTAAGTATAATGTAATTTCCTTTGTTAAATTGTTACTTTGTAAGTGGCACCATATATTAATACAAAATAAAATATCTTTTTTCAAGTGGCATACCTGTTCAGTATGTTCCTTGGGCGGTAAAGAACATAATAAGCTGTACAAATGAGAGCAAGGTTTAGGTGCCAGTGCTCTAATAAAGCCAGGTAAGAGATCATATACTTGGCGCCCACAATGTTTAAGCTGAGCAGCTGCCCACACTAGCTCCACATGTTCAGATGTCACTCGGCCTTCCACAGCAAGAAACTTGAGTATCATATGTGACTGTTTTATTACCTGTAAAAATACATAAAGTACAGACGATGAAAACTAAAATTACAAAAATAATCATAATTAGTGTTATGTAGTGTATCAAAAAGTAAAACAACAATAAAACAACTTTTTATTCAATGCCACTTTTAGATACTTGTGAAGACATCAAGTAAACACTCACCTCAACATGTAAATTTGGTCCGAATAGATGTTCAATAATATTGTTATATGTTAACCATGTTGCTAGCTGTTGTCCGGCTACCTCCGCATCAGCTGCTGGTTCTCCAGCACATAGCTCATTATGAGCAGCTATATGAGCATTAATCTGGGCCACACCAGCTAACCTCATAGTTAGAGTACTACTATTAAAATACTTGAATGCCAAAGCAAGACCATCCCCATCAAATGCTAATGGGGCATCTAAAGGTTCCTTAGCAGCTCCCCACATGAAATCTAGTTCAAAAAATAATTGTTAACTTATGACTACACAGGTATTAAGTATATATAAAAGTAAAATATATAAAACACTAACCGGCCATGGATTTAACAGCTGGTACTCTTAAGTCTTTGTCTTCTAAACTACACATGTATTTCAATATTTTACTTCGTAAAGGCATGAAAAGCTGTGTAACTGCTCTAAAGTTCAACCAAAGCTTCAAATTACCAACTGCTGCAACTATGGCATGTGCCATAGATAGAGGTAGACTAGTGGGTGTAGCACATTCAAACACTGAAGTCATAGCACATACTCCTCCAAGTTTACAAAACAAACTAACATTTCTTAGTAAATAAGCTGGTATTTCAGTATCATGCAAATCACAGTATGAGCTGAGGTTTGAGATCTCCTGGGCTGACAAGTCATCTAGTCGACTAAGGGCTGAATGTTTACATGCTAAATATAAAGGAAAATTGAGAAGGAAAATTTTAGATACAATATGCATTAGCTTTTCTTTTTGTTGCATAGACCAAGTTTCAGAATCTGTACTAGGGATTATTGGATTTTCTTTACTAGATGATTCTTCAGAAGATTCTGATAGTTCTGTAGGTTTTGTACTTTCTGTAGACAATTCATTGTCCTCTTGTTCTTTATTCTCTTCTTCATTTATAGTAGAGGTTTCATCCTTGGCCTCTTTTTGTGTTTCTTGTGTCTGGACATTATCATTTTGGCTTTTAGGTGATGCTAGTAAATCATCTTTTAGTTGCTTGAGCTGGCATACAGATAGGCAAAGTATACTTTGGACAACTAAATAAAACCTTTCAAAATTTTTCACATCTCGATAACAGCACATACACTGCCTAAAATTAAAAAAGCATTAGTATAACACAAGTTTGTCTCAGTTTTAAGGTCATACAGAATTTTATATTGCAATAAGGGTTTATTGGGAATACTTTACCTTTGAGGCCATGAAAGAATATAATTTAACACTGTTTCGAGCTCTGACTGACTTATAGTTGGATACTGGGACACATCGTCGGTTAGTCTCGTTTCACCTAAAAAAAATATGAATATAAAGTTATAAGTTTAACCTCAGTGTCTTTTATAAATATAATAGTATATTTGGTACATTTTTAAAGATTTAAATAGAAATATCTACATAAAAGTAAATGAACCACAAAATTTCGAAACAATGTAACTTACAATTTACTAAAAGCTGCGAAAACTCCGAACAAACATCACACATTCTTGATGTTTTGTGTCAGTATTAAGCGAAATATTATTACAATATTATCGCAGCTGTTATTGTATTTAAAATATTGATCATTATTGATATTTTCGTATCAGAAAACGAACACTGCCTCACAAATGTCAAAGAATCCGTTCCACCATTGTTGACGATTGTTGTCAAAATAGCGTTTTGTTATGTTATAATTACAAAACTTAAGTAAAATTGTTAATATAAATATTAAGTGAAGTTTAAATTACATCAACCAAATAATATATAAATTTTAGAAAAAAAACCCAATTCATTTTAAGCTTCATATACTTTCAACAATAACAAAAATAATCATATTTTATAAAGTTCTACAAAGACACGCAATTCTGCATTAACTAAGCGCTTCGCATGATAGCAGTTATTCAAAAAATAAAAATTAATAATAAATAGTACTGAACCAAACCATATAAATCATTAACAAAGCAACTATTAGCAAATATCATTATAGTAATCATAAAAAAAATATTTACGTATTTTTCATTACTTGTATCATGTATGTAACAAGCTTTGTTTTAGAATAAACCATTAAACAATAATGTTGTTATTGTAAATGTCACTGTCAAATGTGCAACGGCTGATAACTTGAGTTTGGCAGCTCCGGGAATAGAAGTTATGAGCTATGGGTTAGGTTGTAATTCTAAAGTTTTCATAAATTAAAAGAAATGGTTCAGTTAGTTTATGTTGTAGCTAGCTTACATGTGTTATTGTGTCCGTTTACAAAAGTAGAAGAAAGTTTTAATATTCAAGCGTTTCACGATATTTTGTATCATCGGCTTAACCTATCAGAGGTATAAAAGAAATTCTAATTTTGGACTCGAATGTTGCGCACTGACGACTTTATTAAATCTATTTTTTCCAGTACGATCATAATGAATTCCCGGGTGTAGTGCCGCGCACTTTTATTGGCCCACTTATAATTTCGGCTTTATCCTCACCTGTTGTTGGGATATTGCATTTATTAGGCATTAATAAATTTTGGATGCAATATGTTGGTAAGTATATTATATTAATGAGTATATGAGTATTAAATACCTAGTTCTTTGGCAAGTGTATTTAATTTTTCAATGAAATGAAATAAACTTTATTCAATTAGACTTATTACAAGCACTTTTGAATCGTCAATTTAATTTAAGCGTCAGTGTAATCAGTCCGTGAAGAAGCAATATTACTTTAAAACTATCTTCATTTTTTTTCAGTAAGGCTTACTCTGGCATTAACTATAATAGCAACATGGAACCGACTAAGAAATGCATTACAAAAACAATTTGGAAGTACACTCACTTGGTGGTTTACTTTAGTCAGTGTATCACAATATCACTTTATGTTTTACATGAGCCGTCCATTACCTAATATCATGACAATGCCTCTTGGTAAGATCATAAGTATTAGAGCCAATTTTTGATGTAATCATTTTCTTACTTTTATTTTTAATTTAATTATTTGTATTTAGTACTGTTGGCATTAGAAGGATGGATTGCTGGAAGACATAAACAATTCATAATAGCAGCAGGTGCTGCTATTGTTATATTTCGAGCCGAATTAGCTATGCTATTTGGTTTATATATAATTATAGACCTTTATTTCAAGAGAATTGATGTAGTAAGGTATGTTTTGATCATAAAAACATTCATTAATATTATGTAAATGAACCTCTAAATATTTTTTTAGGAGTTGAAATTTTCAGTTTAATTTACAACCAATAAATTTAAAACATACATTTCATTCTTTTTTATGCTAGAATTTTTTAATTAATTATTCAATAATTTTGTAAGATAAATGTTGCCTTTTCCTCTTTTTGACTTGTGTTAATTAATATTTCCATTTTTACTTATGAAATATTTTTATCTTTCAGATTTATAAAAATTGTAATTCCAGCAGGAATTGCATTAGTGGCATTAACAGTTATAATTGACTCTATATTTTGGGGGCGCATCTTATGGCCAGAAGCAGAAGTCTTTTGGTTCAATACGATTTTAAACAAAAGCTCTGAATGGGGTGTATCCTTTTTGTAGAAAACAAAAATATGTATTTTATAAAAGGATATGCAACTTTTAAGCATCATTTTTTTCCTTTTACCAGTAATCAAACTTAGATCATAACAAAAATGTTATATAAATATATAAAAAAAGTCTTAAAGAAGAATCTTAAAAATAAATAAATAATAAAAATAAGGTCTGACAAAAGAAAACCTGGTTCATTATGGTTTAGTGAGTTGGTTTTTTGAATGGTTCTTTAATAAACTTCTTATATAGTCTTCTAAATAATATCTAAGTTTCTTTACTAATGAAAAAAAAATGCTACCCATCAATATAAAAGGCACATAACAATATTGTTACAATATCAACATTATATTCATGTTATTTCTCTGGCTGTAAGTTTCAAGTGGTAACCCACTTGAGAATAGCTGAACGGATTGTAAAAAGAGATAATAATTTTATTTCTGATAAATATAACTCACCTTATTACACTACCATAACAAAAACAAGCTTTAGACTGTTGTTGTGGATTAAATGAAGATAAAGGCTATGGTGCAGTCACAAGTTCAGTATTCAGACAGCATACCTAATTCATAAATAAAGTGAACAGATAAAGCTAATTTATCCTAAAAAATAATTTTTCATATTTTACACTGAATTAATAAATCTTTACTTGTATTTCTTTCCACTGTCGTGGCACAATGACGCTAATTGCAGGGTCATCCAAGCACAGCGTTCCTAATATTTTTATATTTCTTCCGAATATAAACATTCTAATCTAGTTATTTATTGCCTTCATGATCACATTTTTTTCCCCCACGATAAAAATATCGTGATTCATGACATAAACAATATGCATTTATTTTATCATTAAAGCTATTTATGTAGTAAATAGTAATACTTAACTAACGATTTTCATGATATACAATCCTTAACAATTAAATCAGACTTCGCCGTTTCTCTGGTACTTTTACTCAGCCCTGCCTCGCGGTCTTGGTCCTAGTATTATCTTGCTACCTATAGGGTTATACCTTGAAAAGCGTCTTGTACCCATCATAGTTCCTGCTCTTATTTATATCCTTCTATTTTCCTTTCTACCGCATAAGGAGCTTAGGTTTATTATATATGTTTTTCCTTTGCTCAACATATCATCTGCTGCTGTTTGTTCGTACATGTAAGTTTTATAAAAGTAATCTTGCACTCAAGTGTCGAATTTACTTATATCTTGGTATATTTCAAATATGAATTCAAATTATTTATTTTAGTAAAAGAATACCAAGTTGGACCTTTCTATTTCAATGATGAATCAAGCTAGATGATGTGTTAATTTTTTCCAGATACATACGACGATCTAAATCACCAATTTACGAACTTCTATTTTGGGGAACAGTTATCATCATAGTTTGTAATGTAATGTTTTCATTAGCATTGTCTTTAGTTGCAATGACCAACTATCCAGGTGGAATAGCAATAACGAGGTTTGTATTTTTTTCAGACATCTCTAATTTTTTTATATAGTATTTTTATATCTGACAACAACTTTCTAATGTTTATAAATTTCAGGTTCCACAAACTATTAAAAAATGAGCCCAATGTTCATGTACATATTAGCAATTTGGCAGCGCAGACAGGTGTCACAAGGTTCACTCAAATACATGACCATTGGTCTTACAGCAAAAATGAATCACTTAGTGGTGATCAACTGCAAGACTTCACTCATCTTCTTCTTGAAGCTAAAAGTAAATATTCGTCAAATTTAAAGGCGTTTTCTCAAACTCACACCATTTTAGATAGTATCGAATCTTTTTCACAAATTACAGTTACGTACAAGCTTATACCACCTATTAAAATAAAGACAAAGCCAGCTATTTTTATTTTGGAAAGAAAAAATTTCCGCGACGATGCCTTCAATTTAGAAACTTTGAAAAGTAAAGACCAAGATGAAGAATATCTAGAGATAGTTAATAATGGAGATAAGCTGGATCAAATGGACATAGAAAATGAGATGTATAGTGTCTATACAAGTGAAGAAGTAACTGATAAGTCTCTAGAACATGCCAAAGACGAGATGGACCAAAGTACCAATGAGTCAGAGAAAATAATTGTGGAAGCTACAGATGAAGTTACAGCTACAGTTGTCGATACCCCAGAACAAATGGTCACAGTAGTTGATGATGATGATGATATTAGAGATGAATTGCAAGAAGAGTTAGAACATTCTCGAACTAAACCAGCAGCTAAGGTTAAAAGAGTATTAGAAGAAGCAAAGGTTACGGCTAGACATGAACGAAAGAGAAAAGCAATAACAAAAATAAAATCGGAAACACGCAGGGAAGTTGTAGCTTCTGCTAAAGAAAAATTAAAAGAAATAATGAAGCGACACAAACATATCGCTGTTGAGCTAACGGAAAATAACATATCAGATACCTTTAAGGATGTCGATGGTAGGGGTGACATACCAGAAGAAGTGCTTGAAGAAATTGTACCTCAAGTTGAGGAATTAAACTTAGTCCCTACCGAAACTTATGATACAAAGTTACCAGAAACAATTAGCGAAAATGCTGAAACAATTAATAATATCAATATAAATATTGAGTCTATAGTAGAGGAGGTAATAGTGCGTTTGCATGAAAGAAAAATTTACGATGATAAAACTAAACCAGAGGATATTAAAAATGAAGAAAGGGCGATGATTCAAAAAATTGTAGAAGAAATTTTATCAGAAAGGATGAATTATAAAACGATACATGTAAAAAAGAGTGAAAATAATTAGAAGGTGTATTGTGGGGATTTTCAGTTATACTTATCAAACTTGGCCCAACTACTGTCGGTTGCATAATCAATTTTAATTTCATTGATAAAAAAGAGCTACTGTTAGGACTTGCCATTTTGCAGGATAATATTTTAAGTACATTCTGGACAAATTAAAGATAAGTGTATAGAGCTAACAAACTGCCTCGGTGGTGTAGTGGCTAGCATGTACGGCTGCACACCCGGAGGTCCTGGGTTCGAGTCCCGGGTCGGGCCAAGTTTAGTTACTGAGTCTTGCTGTATAGTAAGCGTAAGTGTTTCACCCCCGTGCCTCGGAGAGCACGTAAAGCCGTCGGTCCTGCGCCTTAACTCTCACTGGTCGTGTCGAGCAGTCGTCCCACCGGAGTATGAGAGTGACAGGAATAGAGAGTGCACTTGTGTCTGCGCGTACACTTGAGCACTATAATATCTCCTGCGCAGTTGGCTAGTCTCAATGAGATTGGCCGCCGTGGCCGGAATCGGTCAGGAGAACATCATCATCATAGAGCTAACAATTTGTAAATGTGTAATATAAAACAACCCATTTATTGTAAGTTTATTTACGTGGCATATTATAATTCATGTTTGAACATAGCTGGATATCCCCGAAAACTTGTCCTAAGGCAGAATTAAAATAATTATAATTATATACATATATTTAAGTGATCTCGATATAAATGTTAATAAACTGCAATGGTTTTTAATGCACTCGGACTCAGACAGGCAATTTATTCTCTTTTTTATTTCATTCTTGTGTAAAATATTGTTTTAAATTATTAATATCAATGTTTTAAGAAGAATTCATATTTATAATAAGATCATTTTAAGTCTGTGATGAATAAATATTAAATAAAAAAATTGAATATATTTCTAAATTTTTATTTCTATTGAAAGATATCACACATAATAGTCACAATCGTTGCATTCTCCCATCACATACATTAGTGTAATCACACATTGTAAAAAGGCATTGTAACATTATCATGATTATCTATCAGTAGCTACTGGAATAAATTCTATTATTTTTGTAGCTCAATAGTAGTTACATTAAAGCTTAAAATATTCTATAACGATACATATAATAAAATAGAAAGAAAATTAAAAAGAAATACCTCATACACAAAAATTAAAATGACACATTTTCGAGGTAGGTATAATAATGAAATGTCAACTTATTGAAACATTGATATACCTAAGTACATATTATTAATCAATGAATAAAAAAAACGACTATCCTAATCAGTACATAAATCTTATTAAAAGATCTTTAAAATATAAAGTACATACTCTAAAATATTTTACTTATACTATGGCATCAGTAACATCACAAATTGTCACAATATACTTCAATAAAAATTATAAGATATCGAAGTTATGTGCTTTAAAATAAAATCATTTCTATATTTTTATTTTATATTTTTGTAGTTTGTTCCTAATAGTGGTTTTAAAAATTAATTTTATTATGAGATCGATTAGTCTAAAGGTTTTTTGAATTAAATATTAACTTTATTTATTATATTTTAAAAGAAAATCTAATATGTTGCTTAACTTTTGTTTAGCTTTTACCTATATTTTCACTTCATAATTTAATATTACTAAATTGAGATTGTGTTAGTTACATCCATAATGTGATTAGTTAAGAGACATTTTCATATAACTATCATCCTGAATAATATTATCATACTACTAAGATATAATTCATTATTAATGGCTTTTCTATCTTACTGCGGCACTTGAAACATATGGCATATTATGTAACTTAAGTAACCCAATATAGCAACCAAAAGGAAGTAATATACTATATATTTCTAACATTATATTTCGTAGATTAATTATTATGAAAAAATATTCTATCTCATGCAATATACTTTATATGTTTATGTCTTATTATTACATACCTTATAAATGATTTAGTTACGCACATGCTTACCCTTTAGTCTCTAGCGTCTAACACATTCCAATATTATAGACCAATCGTCTATACACAAGACAACAAGACAATGAAGATCCTAAACAATAAAGACGCATACATGCGTTTACAAATTATTCATTAGCAATATCCATCAACATTTTCCAGTCGAACCGTCCGGAGCTGGAGTTGATGGACGGCGGGCAGGGCGGCGACACGAGCTCGAGCGGACGGTCGCGCATGGCGGCCAGCGCGCAGTACGGCACACGGTTGAGGAACTTGGTCAGCTGGTACTCGGGGTACTGCGCCTTGCCTTGCTGCAGACGCTTCAGGGCTGTCACCATTAAGTCTAGGGTTGTCGCGTGCCCCACGAATATTATATTGCCACCTAGGTTTTGATTTTATATTACTTTTTATACCAACTTAATAAAAGTTGTATGTTACGTGATATTTTCGTCTATTAAAATTGGTTGACAAATAATTGTTACTTTTTTTTAATAAAAGAAACTTCAAGAAAAAATTCCAATGTTAAAAGTGGAGTAACTTATAAAGCTATTTGAAAATCTATACAACTTTATAGTTAGAAATTAGAATAATTATTATTGATAAAAAGTCTGTTTTTTCTTCATTGCACAACCAAACTAATTGTACAATAATATACATCAAGTAATATTAATTCAAGACATGTGTTACACTACTATACCTTCAGCCTCGGTGTCCTTCACAGCTGACTGTATGACAAGCTCGTTTCTTTTATAGAATTCTTCTATAGTTTCAGGGGCATGAACATCCATTTCCGCATATGGTTTATAGCTGAATAAAAAGAAATACATCTGTTAAGTCTTATGTTTCATTTATGGAAAGTTAGTCTATTCCGTGACCATGTTTACTATAATCTGTACAGCATTCGAAACATCGGGGAACCAACTTTAAAATAAATATGTGATAAAATGATTTTATTTAAAATGGAGTACACATAAGTATAATAAAATAAAAAGAGGTAAGGATATTATACATTTTAAGTACGAAATTTGCAACTGGCCGAAGGCAAGACCCGAAGTAAGGAATAGCAAAAAATTATACAACAACAATAATAGGTTGGTGTTTATTTTTCAATGAACATTTCCAAAATTTCCGTCCTAAAATAATATTTTTTTTAAATATATTCTATTTTTAGTTTTTATTTATTTATTTTATGATCTTTGTTTTGTTGGATTTGTCTTCACCACGATATTGAAAAAAAATGTATCCCATACTAAGCGTCCAAACGTACCTAGGGATGAACCTGAGCGAAACGAGGGTGAGTGGCCAGTCCTGTATTTAACTGTGATTACTTACTTCAGATCCACATTGTAGCCAGCTTTGTGCAATTCCATGGGTGTCATGAAAGGTCCCATGCCTTTTGCTGCGTGCCACATCTTGTACTCAAAGAGACCAGGTTCAATTCGAACTTTCAGGGATGGATCACTTCGGAAACCTTAATATAAAAGTAAAAATATAATTATTATTCATATTATTCAAGTTAACAGTAAAAAAATACCGGCCAAACATATTACAACCTCTTTCTTTTTGAAAAGAGGTAAAAATATAATAATCAACCTCATGAATTCAAATTATATTATCTTAATACAGATTATAGTTTAAGGAAAAGAAAGTCTTTTTCCATCAATAATTTTTTTATAGTGTTTTTCAATGAGGAATAGAAGTGTGGGGTGCTGAGTGAATCTAATTATGTATTTCAAATCGACGATCGAACTAGAGGCTATTTATTACCACCTGTACAGTACAAAAGGAAAATTAACGTTGAGTTAAGAAAATAAACGACGACACGTTTGACTCAGTTTCTAGTGACCCTACTTGCTGTGTCGCGGTCGCGGGTTCGAGTCCCGCCGGGGCCGGGATATTTGTGTGATGAGCACAAATGTTTGTACTCTAGTCATGGGTGTTTGTATTTATAATATGTTATATGTATGTATTAAAGTTATATAATATGTGTAGTGTATCAACTGTCTGGTATCCACAACGACCACTAAGCCCGATAGACGCCTAATTTATGTATTTCCGCATCCAAACCTTTCAGTCAAAAGTCTGAGGTAAGCATTACGGGGGAGGCGGGTTGAAATGCACGCTCATTGGTTAATTCAATACAAATAGTGATGGGAACCAGAAGTTTTATATCGTATCGTAGGTAGGTATCGTATTTCCCCCCCAAACGTGCGTTCACCTTGTCGTGGTGGGGGGGGGCTCAGTAGTGCCCGGCAACCCAACCGCGCGCGAAGCCAAGAAACGCACAGGGAGGTGGCCCACTTCGGTAGGCGGTGGGAGGTGGCCCTCTTCGGAGGGCGGTGTACCATGCGGGTTGCTCCTGGTACTTCTCTGATAGCAGAGTGGACCTTGGAGCAACCCCGTGGTTGTTGTGGTCTGCTTCGGCAGACCTGCCGTCGGGGCGTCGTAGTTGAATGCATAAGCGATCCTGCGACGCCCCATTAAGACGGGGGAAGGTTTTGTTGGGTTTTAGTGGGTAGTACTGGCTTTGCCGGTGAGTCCCACAGCTCGTGCGTAAATGCATTTCCAAACGTTAAAAAAAAAAGGTAGGTATCGTATTTAGTAAAATAATTTTCTGTTTTAAAGAATATTTTTAATTAAGACAAGTTTTCTTTACTATAATGAAATAATAATAGAATAATTAATATTATTTATACAGGTTTATTCAAGGTTTAATTACAGTTATATCCATGGTTAAATTTTTCGGAAAACTGTCCTTTACACTCTGTATAACTAAAGTACTACTTATTTACATTAACTTATTATTTATTAAAAGTACAAAAATTAAAAAAAAACTAATAATTTATAATAATTAAATAACTTATTTCTACAAATTTTATAGTTTAACTGGTACAGCACTACTTACACGTGCCGGTAATTAAAGAGTAGTATAGCAACAATGAACTGCATTGAAAAGAAAGGGATGCATAGGCCGAGAATGTCCGAGAATGACCGAATACATCAACGCTAGTTGCGTTGCGACCAATATAACTTGAGCTCTGATTTAAATACATTTAATGAATTTGGAAATTAAAATTCACTTACCTATGAAAAGTGATGCCATTTTTTTTAAATGTTTGGCTACTATTTCCATACCATTTTATTGTACAGAGAGCCATTTTGCGAGCCTTTTGTATTTTTTGTGTCGGAAATTCACGAGTCTCAAGCAATGTGTTCGCGGGTCACGGATGTGGTCTCTACTGAAGTAAATCGCGCGATCGTTTTCTGAAGTCAGACGTATTTGTCTAACGTGTTGACTGACAGTGTTCGCCTTGCGTGAGGTGTCTATTGGGCTGAGTGGTCGTTGGGTATCCATAACACAAGCCTCGTAGCTTACCATGAAACTAGATGGTGCTGGGTGTTATTGTCCCAACATAGTTATTTATTAAAACTAAAAGTGGCTAAGCAAGCTATATCGAGTGCGGGCGTGTGTGTAAAAGTACCAGGCTAGCATACCCTGCAGGAGGTTGTGCGCGGTCTCGACGCAGCGCAGCGAGGGGGACGCGTACACGTGCCGCAGCGACACGCCGGCGGCGCGCAGCCCCTCGCCCACCAGGTACCCCTGCATCTGCCCCACGCGGGTCAGCGGCGCGTCCTTGGCGTACGACTCCGCTCCGCCCTCTCTACCGTAATATATTTAAAGATTTTTATTGAACATAATAACATACATATTGAAAACTAGAGACTCAGTCTTGCTTCGCTCGGATCCGTCCTTAGGTACGTTTTAATTTTTTTTAACGGAACCCTAATTCTTTTTCTAAAATAAAAGTAGCCTATGTTACTCCCTTCTAACAACAGCTATCTTCAACTGAAAGTACCGTCAAAATCAATCCAGCCGTTTCAGAGATTATCCAGAACAAACAGACAGACAAAAATAAAAAAAAGAAGTGGTTTTTCTTATAAGTACCGAATATAATTTCATATGCATTTAGTGAAACGCTGTTATTTTGAAATTACATACAGACACTTCAATTGTATTTATCTGTATAGATAGATCGTAAGTAGCTGCATTAGTATAAACTGTGTCGCGGCTATTTAAGCTCACCTGGGACAATAGGGGCAGTTATGTTCTAAGGTTAGTACAAATACATTTTGAGGTTATATTAGTAGGTTTTTTTTAATTCTCATTTAAAGAGCTGAGTCACTTAGGCGACTATGTTGCTCTGGTAGGTTACACAAATATTCTTATCTATACATTAGTTATAATATTATTTAGTTTCGCTTACTTATATTATGTTTACCTATATTATACATAATTTTGGCTAACTCTGAAGTAGGATTTGCAAGATATATATTACATATTTCAATTGATCTATCTGCTAATTGTGATTGTGATGGTGGGGTTCGCTTCGAGCACATTCCATTAAAATATGGTACACATCCTCTATAACTCCGCAATCGGGACAATTAGGAGAAAGAACTTTCTTCATTAAATACCCAAACTTATTTAATGGAATGTGTCCGGAGCGCAGTCTCAAAGCCATCACAATATCTTCACGTTTGAAATTACACATATCTACCCAAGAATAGTAACAAGGTTGTGGTTGAATCGTTTTGTACCATATGCCTTTTTCTTTAGACCTCAAGTCAAAATACTCTTTCCAAGCATCTAAACATTTTTCTTTTATCAAATAAAGACAGTCTGTATAGAAAAGTAACATATGAATTATATCTCGTTCCCAATAATTCCAATATGAGAAGGAATCCACTGCAAAACAACTGATTTTTCCAAGGACTTCATTTTAAGAATCAATTCAATGATAGTGTTGGCTATCGGTGTTCCTCAAAAAGTCGAGGTGCAACGAGCCAAGTGTTGTAATGAACTTTTTGAATCAGTAAGAATAATAAATTTATTAAAATTAATTGTCTCAATATAAGATAATACTTCAGCCAAAGCAATAAGTTCTGCGTACATTATTGAAATTTTGTAATTATTTTTAAATCTCATATTAGTTTCTGTTTGGGGATCATAAAAAGCAATTCCCGTTTCATTGTTATCCAAAGATGCATCAGTAAATAATTTATAATAGTTAGGATATTGTGAATTTAAATAATTTAAACATTTTATTTTAATATCAAGAGAATTATACGAGCGTTTTGCTTTCTTAATGTGAGGTATATCTATCTTAATATGTGGATCCAAGTCGATTTTTGAAGTCCAAACATTTAAATTAAACATTTCTAGTTGTTTGCTTCTATGAACTGATATATTTTGAATTTCATTAAATAACATAATTAATAAAGGCTTTTTCCTTCTATTCCAATATGAATTTTCAAATTGAGATGCATATTCACTAAGTAGAGAAATAATACTGTTGTTTTCTAAAGATTTTGCTTTTAACAAATATTTTCCGCCTAAGTAGCGTCTACGAATAGCTAAAGGCGGTAAACTTAATTCACTCTCCATCACATGTATAGGAGTTGTTCTTATAAACCCACCGATAACTCTCATACATTGGTTTTGAATTTGATCTAATTTAGACAAATGTGAGCGCGGGCCGTCATCGAACAAAAAACTCGCGTATTCAATTCTACTTCTTAGTATAGAAATGTATAACTTTCTTAAATACTTTGTATGGACACCCCAGCCAGAACCAGCTACAACTTTAAATAAATTTAAAAACTTCGAAACTTTATCTCTTACACTACTTACATGAGTTCCCCATTTTAATTTTCGATTCAACCACAACCCTAGATATTTTACATTTTCTACTATTTCTAAAGAAACACTGTCTATTCGAAGGTTAATAGATTTACTAATGTGAGCTCTGTTAAATTTGCATATTTTACTTTTGAAAGGAGAAATTTTTTTTTTTTCGTCAGGAAACCCTGTTGCCGGGTACCCGCGGCCTGGGGAAGAACGACGGGTTATGTGGGGCTCCTGCCGCGCAAAGATGGTAAACGCGCGGCAGCCTACCCACTAAAACCTGACGGTGTCCACCTCTGTCACCCTGAGGTCAGGGCCACGAGAACCGGAAAATCATCCGCGAACCCCGACGGCGATTGCCCTACGGCACGTCTCGGTGTCGGAGGGTGGGAGCAGCACCCTCTACGACCACCGCTTGGAGTAGCGCGCGGGGGACACCGCGCGCGCCTACTTGGGCCAGGTGATTAGGCGGCAGACATCCCCAAGTCCACCGCCCTCCGGCCGGTGAGAAATACTTTTAACCTAACCTAATTCATCAAGCAATGCAGTGAAAATGTTCAAAGCTGATTGTAAATCATTGGTAGCGATATTCAAGTTATTAGTAGGATTAATTACTATTATAATTATGTTAGTTTAGTTTAAGTTTATATTTATAGTTTGCACGAATCCTTATTATTATCTATCCTCATTATCCTTACGCAAATGTTGTTGTATTATACACTTAGAAAGATGATTGTCTAATAGTGCAATGATAGATTGTTAGGTTAAGAACCACATATACCTACATAGTACAAGCGAGTTACCCTTGTTTTGCTCAAGTGCGTTTCTGGGAACCCAACAGCCTATGTAGCTATACTTAGTATACCTACATAATAAATTTTAAGGACACGCACACAAACACAAGCTTTCGCATTTATAATGGTAGCCCGATATTCACACTACTAAATATTTATTTACACAAAAACATATACGAAATGATAATACAAAAGACATAGGGCGCTACATACTCTAAATTAATTAATAAATTCATTAAACATACAACGTGTACACTCTTATATATTTAAACAAGCAATTCTTGTTTATTTATTTATACCGGCGATCTCGGAAACGGCTCTAACGATTTCGCTGGAATTTGGTATGTGGGGTTTTTCGGGGGCGAAAGCTCGGTCTAGATTAGTCTTATGTCTGGGAAAATGCGTGTTTTCGAGTTTTCATGCGGTTTTCTTTAATGTCTTTAATGTCCGCTCAGTCTTAAGCATCGTGATCAAGCGGCCAAGGCGCAAGATTGACAATCACAGGTGGCCGGATTCGAATCCCGGTCGGATGCAAAGTTTTTACTTTTGTTTTTTTTGTATTCAAGTTGTTTTTTTTAAGAAAAATGTACATTTGGCCACAAACTGCGAGCGAAGCTCGGTCGCCCAGGTACTAATTATATAATAACTGACCGCTGAGCGAGAGTCAACGGCATGTTGAGATCCTTGCGCGTGTAGACGCCGTTTTCATCGAAGCAGAAGGGCACCCACGAGCCGTACGTGAGGTCGACGCGCTCGCCGTGACGCATTGCGAATATCCAACGCCTATCTGCTTTGCTATTTTCATCTACACCATTGCTTTTGCCACTCTGAATCATCAAAAATAAAAAAAATAGGTTGCAAACATACAATATGTAATTTTAAATAAAACTATCTTTTCGGATTATTTCGCGGATTTATTTTGATTTTTGGTTCTTTTGGTTGGGTTAGGTTAGGTTAGTTTGGTTCCCCCCCAACGTGCGTTCACCTTGTCGTGGTGGGGGGGCTCAGTAGTGCCCGGCAACCCAACCGGGCGCGAAGCCAAGAAACGCACAGGGAGGTAGCCCACTTCGGTGGGCGGTGGGAGGTGGCCCTCTTCGGTGGGCGGTGTACCATGTGGGTTGCTCCTGGTACTTCTCTGATAGCAGAGTGGACTTTGGAGCAACCCCATGGTTGTGGTGGTCCGCTTCGGCAGACCTGCCGTCGGGGCGTCGTAGTTGAATGCGTAAGCGATCCTGCGACGCCCCATTAAGACGGGGGAAGGTTTTGTTGGGTTTTAGTGGGTAGTACTGGCTTTATTACGATGGTGAGTCCCACACCTCGTGCGTAAATGCATTTCCCAACGTTAAAAAAAAAAAAGGTTAGTTTGGTTGGGAACCAAAAATCAAAATAACCAAAAAAAAACAAAAATTTTTGGTTCCCAAAAATCAACGAATTTTGATTTTTGGTTTCCAAAAATCAAAATAAATCCGCGAAATAATGCGAAAAGATAGTTTTATTTAAAATGTCAAATATTCGCGTAAATCTAAGAAAGTATTATACAGTATGTAATTTATTTTTAGAGGATATAAATATATATTTAGATAGAAAGGAACATTCATTTCCGTTGCCAAAAGTCACGTTCAAATGTTATATAAGACAAACGTAATTATATTTTAAAATGTTGAAAAGGTATTTAAAAAAAAATCAAAAAATTATAAAAAAACTTACTTTGCCTACATTCATGTCTCCGTTTTTGCTGGCCCCATTGGTTTTTCCTTCCGCATCTGTAAAGTGTAGTCATGTAGGATTCCTTAGGCCCAACACAACAGTGACCATTAAGGTTACTGTATATCTGGTACAAAAAGTACTAAACAGATTAAACTAGCCTTTGTGAAGTGAGAAGTTATTACTCGAGTCAACATTATACCTTTTATTACAGAAAAATATTTAATTCCCACGGGAAAACGCGTTCTTAGAAATTTACGTGGCTAACGCTGGCTAAACCTTAAAATAAACATCAAAACAATGAAAAAAAAATGAAAAAATATTTATTGACTTATAATAAATACTAATAATAACATACTTACGGACGCAAGCAAGTCGCTAGTTCATAATAATATACATTCATAATAATTACATTTATATAGTAGAAGCAATTTTCGTTCATTAGTTACGCGTTCGCAAGTACAAACTCTTAAAATGTATTTATTACCTGCGATGGAGCTAACTAGTTTTTAAAAGACGTGTTCGCTGAACCATATTTGAGCAATGTGGTGGACTATAGTACGTAGTAGTGGAGTATAGTACTGATGATGTTCTCTTGACCGATTCCGGCCACAGCGGCCAATCTCATTGAGACTAGCCAACTGCGCAGGAGATATTATAGTGCACAATATCTCCTGCGCAGTTGGCTAGTCTCAATTAGATTGGCCGCCGTGGCCGGAATTGGCCAGGAGAACATCATCATCATCATTATAGTGCACAAATGTACGCGCAGACAAACGTGCACTCTCTATTCTTGTCACTCGCTTACTCCGGTGGGACGACTGCTCGACACGACCAGTGAGAGTTAAGGCGCAGGACCACCGTAAACACCGCCAACTTCCCAACTCCGGGCTGTTACTGAGACTTACTATACAGAAAGGCTCAATAACTAAACTTGGCCCGACCCGGGACTCGAGCCCAGGACCTCCGAGTGTGCAGCCGTGCATGTTAGCCACTACACCACCGAGGCAGTTAAAGACTATAGTACTACATATTATATGTACCTACTAGCTACTCGGTCCTATAGCTACACAATAAATAATTCTATACAAAGTCAACACCAGACAACTACTGAACAATATATGCAGGTACCTACAAACAGATATTATTTTAGTAATCACATATAAAACTAACCTTGGGTGGCATTTAAAATATTTTCAGTTTTATGTTCTATAGCAGTTTTCCAATATTGTTCCCATACTTTATATGTTTCTTCGGATTTTTCATAGCCAAGTTTCTCCGCGTCTTCGTGCGGGTAGTTTGTCGCCATTTCTACGTTATTATTCGAGCCTGAATCGAATTTACTGTCACTGCCTACAAAGACAATGGTAATTACCGTAAAAATATAAAAAAAAATTAAATTACCAAAACTCATGTTTTAAATTGAACAAGATATATTACTAAGTAATTCATCCGGAAGCAACCAAAATGTGTTTGAATTGAAAGTGTTGATTGTAGAGGTGGTGATAGCCTAAACAAACTGCTTTGTAACTTTCTTACATATGATAAACAAACATATCAGCAAAAAATAAACAAACTCATTATAATAACTTTTACATGCAATATTTTAATATTAAATGAGCAATTCTTGTACATTTATATACACAGAACTAAATTATTTTCGTGTATATCGGAAACGACTTTGACGATTTGGATCAAATTTTGTATTTAGATAAGGTTTTGCTTTTTAAGTTTATCTATATTGGTGTCTTTTCCGAAAAAAAAGCACAAATTTTCAAAAAAAAAAACAACGCCGAGCGAAGCTCAGTCGCCTAGGTACTACAATTTAAACTTGCTAATCAAGGCGAGGGTCAGCAACCAGTCAAGACATCAAAAAATCCGTTGTACATAAAAAAATACATACAGACGAACATAGAACCGGCTCTTTTTTCAAAGATTTTTAAATAATTGATTCACTTTCACTCAAAACTCCCCAGAAGTGTAGACTATTTCAAAAATAAATGTTATGGAAAATAGACTCACTCTTATTTGTAGTCAAGGAGATGGCGCGATGCAACGTCCAAGCGTCGGAATCGGTGTACGACGAGTGTACACGCCCGGCAACTGCCCACTTAGACCTACAAATATATTTCTATTACCTAAATGTAAAATTTATAAAAAATAAATCGTTCGTAAAGATAATTGCCAGATTTATTATATAATTATTAAATTCACCATAAAGTCGATTCGGGAACGAAAATCAAATGAACTAATATGTACAGAAAGAACGTTATAATATATGAAGAACGAAGATACATGTAGAAGTATCTACATTTTATATCTATACATGTAGGACCCGGGGATACTAATAAAAGCGTTTATAGCACTTTAACTATTTATTCTTTTAAAATATTATACTATTATACACATTATTGAGGGTCTTTATTAACACTATCGAAACCAAAACAATGATTCCTAGAAGTTTTGTTTGTTTGTCTATGCGTTTGTGCGCGCTAATCTCAGAAACGATTCACACATTCGGTAGCGGTTTTCACTAATATATTGTGGTAAGCTTCACTTAACATTTAGTATTTGTTTTATTTCAATCGGTTCATAAATAAAAGAGATATGTCAATTTAAAGAATCAGATGAAACTTTTAATGGAAAAAAATGCTATAAAATATTGTTCAGTTGATTTAGCTGAAACTTTGGTTAACGATATTATATTTTGTAAAGCGATAATGATTGAAAGTTCCGCGCAAAAAAATAAAAGCAATGAAATTCTAAGCAAAATCCGCATACTACTAACTAGTGACGCACACGAGCGAAGCTAGGGAAAGTCGCTAGTGTCGAAATAAAAGTAGTAGTGTCGTTAGCTGCTAGAGTAAGAACCGAATTTGTGCAAAGTGCGAATATTTATCAGATTAATTGTAATTATAATTTATAAACTAGAAGTAGTATAATTTTCATTGGACAACCCTCAAAAAAAGATTAGCGGAATTACCTACTTGTATATCTAAGTTAGAAAATCATAAAAACATATTGCTATATACATTATTGAAGAAAGCTCTAAATAATGTGTAACACATTATAGCACTTTCATATTTAATATGATTTTTATGAACAATAACAATCCAAGCAAAAAATTTATAATGTAGCAAACATAGATTATTATTACGTCATATATAGTAGGTACCTACCTCCCTTGTATCATTCCAAACGTAAAATCCCCAAACAAATATTAATTCTCAAGACTTATTTTAAATTTATTTATATAAAATCCTAACTTCAACTAACCTCTGACGCGAAAACTTGGCTTATTAAAACATTTCGCTAAAGGTTGCATTGTTGATATTACAAGACTGGACAGTTTAAATCAGAATTGCCAGATTGAAATACGTTTCCTACGTCAGCTTAGTTTTATACTCTTTGACAAAGTCTAGATTTCTTGTAGGTCTCTGATGATATGTTTAGATGTCGCTACTTTACACTGACGCTACAATTGTACCAAATATAAACCCGGGAAAAAAATAATTTTTAAAATTCAAAAATAAAAAAAACCCAACTGTGTACCTAATGCTTTTTTAACTAAATAAAAGCTAACTGAAAAGATGAAAATAAGTTGACTGAGGATATAGTACTATGCAGTCGGAGACATACACGTTTCATTCGACTATTAATTCAGACGAAAAAAAATTTTCAAGGCACAAATATTGGCCTTATATCCAATTTGATTTTTAATGATATCTGTATACCCTATAACACTTGCGTTATCAAGATGGAATCGAAAGACGAATTAATCATTCAAATCGGTTCGCCGTTTAGTAATTACGAGGGAACTTATCGTTGACCGTACATACATACAGGTCAAATACATAACCCAGCTTCGCCGCAGTCGGGTAAAAATGCCAACATTGTTTTAAAATCACGCTATATTTTAATATTTAATTTTATGCTTAAAAGAAATCTTTAACACTTTGAATATGCAATTTCTGTATTACTGACATAAATAATGTTTTTTATCTCTATCTTCATATTTTTACCCGACTGCGACAAGTCCAAAGAAGAGGTTATGTGTTTGATTTGTATGTATGTCCGACCCTACGTTCTCTCGTAATTACCAAACGGTTTAATCAAATAGCTAGATATCATTAAAAGTCAAAAAATTCCTTTTCGTCCAAACCAATCTAGTGGGATACCAAAATACAGGTTTGTAAGAAGCCATTAGAAAAATATATACAACATATATATTTAAAAGTAATTTACGATAAGAAATTGGTAAATAAAACTAAAAATTACTCACTGACTAAAGGAGTTGTAAATAAAATATATATTTACAAAATAACAAAACCCGACTGCGTAAAAAGGGAACCAAAAAGATAAGAACAGGTTGACGAAGAAACCATAATATATTTCATAAGATCGTAAAACTAGGTTATAAGCAGTAGGAGACATACAATATACGTAGAAAAACTCGTAAGTAATATAAAACATGTACATATATAATATGTATGTCTCCGACTGCATGATACTATGTTTGTTCGTCAACTTGTTCTTATCTTTTTGGTTTAATTTTTACGCAGTAGGTTTTTTTTAGTACTTAGTTTCAATGACAGTTTTTTAATATTTGAAGAATCAAAGCGTTTTTGAATCGTAAAACGATAGGCATTATATACAATTCATCTAATTTAAGTTACCATTATAATTTATGTGCAAAATGAGTCATCTGCACTTTAACTTACAAGACTTTAAATAATAGGTACACTCACCAGTGAGCCAAGAAGTGCCGAACACCCAGCCGTCGGGAGAACTATCGAATTGGTTCTCTTCAATGTACACATAATCACCTGGTACCAGCTCCAATTCGTCACTGGCTTCGGGCACATAACTCTGCACTACTTTATATACCTATCCATCAACATTTAATCAAAAACTTCGTCTAGCATACCTAATTATCCTCTGTTTATCCATATTTACTATTCATTAGTATTAATACGATAAGATTAGATAACAGGTAAAAATAATAATAAAAAAATCTTCATTGGAAACGTTTTAAAGATTTACAGTATATTATAATAATGTTTATTGCAATTCATATAATGTTACAAAACCGTTTTTTTAATTACACCCTTAAAGAAAGAAAAACTAAGCTAAAAAAGTTAAAATTATAAGCAAGTGACGATTTCGAGTAGTGGACTGTCTTAAACAATCAACTTAAAAATGTGAAAACAATAAAAATAAAAAAAAACAATTAAAACAGTATACGCAGGAATCGAGTAATAGAAGTCCTGGGGTTTGAACCTGCTTCACTTGGCTTTTCCAAGTCAGCATGTTAGCACTATGCCTATATATATATATAAATAGCTCCAATTATATATATAGATATAGTAATACATATTATTTATTATAAATTATGTAGTGTTTAAATTAAAATACCTGATGATTAGCAAATCGTGGATCTCGAGAGTATAATCGTATCTCCCAAGTAGGTGATTCCACTTCGGTTAACTCTATCTCATCCACCAACTTTTTCAGACCATCATATGATGACACATCAAAATGGTAAGCTAAAGTTAAGTGTAGAGACTTGGTCTGTGGTTCGGTAATAGCTGAGTAATAAATATTAAATATTAATGCTTAACTATTATACTATATAAAATACGTTCTATACTAATATATGTACTATTTTATATAGATAGAACATATTTTATTATTATATTCTTTATTGCACTTAAAATATGATACAGAAAAAAATAACAAAGTAAACATAGTTCACAAAGGTGGACTTATCTCTAAAAGAGATCTCTTCCAGTCAACCCCTGGTTGTGGAAGAAGATGTCAGCGAGCAATATGGTGCAAAAACATATACTAAATATATACTAGAAATAAAGGTAATAATAATCACATAATATATACATATATTACTTATAAAAATATATAATACTATACATATATAATACCTAATGTAAAGACTACTTATAAGTACATAAATATATACATATACATACTTAATATATAAAATATGAAAATAGAGAAAGGTACTGATTGATACTGTCTACATTTGTGATAATAAATAATTTTTTAATTTACATTTAAAGTCATGAATAGATTATATAGGTAGAAAAAAATTATATTTAATTTGTGAGATTAATAAGGTTAATAGGTTATCCAAAATATGTATTATTATTTACATATTATAATTACATATGCTATTATAATTAATAAAATATTGTATGGAATTAATATTACTATTAAAAAATAAGCACATGCACATATGAAAATAATTTAATTTGAATTATAATTATAATAAATATTATTTTATGAATTATAATTAAAATAAATAAAATGATAATAGGTACACTTTACCTCATATATAAGAAAATCTTCACCATTATTTCTAGTCAAGCTGCCAAAACAATTTTACATAGTTAATATCTATAAATATATATCTTTATATATATAATTCTTCTGTGAGTGTGTATGTCACTGAACTTCTCTCAAACGACTGGACCGATTTTGATGAATTTTTTTGTGTGTGTTCAAGGGGATCTGGGAATGGTTTAGATTCACAATTTGAATAATAATTTTCATCAAAAAAATTATTAAAAAAAGTTTGAAATTTTAAAATTAAAGACGTGTAGACAGGACGTCTTTTGGGTCCGCTAGTTATACATAAATTTTAAGTATATGCCGAACATAGTAAAGAACCATGCCACTTTTTCAAAAAAATAGGGTTGTTCTAAAAGTTATCTTACATGAATTAGAATGTTCTTCAGGTACTGTGCAGTTTTCTGAGCTCCCATTATTATGTATCTTTACACCCGCTGTATAAAAATATATATTTTAAATACAATTAAAACTGTGCATAATGAAATTATTTACAAATATAAAATGTTTTGAATAAAACTATGTTTATGGATTATTTCGCAGATTTATTTTAAATTTTATAAAGATAGTTTTGTTTAAAATGTCAAATATTCACATAAACCTAAGAAAGTATTACAAATAAAATAGTAGGATTTTTCAGTCCTACTCTTTGGACTGTCTCCCAGATAGGTTAATATAATTAGAATTTATCCCAAAAACCTGTTATTAATTAATTAATTTAGACAATCACCATTTAGTTAATATTGATGTTCCATATTAAATTGGCACAATTGGGTCACTTTGGGTCACTTTAAAATTTTTACAGAGAAAAGTTGGATGTCTTGTCATAACAAAGCTATTTGTGAGGTTTCAGCTTGTTATTAATCATAAAGAAAAAGGTGTGGTGAGCTGTAGACTATATCATTATTGCAAAGAAATAATCCATCTGTCCATAAGTTCCACAATGTACAGATTTAAGTGTTCAATTATTTGTTAGCTTCATTTAAATACATTGTGTAAAGACAGTTTTACTGTTTACAATTTACATTATACTTACAAAGAGAGGAAACCAATCTAGCATATTGCAAGGCAATTTTGTTTAAATATTCTGCATGTTCATCAGAAATAAAAAGTCCCATAAAATTAGGTGACATGTAAGGCTCCCATTTTAAAGTAGATGATGGAGGTAATCCCACAGTTTCCACTGCCTGTTTAACTGCTTTACCTAACTGCAGAGAGACATTATCACCTGCCTGTATGAAGAAATTATTTCAATATATATTAAAGGAAAACATGTTATAATTATTATCAAATCATTTTTATTTTGCTATTCTTAAAGTTGTCTTTTTGTTTTAAATATATTTAAATGCTCAAATAAATTATGACATACCTATCTAGTATTCTATTCAAATAAGGCAATTAAAATTGTAATATATAGTTGACTGAACCTTAAAAAAGGGAATAAGAGTGATATGTGGAGGAAAATTGTGTGCTCCATTCCATCCTTCAATTTTTGATTTGTCCCAGAATTTAAGTAATTGAATCAAAAGAGGACCAGTTGGGCTGGCATACAATATGTACTCGCGGGGCTCCTCAGTATCTATGTGTGCATCATTCACGTGAGTCAAGAGCCAGTCAGACGCCAATTGGACACTACGATTGCCAGTAGCCGCCAAAGCTTTCAAACTGTAAATAAATACATTAATAAATTTTTATTCAGTCACAAAAATATTACTTAGAAATTATCTTTGAAATTTTATATACAAAATATCGATATATTTTGTCGGTTAAACATTCGTATTTATTTCATTACTGAATAATCTTTTGTAAATAACTTAAACATTGACGTTTTTATATTTCCATTCAAATTCTTCACTAGGCACTACTAAATCTAGGCTAGATTTATCTAGCTAGAAACTAATTAATTAAACGGTTAGCTAGACATTCGACTTTCAAGCTATTCGTCTAAACATTTAAAAATTAAAATAAGTAACAGCATTTAAAACAATAAACTAAACTTATACGATAATCAGATTAACAATAACTAAAATACTCAGCAAAATATACCAATGCATGAAATATATATAACTCACGCTCGGTTTTTAGGGAAACCCATTTGTAAAAGTATTTGAAGTGGGTTTGCGTCTTGTTTCGAAATTTTATTGTAAGGTGTTTTTCTCGGAGGGAGACAAGCCATTTTAATATAATTTCTGCGATTTCAAAGAAATAAACGAGAATATGTTCAACAAATCACTTTTAGTATCCCAAACAACAAAATAAAATGCATAGAGTATATTGCTACATATATAAAATAAAATGAATAAACAAAGAGTAGAGTTAAACTAAAGTTAAAGTATTTACAAACAATTAAGATTTTCAAGAATACAGATTACAGATTTAAAACTTAAATGTTGAGAAAACTTTAAATGGTGAAGATTTCTTTAAAAGAGGGCGCTACACGAATGATATATTTACATTCGGTCTGAAGTTAGTAATTTATTATGATCTCTTTTGTACCTGGTTTTTGCTTCTATTGTGTTCGCATCTTACGTGTACAATGTATCGTACCTGGAAGTTAAACCAGCTGAAGAAAGAATTGAAAAGGAGAGGTGCATCCTGTGGTGGTCCTGACTCCTGTGACCTGTCAGGGTGGGACTAAGGTTTCAGACGTCTCAAAGGCGATATATTTACGTATGTAACAAGTATTAATGTAACCCCTTTGAAACGTCTAAAACCTTAGTCCTTGCTCCCTCCGGCCTCCATGATTGCTGTAAAGCATTCTAAAAGTCGGTAACCAAAAATCTGAATAAATCCGCCAAATATTACGAAAAGATAGTTATATTCAAATTTTAAATAAAGTGAAAAAAAAACCATCCATGCTATAGTGAGTGAGAAAAATGATGATGATAAATGTGTGTAATAAAATGGTGTATTGTGTAAAAACTAATGAAGTCTAATTTACTCAACATATCGTATTATTGATATGCCTCCGGAAAACATACAGCATTGTATATGAAGAAGCAGTGTATACTTTGCCATTTATTTACGGTCTGTGGAATATGTCATCTACTTTTCAACTACCATATACTAAATTTTAAATTGACGGTAGTAGAAAATCCAGCTAGGACACGGCAAAACGTTGTCACTTTGAATATCATAGCGTTGTGTACTTTCGCCGCGTGCGGTCGAAATCCAAAAATATTAGAATAATCCGTTAAATATTTTGAGAAATAATTTTACAAAGTGTTAGCATAACTAATATTACATCAATATCTATCTGTATTTTTGTGTTTGTGCGGGTTCTTATACCGGAAGTGTATCGTAATGAATCGCGCGCCTAGCGAGGTCGATGAAGCCATCGAGGCAAACCGACCTATCGTTTCTAATTCATCGACGATCGAGAGGGAAAGGCAAGAGAGAGAGGACTCTTCCTGTTCCAGCAGTTCGTCAAGCAGCGAACCTGAAGAAGAGGAACCTCCGCGCAAGAAATCAAAACGAGATGCTCAGGTAACGGTCGATCTCCGGATCGACGCGTTATACGAACAGGTCAGTTTCCTTACAAATTTAATTATGCATCAGCAATGTGCGTCATCATCAAATACAAATGTGACCGCGAAAACCACTGACGTGATTGAACAACCTGAACAGAATAATGATGATTTCTTGACCAATCCTTGCTCTATTACACCAAAATCATTAGATTTAGGTTTTTGTAAAACTGATTTTGATGAGAAAAAAGTTCTTAAACCAGCCGATGAACAACGTTTAAACCAGTTAATAAAATTGCAACATTTTAATTCATCTACGTGGCAACACATTCGGTATAAAAAAGCATTGGCAGACATGCTTGCGTTCCCAGGCTTTTGTAACTTAAAAATTAATGACGAAATATGTTGTTTAAATAAGGGCAAAAATTTCCTGGCTTCAACGGAGGAAATTATGGCTGCAATTACCAATGCTTTACTATACCAAAGGCAATTGCTACAATCAGGTTTACAAGAAATTGTTAATTGGTCTCACAATAATCCTACGGAACTAACCTCTAATAACCTTTTTAATAAAATAAGCGAAATGTTCGGTAATTCGTCGCCATCTTATAAATTATCTGAACAAACATTACAAATCGTCTGCGGGAAACGAGCGGAGTGTATAGAAACTAGGCGTAAAAGATTAATTAGCGAAATTTCTGATAAAAGTATTCAAGCCGCTCTCGTTAACATACCTCCCAGCGAGGAATTTCTATTCGAGAAGACACAATTGATGTCGCTGGTGCAATCCCTCGGCGGGCCTCATTATTGGTTATCACCCCCACAAATCTCTAAAAATAGGGACCAAGTAAAAAGGAAATACCATGAATCCATACCATCAACATCCAAATCTAGGCCACAAGGACAAGATAAAAATTATTTTCAAAATACCTACAAAAAATCAAACACTAAAAAAACTTACAAAGGAAAGACTGATGCTTACAAACAACAAGGAAACCCGTCCTTTCGAAGCAAAAACAAGAAAATATGACTATCTAATACCATTCAGGGGCGGTCGTCTAAAGACGTTCAAAAACCGTTGGCAGGCACTTGGCGCGAACAAATTTATAATATCGGCAATAACTGGTTTTCGAATACCGTTTTACAAGAAACCTCCTCTAATAATGCCAACAAGGCTTGTTATGAGTCGGTTTGCAACCAAACCGTCGCCGGCCATGACTCAAATAATGCAAGACCTCTTGGATCAAAAAATACTGCAGCCTGTTACAAAAGAAACGCCCAGTTTTATCTCCAAGCTATTTCTGCGGAAGAAAAGCGACGGATCGATGCGACCTATTTTCGATCTACGAGAATTAAACAAATTCGTAAAGATAAAGCATTTTCGCCTTATTTCTCACAGTTCAGTGCCAGATTTTCTCCAACCGGGAGACTGGAAGATAAAATTAGACATTTCTCAGGCATACTTTCATGTAGCTGCAGCAAAATCTCACTGCCCATTCCTTCGAATCAGTTACCTAGGTCAGCTGTACGAGATGACCTGTCTACCTTTTGGCCTGGCATCAGCGCCACATCTCTTTTCGTCCATAACATGCTGGGTCGCGGAGACCCTGCGTGCCAAGGGATGTCGTGTACTAGTCTACCTAGACGACTACCTTCTGGTCAACCAAGACCAATCCAAGTTATGTCTTCAGGCCTCGGCGGCCGTGAGGCACTTGGAATATCTGGGCTGGAGCCTCAATTACCAAAAATCGATCTTGACTCCGACTCAAAACCTAGAATATCTTGGTATCCGCTGGCAAACCGCCAGGAACAGAATGTCATTACCAGAAAAGAGGATACAGAATCTCAAAGCAACCATAGATCGTTCGTTACTAAGAGGCCATATCACGCTTCGCGAACTACAGAGCCTACTGGGACAGCTAAATTTCGCCAGCTTTGTCATACCCCGAGGCAGGTTACATTGTCGGAAAGCACAAATCTTTCTTCGGCATTTCAACAAGAGGCAACCACGACAGAGACAACTAATTCCCGAAACGGTATATCAAGAGATGAGGTGGTGGCTCGGCGCCACACGTCACTCTTCGCTAATACACAAAAAGCCGGTTACTCATTTCCTAGCGACGGACGCTTCGGATCTGGGTTGGGGTGCTCATCTAAATGGGCATCTAATGTTGGGGACGTGGTCTCGTCAGCAACAAAAATGGCACAGCAACAAAAACGAGCTTTATGCAGTAATGGCAGCGATCAGAACAAACGCTGCAGCGTTAAGCAAATCCCATGTACTCATCCAATCGGACAATCGAACTTTAATTGCGTATATTCGAAAAGAGGGCGGAACGAGATCGTTGACACTACTAAGTTTGACTTACAAACTACTGACCCTAACAGACAAGTTCAAGATAACTCTTTCGGCACATTATCTACCAGGGAGGTACAACACAATTGCAGACAGATTGTCACGAGGGAAAGAGGTTGCGGAATGGCATCTCTTACCACAAGCAACTGGAGAAGTCTTCCGGAAATGGGGTCGACCGGAAATAGATCTCTTTGCTTCACAACGAAGTGCTGTAGTAAAAAACTACGTATCAATAGATTGCAGAGATCGATCAGCAAGTTATATAGACGCCTTCAGCAGACCTTGGCAATACCAACTAGCATGGGTATTCCCTCCACCGAGCCTATTACCCAGAGTCTTGGCACACCTAAACAACGCGACAGGGACTTATTTAATAGTGGCACCGGAGTGGCCTCAAGTCTTCTGGCTTCAAGATCTGAAGTCCAGAGCATTGGATCACCCACACGAAATTTCGAATCTATCGAAAACAATGATCGACATGACAACGTCACAGCCACCTCCACAAGTAGATCTATTAACCTTGAAAGTTTGGAAAATTGGGGGTGGGGTTCCCAAATAAAAGAGTGGTCTACACAAGAGAAGGAGCTGCTAAGAAATAGCTGGCGAAAGTCTACTCTAGCAACATATCTACCTGCCATTAAAAGATGGTTGAAGTGGTGTAACAGTACTCAAGTAAATCCAAAATCACCTAATCCTGCTGACATTGCTAAATTCTTAATCTATCTTTTCCTTAACGAAAACTTATCTTATAGCACTATTTTGGTACACAAGTCGGCTGTATTAACTTTCTGTGGGCCTTATGTAGAACAACAAACATTTACAAACTTCATTATAAAACATGCCCTTAAGGCAATTGGGGTAGCTAAACCAAAATCAGTTAGGTCATTTGTTAGTTGGGACCCAAATGTAGTTCTGGAATGGCTTTCAGCTAATTCACCTAAAGATACGCTCTTTGAAATATCGCGTAGAACAGCAACAGTGTTATTGCTAGCTTCTGGACGTAGAGTCCACGATCTTACCTTGTTGCGAATTTCCAAAGACAACTATCTTGATAATGGACAAAACATCTATTTAATACCGGCATTTGGTTCAAAGACTGACAGACATGACTGCCGCCAATCTGCTTGGAAGCTGTCTAAACATCCTGATAAGAACATCTGCCCAGTTAGTTTAGTTAGATGTTTAATAGAGAAAACCAAACAAAGAAGGTCGGATATTAAAGACTTAGACAACCTCTTCATTACAATTAGTAATAAAGTAAAATTTGCTTCCCGTACTGTAATAGGCAACTGGGTGCGCACAGTTCTTAAAGACAGTGGTATTGATGCTTCCCCAGGGAGTTGTAGGTCAGCTGTAGCTTCACTGGGGTGGTTAGATAATCAACCCTTAGATGATATATTAGCACGGGGTAACTGGAAATCTTCCACTACATTTTTTAATCATTACTGTAAAGTAATTAAAGTATCTAAAAATGACCATAATTCCTTTTTCAATACATTCACGTCATTATAAATTTATGATTTAAATTAGTTAATAATAAATAATTAAGAGATTTGCAATAAAAAAGGTGTAACAATTATATACAAGTTAATATTGTTAAAAAATAAATAAATAAATATTATAATTATATATAATATATAATTTACTTTCATATTAAACTTTTATTATTCTCATTTTACTATTCATCATAGCGTTGTGTTTATATACCTACAATCTACATATTTCACCAGCAGATAACAAACACGTCTTCATATACAATGCTGTATGTTTTCCGGAGGCATATCAATATAACGGTTTTACATAATAATAAAACCGATATTATGTGCCGAGAGGGAAAACATACAGCATTGCAGGAAGTCCTTCCTGGTGAAGACTATGATATTCAAAGTGACAACGTTTTGCCGTGTCCTAGCTGGATTTTCTACTACCGTCAATTTAAAATTTAGTATAGGGTAGTTGAAAAGTAGATGACATATTCCACAGACCGTAAATAAATGGCAAAGTATACACTGCTTCTTCATATACAATGCTGTATGTTTTCCCTCTCGGCACATAATATCGGTTTTATTATTATGTAAAACCGTTATATTATTAGTGACCCCCTCCAAAATTTCAGGCTGCGAGCGCGCCTGAAACATGACCTGATTCAAATAAGTTTTGGCCTTTTTTATCATTTTAACATCTAATCCGCTCATTTTCATCGGTAAAAAACCAAATTTTATATTTTTTTGCATTATTTAGGCATAACTAATATTATTTATTACACGGCTTACATCACTACGTTTTTCTTATTTAACACCAGGGCGCTCTACTTTTGACAGGAGTGCTGCCCTCTGTAGTTCGTGCACACTCCCTATAGTCTGTTATCCTGTTGTCTGTGAAAACTGGAAAGAGACAACTTTGTACCATGGAATGACAAATTTTGTACTTTGTCAAAACTTTTATTTGTCACCCCTTGGTCAAAAGTTAAAACCATAAGCTATAAGGACATGCTACGCAATCAAAACAGTTACTAGTTTTTTAATCTGTGGTCAAAAGTTCAAATGTCAATACTCATTACTCAATTCTCACATCTTTCACATTTTGAAGTTTGAACAGATTAATTAATATATTGTTTTTAACGTTTTAATATTTTCGAGATTTTAAAATACTTTCGTTTTGTAAATCAAATATTAAAAATGTACTTAAGATACTATTTAAATGAAAATGGAGATAGGCAGTACACATTAGCGGTTAGTTCCATATAGTTATTATAACCTTTACAAACATGTTACACGAGGATATTGTTATGATTCAGATATTTTTACAAAATTGTCTTTATATTTCAGACATTAGATCCACATGGCAAGCCTACTCTATCTGCACATCCAGGTATTATTTGACTTCCAAAATTTTTTAAATAACTTGGAGCAATAAAAAGCATATTTTATTTACTTAAATGTATTTATTATTCATTTTCAGCACGATTTTCACCTGAAGACAAATATTCCAGACAAAGAGTAACAATTAAAAAACGATTTGGTCTACTTTTAACTCAGCAACCAGAACCAATACATTAAAAAAAATGTTTAAAGGATAGGTTTTAATTATAAGTTTATACTAATTATTCTGTAATAAAAGCTTGTATTATTATTATTGTTATTGTTTTCTTGATTAATTTATTTAACACAATATACTTAGATGATAATAAATTATTTGAGTATTGCACAAACAATATGGCTAAGGCAAATTCTTTTGACACTTATGGCTAAACCTTCAAAACATACATCAAAACAATGTACTAAAAAATCGTTGGTTTTGAAAAGGCCTACAGAAACGTCCTTAATAGTATATGTCTATCTCCTGATGTACACTCGTAATAACTGTTCTTATCTATACCTTTAAAAAACTAACTTTGTCAAATCGATGTGCGCGTTTCACGCAAAAACTACTGAATCAGTCATTTCTCAAATAAGGGATACCTATATATTTTTTTATTTTGTATAATAGGTACCTTCTCTATACCTATATAATATGTACATTGCACATATATGTGTATATAGTCTATTCTATACTCACCGTCCAAACTTACCTAGGGACGAAGTACTTGAGTAGCTAGTTATTAATAAACTAAAAAATAATATTAAACAAATCGAGGTATTTTACACAATATATCCGGAAAAAAATCGTTAAATTAATTAGAAAATCTCAAGCTTTTAGGAAGCGGCCCACCTCCGTGGACAGTGTTATGCGTACAAAGTGGGCCGTGGGAGTAATTCCTTGGTTGTTATAGTCTACATCGGTGGACCAGCTGTCGAGGCGACGTGGTTGACTCCGTAAGCGATCATGCAAAGCTCTATCAAGATAGGGAAGGTTTCAATGGGGTCGTACTGGCTTTTATATACGGTTAGTCCCACATAACCACCTGTATGTATGGAGGTGTTATGCGTAAATGCATTTTCCGTTCCGTTAATAAATAAATATGTTATAAAAATAAAAAACCCGACTGCATAAAAGTTAACTAAAAGGATGAAAACAAAATCACGAAGGAATATAGTATTATGCAGTCGGAGACACACGTTTCATCCTTGCCGCGAGATGTACATACTCGTATGTACATATGTCTTCGATGAGTCCGCCGACTTCCTAATACTAGGTATATTCCTTCGTGACCTTGTTTTCATCTTTATAATTTTTATGCAGTCGGGTTTTTTTGTTTTTATAATATATTATTTATTTACAGCTTTTTAAGTATTTTTAAGTAGAAAAATTAGCGAGAATGGTTGTTGACCAACTTTAAATCATTGTAATATAACCTAAAGTCTAAACTGTTATTTAAAATGAATAATACAGGGATGTTATATCTTTTTGGAATCCTTGTTACCCATATTGCAGAAAAAGAAAATTTAAAAAATGTCACCTTAAACAATGAAATATAGCACCCCCATATTTATTTATTTTTTGTCACTTATCTAAGAACACTTGCAATTGAACAATTGAATCTAACGATACCTTAATTAAAGAAATCCATCGAGTGGTTTGAAGGATATGGGGGCATAAAGAATATTACAAACATACAAAAAAGATAGGCGCGAAAAACATAACCCTTTCCTTGCAGTCGGGTAAAATAGATGTAAAGTGGCACAAAACTCCGAAATTATTTCATGTTTGTTGTAGATAATTATTATATCTCAAACGTATGTCATAAGTACTTTGATAGTTATTTCAGAAAGTTTTGCGGTAACTTAGCTTAATTTCTTGCACACTTCATTATGTTATTAAAAAGATTTTCAAAAGAAAATACAGGTATAAATAATGTTTGCTTAAAAAGAATATCAGGCGCATCAAAGTCGCCTATTTACTATTTACTTGTTTAACCAAAAATAAATAGGTATATTTTGTTTTTTAGCCCAGTGGTAACAAGCTTAGGAAACTATTAAAGTATTCTCATGTACGAATCATTCAACCCTCCAAACCCTCTCCAACCCTCTCGTATTCAAAGGCGAACTGTGCTCAGCGGTTGGACTTTAAAAAGAGATGAAAACCTACATAAGTACATACAACAACTATTCGGCCTTTTTCCTTCCGCCTTTCTTCTTAATATAGATATTTCTACCTATAATTGGGTGAATGTCATAATAACGTACTTAAAAATCATAACAATCAAATCCTACATCTAAAAATAACCATAACTTTAAAAAAACAATATATTGATCGCCGTAAGTCGAAACTTAATGTAGAATGAGTTAAATAATACACAGTTGTGGTGGGTGGTGATTAAGTAACAGTCTTGGCGACTGTCGTTCAAGCCAGTGTAGAGTTGGCTACAAGGCGCGCGCGCTTGTGCTTTTATATAAACGCTTTTATATAATATCTTACGAGTTGCAAATAGTTTTGACGGTCAGTGATTCAGTTAAAATTACTTTTAAAAGCCTATTGCATTAAAGAAGACGGCGTGCTCTGCAGCCTGCACCTTAAGGAAGGAAGACTAATGTGGGTGACCGTTTATTTACTAATAAAATTATGTAATTGGTAACTAGCCTTAATATACCGGTTACGATAACATATCCTGCTTATAAATTCATGAAATTATAAATATTACTATTGTACGCATAATATAAAACATTCACATATTAACATACATACATACATATCTACATACATACATAGGTACATATTTCTCATAAATCTTTCGACATATAATGTGTGAATTATAAGCACGGGTTTATAAAGGTATAACTTCTTTGATACCACCTAAAATACGCGTAAATAAGACGTACTCGTATGTAGCTATGTTTTTTTTTAAATCATTCTAATGCACACAGTAAAAGGTTTTATGTAATTTGGTTAAATTATGTACATACCAACATGTTATAACTAAGTATTAAACGATAAATTATAATTAGATAAATAAAAAAGTGTATTATGTACTGAAAGACATAAGAACAAAAATTAAAAAAAAAAGGAATTGAGACTAGAAATCTTTGTCGTGTATAATCGTAGCTTAAGCTTAGCTTTCCAGGTTCCAGGTTGTGTTTTTTTTGTGTTTAAGGTATTTTTGTGGAAAAAAATCTCAAAAAAATATTGAAATAATATCGTTTTTGTCTCGCAGTTTTAAACTTGGATCGATAATTGTTGTTTTAATATTGATAACTAACCAGTGTTTAATCGTTTTTATAAATCAGAAGAAAAAATGAAATTTAAATTGATACTTTTTTTAATACATTTTTGGTATTACATTTTTGACTTATTTTGAAAAAAGCTAAAAAGCGCGACGGACTACCCACAAACCACTACGGTGATCCCTATCGCAAGAGACAGGTCACGGGATCGCTTGCGCATTCGACCGCGACCCTGTCAGCCCTGTAGTAAACCAAAGAGCCTTAGGTTGTCTTCTAATGCCAAAATAGTAAGAGTATATGTAAGCCAAAAATGTACGAGAATGTAATTTATAGTGGCGGTTTAGCTATGTATAGCTTAATGGACAATATACCAATTTCCCAACTTCGGGACGTTATGGTATTATGTTCGAGAGGAAATATCAATAATTCTTTTGGCCTGATTCAAGGTCCAAATCCAGAACCTCAATCTGCATTCGTATAAAATAGCCACTTGGTCAACAATTCTTGTAATCTTAGTATCTTAAAAACTACCGGGAACCTTATATCGGGGTACAATTTCTCATTTCTACGACATAATCATAATCATAACCTATCTTTTATTACATAAAGAGCTAGGGCCGTTGACTTCGCTCGTTATAGTTACTTACATAATTCGAGTTTATTAGGTATCAAGATTTTATATTCCTTGTTTAATTTGAAAATTATTTCAATGTCAGCCATTGGACACTACTTTTAATTTAATATAGGTATTTCATACAAACAAGCAAACATAAATAGACATACATACAAACCGACAAAAATTTCAACAACTATGCTTGTGGGATCTATAATCTATATTCTGT